ATTCATGCCCTTATATGTTTTGGTCTTCAGAGACCATCTTCAGAGGGACAGCTTTACATCAATACTGTTAGAAGCCACTGTCACAGTACATGTTCTAAAAGTCAAAACACATACATACAATATAAATAATATAAAGAATGAAAAATAATCTGATTGCTAATAGTATAAAAGTATGCAATCTTTTCAAATTAAATTTGTAGAATCAGTGTAGGTAATACACCTGTGTCTCATCTCCATGCAATATTTATTAGAATTTAATTGTGGTAGACGCTTGAAAAATTATTTTTTATATATAAACCTGGAAAAGTGTGAAGTGATTAGAATGGAGAACAGTTTTTAGTTTCAAAGAATTGGCCATGGAATTAACATTGTTAGCAATAGTTTACTTAATGTGTCAGATCCCATTATTCTGTGATACAGAGTTCAAAGTTGCAGATAGTACAAACCTGAGATAAGAGTATACTGTCACAAAATGTGAAATGCAGCAGTGTGCTGTGTATATTCTTTACATATGACATTCAGAATGTGAGGTGATGAAGCTGGATGTTAGAAAATGTGAGCCATATAAACAAAATATTGAGAAAGTTATGATCAATCTTCTTCATCTGTGTTCTCTTCTTGTAGCACATTTATTGGGTTGCAGCAGATACCACACCTCTTTCTTGGTTTGCACTCTCATCTGCATGGCTTAGATCCTGTTTGTCTCTTCTAGCTCAAGCATCTAGTCTCATCATTTCATTGCATTTGTCTTTGCTTTACCTATCTGGCACTTTCTTGTAACTTCTGCAGTAATTTTTCACAGATATGGTATCATAAAACCCCCAAATTAGAGGGTCAGGGACTTCAATTTTGGGCTGTCCATCATTTAGAGAATCTGCCTTCACTATATCAAAATTTTCTTCCCATTGGGAGTTAATCTTAGCCTTGCCATTCTCCTCTGGGAAGTTGGCAAGTGTACACTTTTTTGGTATTTTCATCTGGATAATTAGGGCTACTGAACTGTTCTTGAATTGCAGTATTCATGAAATAAAATTTGTATACACATTATGTATATACCACAGGCAATTATACTTGAACTGAAGAAGGCTCAGAATATATTTTTATGGACAGCAGCAGAGGCCATCTTGAGAAATTGATAGTCATGCATTTGGTTAATAAATTCCTAACGTTTTATGGAGCTTGAAGGTTTATTGACATATTTGAAAGAGCCCATCACTGGACTCAATCCTGAGCTAGTTGAATCTAGTCCACACCCACACATCAAGTTTCTTTAAAGATGCATTTTAATACTGTCCTTCCATTTGTGCTTAAGTCTTTGAAGTGGTGTGTGCCTTTCTGGTATCCAACCACAGTTTTATACACATTCATCATTGCCTCTGTGCATATTACATATTATGGCCATATCTGTCTTGATTTCACCACTAATATATTATGAGGGCTACTTGGAAAGTAACCTCTGGTGAATCGTTAACAAAAGAAGGAAACAGAAAAAAATTATTATATACAAAAAATATGTATATACCCGAACTACTTCTCAACATAGTCACCACTGGAATTGAGGCACTTGTCAAATCAGGGAATAAGTTTTGTATGCTTGTGTCAAAGAAGTCTGTTGCCTGTGAGCTCAGTCACGGTCTGATGCCTTCCATCAGCCCCTCTTTATTGTTGAAGTGCTGTGATCTCAGCCATTTCTTCAGGTAGGTAAACAGGTGCTAGTTGCTTGGAGCGAGATCAGGGCTGTAAGGAGTGTGGTCAAGCAACTCCCAGTTGAAATGCTTCAGCAGTGCTCTGGTGTAAGCAGCTGTATGTGCACATGCATTGTTACAGAGGAGCACTACACCAGATGTCAGCATTCCACGCCTTTTGTTCAGAATGGCCATACACAGTTCTTTTAGTGTTCTGCAGTACACTTCTGATGTTATTGTGGTAACCTATTTGCATGAATTCCACCATCAGCACTCCTTTCCTATCCCAGAAAACAGTAGCCATCAGCTTTTGTCCAGATGTTTGTTTAAACTTTTTCGGCTTATTGGGTGAATGTGTGCGCATCCACTACTTCCACTGCTCTTTGGTTTCAACATGCACAAATGAAACCCAGGTTTCATCACCTGTTACTGGTATGATGTGATTGAGAAACTGATCACCATCTTTATAGTATCACTCTAAAATAGGTCAAAGCCAAAGCCATTCTCTGCATTTTATGCATGCCCATGAGCATTTTTGGGACCCATATTGTGCAAAATTTGTGATAGTTTAACCTAGCTGCGATAATCTCATAGAGATGAGCGTGTGAAATTTGTGGAAATTCACACGAAAGTTTTGAAATTGTGAAGCACTGTCTCTCACAAAATTTTGGTTGACATTTTGAACAAGCTCATTACTCACTACAGATGGGTGACGAACCACTTTGCTCTTCATTGTGAACATCTGTTTGCCTGCCCTACTCATTACATTTTGGCTGTAAACTATGAATAATTCACGATGGATTTCCACAGCATTCTTGTTTTTAGCATGAAGAAAGCAGATAACAGTGCAAATTTTGCTGCTGGCAGGATTGTCAGTTGCAGGACACATCATGACTACCCTGCAGAGACAAGAACAAGCACTAGGCGACCACTTATGTAATGGTTTACAGGGCAGTGAGTCATGTGACACTACCTTGCATGTGCGAGCACTCCTCTTCTCCTACATTTGTTGCCTAAAATAAAGGCAAGTTACTCTCTGAATATCCCTTATGTTTGGTGAAGACTACAAATTATGAAGACTTGCATTAGGCATTTATTTCTTTCCTTTTTTTTTTTCTCTCTCTCTCTGTTAAGTCAAAATATTTTCCTCGGCACCCTGTTCTCAGAAACCTGCAGTCTTTGGTCTTCCCTTACGTTATTTTTATATTTATGTAGAAGAGCACTGTAAAATTCTGGACTCAGGAGAAGGAGTGCCTGTGATAATTGTGCAAACAAAGCATGTTCCACATAGTAGGTTGCAGTAACCTCTGGTGCCATTAAGTTGTACTGCAGTATTGTGATATACAATCATGAGCATCTTCTACATGGGCTGATTTGTAAAATACAGTCCTGTTCCTTACAGATTGACAACATGAAACTTGTATATGACAATGTAACAAGAACAACATCAAATTCAAAAGGTGTTGAGATTAGAATTCCAGGCTTTGGGGACACTACATCTATTGAATGGCTTGATCCAAGTGAAGCATTCCCAGGAGCATATTTTAAAGACATTGCTAACACTTTGGTTGCTTTGGGTTATGAACGTAACATCTCTCTTCGAGGTGCCCCATATGACTTTCGGAAAGCCCCAAGTAAGTTACGTAAGCCACTTAGGCATGTTAAAAAAGTTCTCTTCTGAAGGTTTTTGTGAGGCAAATATGTGCATCCTTCTAAGAGTTATTGTGCAGTTTCCTTTGTCTGTCCACATTTTGAGAATTATTGTAATGAAAATAGAGAAAAGTTGTATCCTGTGTGGTTAGTTTTTTTGGTGTTATAAAGGCTTTCCTCATGGGATTTTGTTTAAAAATAAGATTGTTTATTTTATTAAATTATTATACATAGTATTTTCCCATGTAGGGTGCTGTAACCTTCCATTTTGTGAAATCCCCATGTAATTTCTTAAGATTGCAGAAAGAGTTTCACTGTCATGGAGGCTTCATTCTTTCACACACTGCATGCTTTTGTGTAGAGGGTTAATGTAATTTTATTTGTACTTCTGTAAAAGGTGTAGTTGTAAAAAAGGTAAGAAAAGTCTCTGTTCTTAACTAATCAAGCACTGTGCCATGAAGATATATGGGGGAATGGATTTATAGATCCACATTTTCTTGACTTTGACACACACCCCCAGCTGCTTTACCCCCATGGAAGGAGTGCATGTTACCATTTGGATATTAGGCTTGATGGGCCCCAGATCAGGTCTGGATGACATGGAGAGGAGAAAAATCTTACCCATACTGGGACTTGAACACCAGCCCCTCAGCTGTCCAGCCTGCAACCAGTTGCTATACCGACTATACTATCCTAGCTCCCAAGGTAAAGTTCCTGTGATCAATTAATTAAACTCCATGCCATGAAGATATATGGCAGAGTGATAGCTCCACCATTATTGAGCTCAGCATTAGGTGGAAGTGAGTAGTCAGCTTCTCGCCCCAGCCTCTTTACCCCTGGGAAAAGATCATATGGCAGCCATTGGATAAGAGGCTGGATGGGCCTCAGAGCCAATCTGGATGCTGTGGAATGAGAAAAATGTCTTGCCCCTACTGGGAATTGAACCCTGGCCATTCAGCACATAGCCTGTTGCTATACTGACTCAGCTACCTAGCTTCCTGTTCTTGTGTGTGTTTGTGTGTACACTTGCATATTTATGTGTGCCCATGTGTATTTATATGTGAACTTGTTTTTTTTATACCTAGTAGATTAAACTCTGGCTTCAGTAGTCAATTCTTTATAACTGTCTCCATCTCTTTATTACAAGGAATCAGAGGAGCATGGATATTAGGATGTAATTTATAATTCCTTCTGTTGAGTGGTTTTGTTAAGTGGACACACTGTACTTTTACAGCTTTGTTGTTCTCTTTTATTAGATGAAAATGGTGATTATTTTGCGAGGTTGAAAGCTCTTGTGGAAGAAACGTACAGAATAAATGATAATCACCCTGTAATAATATTGGCTCACAGCATGGGTGGCCCCATGAGTTTACACTTCTTACACATCCAATCAAAGGCCTGGAAAGATCAATATATTCGTGCGCTTGTTACATTATCTGGTGCATGGGGAGGATCAGTCAAGGCATTGAAGGTTTATGCAGTGGGTAAGTTGATTGCCAAATCTGGTACATTATACTGAAGGACCTATACAATAAAACCTTTGTACAACAAATGGTTTCATTTGAATTATTTTTAATTATTATGTTATTTTGACCACTCAAGGACCAATGCCCATCACAACAAAGCCCAGTGATGGACCATATCCTGAGCTAGCTCAGTCTGCTTCACAGCACATATTTCCCTAAGATCCATTTCTTTTCAATTTTGTCAGAACCTTGGCTTTTACTCTTTTCTCACCCTACCAAAATTTTGTTTATATACATTGTATTACCCATACATTCTTTGTATACCATGATGTATGATTGATGTGTATGAAATCTGTAGGTAGTTAAGTTTTATAATATAGTTGACGCATGTAAATATGTATGTTATATTAATATGTAGTTATTATCTTGTTCTATATCTCTTTCCAAAAACAGAAGATCGCATTAAGTGGAGGAACTGTTTTGGGAGAGACTGTGGACCTGTCGTCTGACAGATTACTATTGAATTGAATTGAATATCCAGAGGTTATATCACCAAATATGGATTCTTGGAACAAATAAATTGATTGATTGATTGAAAATGTTGTTGCAGGTGACGATTTGGGTTCTTATATCCTTAGTGAGAGTACATTACGAGAGGAACAAATAACCTCACCAAGTTTAGCATGGCTCATGCCATCCAGTTTGTTTTGGAATCCTGATGAAATTTTAATACAAACAGATGGAAAGAACTACACAATCAAGGATTTCAGAGAATTCTTTGAGTAAGCATACTTAATTGTCTTCTAATGTACAAACTTGGTGAAATGAAATAAAGAGGTGAAGTTTCTCATGTTTGCTGAATTGTAGAAATTTAATTAGCCAGATTTTTTCTCTTACAATATTAGGTACTTTTAAAAATTTCCTTTCAAGTACTTTCATGAAAATTGTAGTAAATTGAACATAATATTTGTTTTTCCTTATGTGACAGAGGTAAGTGTTATGAAGATTTCTTAACAATGGAATCACTAAACTCAAGTAGTTTCATGAAACATAAAAAGAACTCTGCATGGAAGGTGCTGCATTGTATAGTTCTGTAACTGGTTATGTTATGTATGTGTTTGTGTTTCAGGGCTATTGAATATCCTATGGGCTGGGAAATGAGGAAAGATGTGGAAAGATATTCAGTTGAGTTTCAAGCCCCAGATGTAGAAGTGCATTGTTTACATGGTTATGGAGTAAATACAATTAATAGGTAAGTGACTTACAGTCTGATGACTCTGTGGAAATTCAAAGGTTTCAAAGAAGGTAAATTTGAATAAAATAACTATAATAAAATGATATGTATTTAATATATTCTCAGTTGTTTCAAGAAAATACTGGGTTTTCTTTCTTAGAGTGAGTGAGTGAGTAGGTGGGTGGCAGTTGGATCTGACAGTGATTGTAATTAAGTAGGAACAAAAGTTCTTTCTTTTTGTCTCTGATTTATGATCTGTACTTTTTATTGTACAGTTATGGATAGTATGATGATTATGAAATGTCACAGTTACAGGAATTTCATAACAGTAAGGAAGTTCTTGGTGTTACTGTCCCCCTTTTCTTTCTTTGTACTTATTTGCCAGCTTCGGTAGACCACTTGACTCCTATCAGGAACGTGCTACGGTAATAACTGAGGAAACCGGAAACTGCACACTTAAAGCCAGTCCGCTGCTCGAAATCAACAACACGACTTCCACTCTCCACAAATTATTTATTTCGGAAGCGAAATATTATATATTCATTTGCAAGCACAGAGTAATATGGTCCTTTATAACTATCAAAGATTTATCAAACCAAAGTGAAGAACTGATGAATTTAGAGCAACATGAGGAGTGCAGTCCAATGACGTCTGCCTCCGATCAATTCAAAACGCCAAGTTTTTGAAGATTGGTATCCTGCGGGAGCATTGCTTCATGCCCCAGACAAGAATTAGTTTTGTATTGGCTGATTTTAACTAGCCAAATTAATCATGCAATCAGCACAAGCCAATCACATAACAAACTTTGAGAATAAACAGTTCCCAAGTTTAGAACCCGGAACCCCATTAGTGAAAGCGGTTATTTCTAAGTTTAGGGTCCAATTACACCCTTCCGAAGACACTTTATGACAGCTACACCTGTCAGCAAAACAAAAGTCACATCTTCAGCAAACTGTAGACTTGCCTCCCGTGGTGGCCTTGTTCCCTTCTGGCCACTGAAGCTGCAGGTAACAAAACAAGGCAGTTGTTTCTGTCCAGATGTGAAAAACAAGTCATAACATGCTAATGAATCGGTCTCGCCAATAAACCAGTCACCTTTCCGAAATGGCTGAAGGGGACTATACTGTCCCATGGAGAATTGTAAGAGGTTTGGACTGTCACATTGGTCAGTTTAATAATTCAACATTTCAGGGAGGGTCCTGTATGATGCATTGAGAAATCTTCATTTGCTGTTCCTCAGTTTAAGGATTTCCTTAAGGCTGTGTTTCAGTGTTTTCAAATTCATAATGCCAACGTGAATTTTCCTCATTTTTGTGTTCAGATTTGTTGTTCTCCAAATAAATTTGAACTGGAGATTTTTCTGCAGTTATTAATGAAACTTCTATAAATGTTACTATACCAAAGTAAATAATACCATTTTACTCTTGCTAATGTTATATATTGATGTTCCACAGACTTATCTACAAACCTAAGACTTTCCCAGATGGGTACCCTGGCTTCCTGTATGGTGATGGAGATGGCACTGTAAACAGACGTAGCTTGGAAGGATGTTTGAAATGGCAGGGCAAGCAAAAGGAGAACATTTATTATCAAACTTTCTCCAGTTTGGATCATATGAGCATACTTCGTGATAAACGTGTTCTTAGCTATATTGAGACACTAATAAGAAAGCTGTAGGTTTAATATCTAAATTTGTATTTAATTCTAAAACCTGTTCCATCCATCTTATAAGCATTATATACCAGAAATTATGTGATTTTATTGGAGCAGTTTTGGTTTATTTGACATCACATCATTTGTTCTTTATTATAGTCTCAAATTTATTTAGGTACAATACATATTATTTTATATTGATTTTTATAGATTCTTAATTTGAAATTGACAAATAATTTATTATGTATGCCAATGAAGGAAGCTATGGATAAAATATTGCACTGAAACATACTGATGTTTATGAGATGGAGGCATGGAAAATAACAGATTTCCAGAATCATGGTTATATATTGTGGATTTGTCAGATTCTTCACAGGTCAAATTCAGCGTGTGAACTACAGTATGTTCATCTCTTCTTATATCACAAACATTTATATTATTTGCAGATTCCCATAGTAGGAGACCTATGTTTTATGTGAAAAGTTCGTACCACTTTTCAGTGCATTTAGGTGATTGGCAGTAGAGATCAGTTTTGTGTGCTAGCAAGTAAAGTTTTTGAGTGACTTCCAGACTATTGTTTGAATTATATTTTACATGAAAGTTGAGCTGATTCACAGGTTCCCTTAATCTGTTTAATTCATAACATCTCATTTATAAACCATGCTAGCTCATCTGTGTTATCTTAATTCGGTTGATAAAATTTATGAGGTTCACCTTGTGATGCTGGAAGGTGCAAGTCTCAAAATTACAGCGATAGTGTAGAAGAGAGACCAGAGACAAATCTATTGGCACTTGTTTTTCTATAGTTCCCACATTAATTTTATTGAAAGATTATTATTTTAGTGAATGATTGTTCCCTGAATAAGTCAAGTGGTTGAGAGTGAGATAAAAGTTTTTGATTGTCTTCCCATATATTTATTATCTTTCCGTTCCGCATCCATCCTCACTTGGTTCATCCACCAGGTTTTCAGTCTCCTTTCATTTTAATTTCTATTGCCATTTTGGAAGGAGTTGTGATAGTGTAGTCAGTATAGTGATTGTCTATGGGCTGGATGACCAAAGGGTTGGAATTTGAGTCCCAGTAGGATCAAGAATTTTCTCTTCTCCACCTCGTCCAGACTGGCTCTGGGATCCACCCAACCTCCTATTCCATGGGTACTAGGGCCTCTTTCCCCGGTGGTAAAGCTTCTAGGGCATGAAGCTGACCACTCACCTTCAGCTAGTGCTGAGGTCAAGAAAATGTGGATCTAAACACCCACTCCCCCATATGCCTTCATGGTGAAGTGCTTAACTAGTTATTGCCATTTTGGATTGTTTTTCCTTCACACATTTCACATGGTTGAAAGATCTAAGCCTTTTTGTTTCTAAACCCTCCTTCATTGTATTAGTTCTGCTCCATTTCCCATTTCTTCATTTGAAAATCTGTCTTTTTACAGTTTTCCAAATTTTTCTTAGTAAGAATTTTATTCTGAATGTCTGGATGAAGATTTTTTTGCTTTTTTGATGAGAGTTCACTTTTCTGCTGCATCCTTTATCCAACTTTTATTTCTTTCCATAAAAATGCTGCAAGATCTAAGAGTATGTGGCAGCTTTATTGTTGTTTCATTAATTGTCATTTTCTGATTTTCTGTTAGGTCTTCTCAGTTTCCTTGCTGGTACTGTACATCATGTTGTTCCTATATATTATTAGGATTCTGACACTGTAAGAGCATATCTGTAAGGTGCTCATATTATGTACAGTATATTATGTACTGACAGAAGTCATCTACAACAACTAAACAGTTCCAGTTTAAAAGTCACAGTAGTTGGCCATGTTCAACTTGAAATTTCATTAATGAACTAAAAAAAAAAAAGAGGCAAAGCCATCCCTGTAATGGATCATGAAGGGTTGTGAGACATCGAGGTTCCCACATTTTCTATAGACGGCTGACGGATGGCGGTAAGGTTGTCAGCCTTAGGTGCTGGCCACCCTTTACCCCCCCCCCCCCCCCNGATTCCTGGTATTCATTTCTGTTAGAGGCTTAGTAGACCCAGGGCCATAGTGTGGCTGGAAGGATTAGGTAAAGTAAAAGTAAAAAAAGCTATCCCTGTAACAGGCCGTGAAGGCCCATAGGGTTGTGAGATGTTGAGGGTCCCACATTATTTAGACAGTAGGCTCAAAGATGGCGGTAAGGTTGTCAGCCTTACGCGCCGGCCGCGCTTTACTCCCCAGGAAAATTATTTAATTAATTCCTGGTACTCATTTCTGTTAGAGCTGAGTTGACCCCAGGGCCATAGTGCGGCTGGAAGGATTAGGTCAATTGAAAAAAATCCAATGACTTCATCGGGACCTGAACCTGCGACCTTTTGGCTTGTAGCATAGTGACTCATCCAACTACACTACTGTGGTAAATTGAAAAAATCCGCCTCATCGGGAACCTGCGACCTTCTGGCTTGAAGCATAGTGCCTGAACCAATTATGCTACCATGTGTCCCCAATGAAGTAACTAATATTTGCAGAAATTCTGTTATGCCTACCCAAGTCAATTTTATTATAAATCTTATTTTACAGTCTTATGTGCAGCTATTTATTAACATAAAAGTTTAAAATTTTTAAGTTTTAAATTTAAAATTTATAGATCACAACATGTTTCAGCCAATATGGCCATCACCAGGTGTTAGAATATATCTACTGCTGCAGTCTCTTGTTTCTGCTATTACACGTGTAGGTCCCTTGGATGCACACATGTTGTAGTTAAGAGTACCATGCTTCTTCCTACTGAGTTCTTTGCAGTGTGTCTCGCTTGAATGTATTCAAGAACGATGTGATGGTATTTAACCTCTACAGTTGGAAGTGTCATTAAATAATGCAAGAACAAAAAGAGTAGGTTGCAGGTTCAATTCCCAATGAGGTCACTGGATTTTTAAATTGACATAATCCTTCCAGCAGCACTATGGCCCTGAGGTCGACTCAGCCTCTAACAGAAATGAGTAACAGGAATCTTCCTGTGGAGTAAAGGGTGGCCTCTGCAGGCCTCTTGTCTAGAAAATGTGGGAGCTTTGGTATGTGACAACCATATTAGCTCCATGGCCTGCTACAGGGATAGTCTTACCTTTTTTTTTTTTTTTTTAAGAACCATTAGAGTGTATTTCAGGTGTCCTCATCCAAGGTCCTTTCAGTTGTATTATATTATTTATTATTATATTACCAATATTACAACAAACATTAAACGTTCCTGAGGATGCCAGTAAGATGTATGTCCCCTGGTACTATTACAAACATGACAGAATAAGTTTGGTAGTGGGGCAGTGACCTGTCTGCCTCCACACTTGCTGGGCTTTGTATCGGGGTTACTTCCCTTAGATGAGCCCTGTTTGCTCCTGGAATTAATATTTGTTGTACCTTCCTCACAGGTTGTATTTAGAAATAAACCATTGTTGAACTCTCAACATACAAGTGAACAGTAAAGATTACATAAATTTGTTACATTTCCTTTTCCTCATCTCTCTTACTTAAAGCTATTTAAAACATACAGCAGACTGTTTAGTCTACAGAGAAATGAGTTGAATGGGACAGACTATAATGTATTTCTTATATGATGTTTGTAGCTTTATTTTTCTACATGATTTTGTGGTATAGTGAAGCAATAGCTCTAGCAGTTAGTTGCTGGCTTCCCACCGCAGCGGCCCGGGTTCGGTCAAGTGGGATTTGTGGTAGACAAAGTGGCACTGGGGCGGGTTTTCTCCGAGTACTTCGGTTTCCCCTGCCAATCTTCATTCCACCAAATTCTCCATCATCATAATCACCCGGGGAAGGCTACAATAGGGCAATCAATGGCTGCCATGCCAAGTGGACCCAGTTGGACTCCACCCCCCACTAAGCAAATTAAAAAAATTATAGTGAAGCAGATTGCATTTTTATATGGTTTTTTCATGAAAAATGAAACACTGGCTTGGAGATATGGATGTATAGAAACCAGTACAATTTTATATCCATCTTGTAGATGATAATGTAACGTGTCTTGCGTTACTGATCCCACTTCTGACACCAATNAAATAATATAAGTGTGGTAAAGTCTTTAGATCTGAAGCAGCTGTTTACTTCCCATGTTGTTTGTTCTAGGCGTTTTTTAAATACTGTGTTTTTAACACAGATATGTGATAACTTATTTCTAGTCTATGCTGATTACCTAGTTATGTTTCACTAATTTGTTACTTTTGGATATATATGTAGTGTTAGATCAGCAGTTGTCCTAGTTAACAGTAACATGTAACAGGATTTTACTGTTATTCATAGTGATTTGTCCCAGGCTCTCTCTTACGTAATGTATATACAGTGTTTGAAGTATGTATTTTTGAATTAGTGTGATTTTGTTCTGTTAATATGCATGTTGTGAAGTTGATTTTGTGGCTGATGAACATGCTTCTAAGTGGGTTTGAGTCCAATTACCGATTGTTTTATATAGCATGTAGATAGTTGAGGACTGCATGCATTCTGATACAGATGGTAACACCATCCAACATGACAAGTCTTGCATGGCGGTATAATCTCATTCAGTAGTGCGCAGGCACATTGATCCATGGTTGTGTCAGCTTCTGGGTATTATAGTATCATGCCTGTTAGGATACTGATGCATACTTTGCAACCATGTGACACTGAAATATGTCTCTTGAAATGTCTTCAGACATATTGCAACCTGCATCATATCTGTATCACTGCTTTTATAGTGTATGGGGCCCTTTTAGTGTTGTGCTGAAGCAGGTGTTTCCCAGTATTCAAATGTGTTCTCTTATTATTACCAGTATCATTGATAATGAATAACTTGATTCTGGATTGTGTCATTTACATATACTTGTAAATTAGAGTCATTGTGAATGCTGTACTTTCCGTGTAACATTAGTTTTGTGCAATACTGTTTCTGATCTGGAATTTTAAAAATGTTTTGAGAACATAGCATATTTTCTCACTGTTGAATGGCACAATAAACTTCATTTTCATTTTAGAGGTGGACTTTTTGTGCATGTTATCTGTTACTAATACAAAAGTTCAAGGTTCTATAATAGGTTCATATACATGGTCTAACAATAAAGTTTGTGAACTCATCGTGGTAAAAGTGCTACACACCTCATTGCTGAATATCACTGTGTTTGCCTTCAAAGTACTTCCCTTGGGAAGCTATGCACTGATGCCAGCGCCTAGTCCACCTTTAAAAACAATCTTGGAACTGGTTTAGTGGAATGGCCTTCAGAGCTGCCATTGTATTACTCCTGATGTCATGAGTGTCATCAAAATGCCTTCCTTTCAATGTTTCCTTTATCTTTGGCAACAGAAAAAAATTACTGTGGGCTAGATCTGGTGAATAAGGAGGGTGTTCCAGCACAGTTTACTAGCTAAAAACTCCCTCACAGACAGTGCCATGTGAGCAGGTGCACTGTCATGATGCAAGATCCAAGAGTTGGTGACGGCACACCAAAACACACTTGGACAATAATAGATGACACTCGGAAAGAGACTGCCATAGGTCAACAACACCACAGCTGTGAAACACTAATATGCCAACATCAAACCATACTGAGGTTTCTGTCTGCTGCTGCCACGGCAAGAACATGATGAGTTCACAAACTTTATTCAGACCTCGTATGTCGCTGGCATATGACAAATTAGAGAAATGAAATGTTTTGCAGTACTTTCATCTACATTTTGCTTTTTAAGGTACTTTTTATTTCATCTTTTATCATGAGTAGTTATAGAGAAATTTACATTAAAAAGAAAGATAGTTTTAATTACATGCCATTATTTAATTAAGACCCTGAGCTCCTGAAATGAGGAGGGATTTAACTCTGATACAATAAAGATTAATCTGCATTAGGACAAACTGGACTGTGATTCAAAGGTTTGTTCCTATGGTTTAAAACCTGTATCGTTATGGTGACTGTTATCCTTTGTGTGGATAAAATATAGTGTTCCAAAAGTCAGTTAACTTAAAACATTCTCTTGTAGTTAACAGGTATGTTCAGATTTAAACCTGCCAGTAAATTTGTAGAATGGTATCACAGAGTTGTGAGTTGCGCATTGAACGTGGAGAATCTTATTTTGAACACTTTTTGTAAATTCAGTAAATAATAAAGAAATTTCTGACATATTTTAGTGTACATTTTACTATCTAGTTAACTGACTTTTGGGCCATCCTCTATATGCCAGTACATGACAGTCTTGGGCTGGCTGTCTCAACCCTCAGGTAAGAGGAAAGGGTATGTGTGGGTTCTATTAAATAAAGGTTTCCTTATCACTGGATGTTGCCCATGGCCTGAACAAATAATATATACATGAAACAAGGGTGGTTATAAGGAAGCCAGATGGTAGAAAAAAATGGGAAGGTCCTCATCGAGGTTGCTGGAGAAAGAAAGTGAAGATATAAGGACAAAATGCAAATAAGAGAGAATGGGCCTTTGTAGTAAAGGAGATCAAGGTCCTTAGGAAACTGTAAAGCAAGACTAAGTAGGTTCTTTGTCCTCCATTGAATAGAAAGTAAGATAGTTAAGCCTGCCTGAATTCCTGTGAAAATTGCAAATGCTACAATTTTTGGATGACTCTTGTTGTTGCAGTTGATACTTTGCAGTGAACAATAGAAAGATCCAAGGTCAACCACTTCTACCAGATTCTACCCTTAGACAAAAGATAATATCCAAAGAACATTCTACCATAATTAACATGCCATGATTTCTGAAGAATGATAAATATTAAAAATTAAAGTTGACATTTACACCACTGTATTTGATATTTCAATAAAAATCAATGTTTATCAAATATAATGCTATTTGAAACTGGAAGAGAAGTAATCAGTAAAGGTATACATAATGAAAATAATGGAATCAGTAAACATAGCTCAGTTGATGGTCAACCATGTGAGAGAAGGTTAACTCAAGTAGCACACAAGCATTGTAATAAACTGTGATTACTGATTTTGTAGAAATATGAATGTAATCCCTTTAGGATAAACAGTAAGGCAAACTCATAATGTACTCTAATACCAATTAGAAGATAATACCAGAGAGAAATACGTATAAAAGTTAACTGATAAATGAAGAATTGCATCAAGGCTAATAGATATGAACAGAATTTAAGATAAAACGTTATGTAAAAATGAAATCTTCACAAATCAATATTACACATTACACAAATTAAGTTATATTTTGGTTTTAAGTCATATCTCCATACAGTAAAACTAATGATCTGTGTGAGATTATAACGAAGTGTCACACTAATAAAACTGAAGTAATTATGAAAAATACCAGTCTAAGCTCAGAGGAACATGTCTTTTTCTCCCTACTGAGAACACTGGTGACCTTTGTGTCTTGAGTGCAGTTTTTCAACATGTGAATTTATTTTAAAATCTCATCCCCTTATTTTGCATGTTTTTTATAATCTCGCCTACAACACCAGTGTAGCAATGTGACACTTACTGAATATGTTATTTTTATATTATCTGTATGATTCTTCCAGTATTTGTTCTTGTAAATATAGCAATAATCTTCCAGATTCTATCATGAAGTGTGGGAAATTTCTTCACTAGATGAGTGATATTAACTTCTCAAAAAGGACTTTGCACCATGGAATTACTACAATTAGGTTTCATATTCTCTGAAAGAAAATCTCACCTTTGGCCCTACTGTGGGTAAATTTAATCCATATTATACATTTATTTATACGAACTTTTCAAGAAAATTAATATGTCATCCATGTGCTGATGCACTGTTTGGACAGACATTTTGTAAATGCAACAATGCAGATGCTCTGTACCAGTGTTCAGAGACATATGTCCCTCTTTCATCTGACATTCCTGTACAGTCAGAATCACCATTTCTTAAAGAAATGTATGCAGTGTTCAATATGATGCCCTTACTAAGTATTCTTGAATTATGATAACACAACTGAAGTGTAAAACCTGGTGACAGGTATCAAGAACATTGAAAGATGCTTCCTTGTCTTAAGTTTATGAATTTTACTATATTGTGTACAATAAAGTGTATTTTATATTTTAAAGTATTCTGTGATGTTTGAGTTCCTGCCTCTGTTATATAATTAAATACACTAACATCACATTCTTTCAGTTTTTTCATTAAATAACCTGCCTTTTACTCATTACAGAATCTAGCAAGAATCTCAGTTTTCAAAGAATACACTACAATATTACATTCTCAAAAACACATTTTACATATGCCTTGAATTCAACACTTTCCACATTTATATAATTATCACAGTTAAACTTAGGAATGATAACAAGAAAGTAATGTTTAAAATTTAGCATTACACTCATTTTATTTCACTTTAAACACATCTTGTTTTCAAATGCTGTACATATATCTGTAACAAATTTGTACCATTGTGGTAAAGGATGGAATCTATTTTCTCTCAGTGGAACAGGAAAGGGTTTCTATTATAGTAAGAAGAAATGGTTGAAATGATAAATTTCATAAAACTGAAATCAAATTATGTCACAGACAGTAAAAAGTAGCAGCAATATTCCAAAGCACTTATTTTATGCCATTTGTTAACTCCACAAATAATATATAATATTTGTTGATAGTTTGTGGGATGGTATGGAATCTGCCTAGGGATAAGATACTAGTGGAGGACTCTGGTGAGCATGGTAATTAACCTTTTGGTTCCATGAAATGCTGGGAAGTTCTTGAGTAGCTACACAATTGGCGGCTCCTCAAGAAGGGCTCGGTTCTCAGTGAGTGAGTGTGAATGATAGTTTGTGGCCTATAATTTAATGGTTTCTCACCAACACTATGACATATAATTGGCAAATTTTATAATTCAATGGCAGTCCCTGTGTTAATACATGGATCTGAAAACTGGCCATTAAATATAACTGATAGAAGATATATTGAAAGAGAAGAATCAAAATTTCTATAAGTATCGGTACACAGCCTCTATGAGCATGATTACAGTAATACAGTATACACCCAACTGAGGATTTATAATTCAGAAACAAGAATGCAAAAGCCCGTGAGTGCCATGGACACCTTCTACAAATGTAACATAAAAGGACAGCCCAAAGAGCAATGCACTATAAACCTATAGGATACAGGGGATTGTCAGATGACCCAGAACAACTTGGAAGGATTTGTTTTGAGATGGAATACACCTGAGGATCACCTTGCAGTGGTGTTGATATAATTAGCAACTTGCATTAACATAAAGTGTCAAGTAAGTTGTGTGGAGCATTGTTAGCTAGTCACAGTCCTATGGCCTTTTCATTACTTCATTCCTAGTACAATTCATTAATTAGTCCACTCTGTTTTAAATTTGTCAGTAGTCATGAAGGTGTGGTGAAAATATTAACACAAGATGAAATGATGTAATACTAGAACATGGAAATTCATGTAGTCACATCAACACACATGAGGCTTTGTTTGGACTTGAAACCCAAAATCAGACAATAAATAATATTTCTGTCTTCCAGTGCAAACATCAGCATTACGATCTCTCCAGGAATTGTAGTGCACATGGAACAGATAGCAGAGTTTGAAACTGGGAGCTTGTTGCATATACCACCCAGGATACTTGCACAATATTTTCAAAGGCTTCACCAGTCAACACTTTATCTTGGTTGTCTCCAACTTTATTTTAGTCGATGCTTATTACACAGCTTATCCTCACTTGTGACAAGTTTGATTCATATTGTTTAAACTAGTATGATTGTCAAAATCCACGAAGACCATTGTACACTTTGTTGCTTGAATTTTGATTCAAGATATTTTTTATAGCTGAAAAAAATTAAAGTGGTTACTTCCCATACAGTAATTTTTTTTATGCTAGTGGGGTGGGACTAAGTACCTTGTACTGCAACCACTTCTGGCCTATTGTACCAGCCCCAGATGACAGGTGAGGGTGATTGTGGAGCAATTGGTGGACTGAAGATTGGCAGGGGAAACCAAAGTACTCACAGAAAACCTTACCCAGCGCCACTTTGTCCACCACAAATCCCACTTGACCAGACCCAGGATCGAACCTGGGCTGCTGTGGTGGGAAGCCAGCGACTAATCGCTTGAGCTATAACACGGCCTTCCCATACAGCAAGTGACATTGCAAAGTAATATGAGCTGAAGCAAATATTAAATTCAAAATCACACAAAAATGAAATGTTTCAGTGGAATAATGTACACACAGGCATATAAAAATACACAGATATTTTGTTCAACTAGTGTATTTAACTCAGGATGAAGAGTTACCCTTACATGTCACAAACTGAAAAACACTAAAACACATGCATATATTAAACCTACTTCTCCTTGAAGAAAAATTATTGCAACTGACACACCTGCATAATTCATGAAATCAGAATGAATTCTTGTTCTGCACACCCAAGGATTAAGGAGTTAAGAATTAAATTTAACAGTCTGATATATTCAAATATCAATGTCTTTAAAAAAACTTTCAATTTTATAAACTTTCTTAAATTTTGAGTGGCCTGAATTTAACTTAAGTATGAATTGTCTGGGCAAACCAGATTATATTTTGTCTTATTTCATTACTATTAACTACTAACAGAAATGGTAGTAATACATCACAATTTGGATGCTTGTGATAGCAAGAATTACCTTTCTTATCCTCTTCAGAAAGTTCTGACTTTGGGAATTCTACATCAAAAGTGATGTAAAGTGTACCATGAAGGTTATTGTTGTGGTAATTTGGCATGCCTTCTCCTTTTTTTCGTATTCTGGCTCCTGGCCATGTTACTTTGTCACGAGATACTTGTACTTTGTGTCCATCTAAGTGCTCTATCTCCATTGTAAAGCCAACAAGGGCATCCTGGAGTGACAATGTTACATTTGTATACAGGTCATCACCACGACGTTCAAATACTGCATGTGGCATAGTTCTGATTTTCAGCACTAGATCGCCTGGTTCTCCATCCAAATGAGGTTCTCCTTCAGCAATGAACTTAGATTCCTGACCATCCACCATGCCAGCCTCAATTTCAATTTCTAGAGTTCGTTCTTCATTTACCAATCTGAAAAGGAAATTGGAATTTTTATGTTTCATGTACATATTAGAAACATAAAATAGTTTAAAACAATTTTACAGAACACTTATAATTACAAACATGTCTCTGCATTAACAGACAGAAGGATGGATGGATCAATGTCATATTTTGTCATTTGTAATAATTTGGAGCATAAATACAAATATTATGTTTCTGGACATTATCCATCATCTTGTCTTTATCTACAACCGTCCCGTTTATTTTTCAAAATACGTTTCGGAGACTGGATTCTTTCTCCATCTTCAGGTAAAACCTACTCAGTTGGGCCCAATCAAGAGAGCTAGTCCCTATCTCCAGACCTGTCTTGAGAAATAAACAGGATGGTTTTTGGATAAAGACAATGATGGATAATATCCAGAAACATAATATTTGTAGTAACGTACCAGCATCACAAACTTCTATATGTTACTGGAACATAAACCTTGACATTCCTTAAATTTCATACACCACTTCTGGGACTCTTACCATAACACAAACTGTTTAATATTGTTCAGCTGTTATATGTAAAATCCAAGACTTGGTGCTATGAAATGTACGCCTGCTTTAAAGTCATATTGTTTTTAATCAGGCCCTGAAGTATATGAAATGTAACATCACAATTTTGCACCTGACTAAGGGACTAATCTACAATATTACCTTGGATTATAAAACATGGCAATAGTGTAAGAAGTCTGTGCATATCAACACCAGTTTCACACACCATGAAAATACAGGACTACATCAACTTTACATATATACATATGTGCAACTGCAGCTAAATAGCTATTAGCAGCATAAATATAGAGAGCTTCAGCCAACAGTTAAGGCATTTCTTTGAAACAACCATTTAGCAGTAAGCATGCAGTGACATAAACAGATCCTACCGTTACACAGCCACCCTGACAGAAAGTGCACAGTTCACTTCCATTACTTTCTGCACATCTGTTCTTGTGATGAGTTAGCTGTGAGTATTCATTATGTTTGTGCTGAACCATAATGAGATACAGCACTGAAAATGTGTGTTGTTTGTTGAGAAGTACATTAAAAGAAATAAATCTTCATATACATGTGTCTGTAAATTTTATTTGCAGTGCCCAAAATCACCTCTACTAAGCAACCATGTGTGACTGTTGTACAAAAAGTGGCATGAAACTGTGTCATTTGCTGAGAGCAAGAATATCAACCAAGACATATGGTGACCCTAGAAACTAGACATGCAACCAAGACTTCAACTGAGTCCAAGAAAACATTTTGTCCATTGTGCAGAAAACCAGTGTCTTTAAGGTATCCCTGGAAATACTGAAATTCAGTCTGTACACAAAATAATAATATATAATAATAATATTCATAATAGTATAATTGGCCCTCAGCTACATTTTATGAAGAATGAAGCCTGTTTTTGTCTCAGTGGTTACAAAATTCGCAGAACACGCGCCAGTGGTATACTTGAAGTCTATATGTTATCAGATACAGCCCCTTACATGGCTAGGAACTTGGTGTATGGGGTACTCCAAACACAAGAAGAATGAAGAATTCCATGTTCTTTTCAGAATGGCATGTAAATGAAATTTTGCATCTCTTTTTTATGATGAAATAAAGACAAAAGAGTAATACATACTTTCAGCAAGACAATATTCCAATAAATACTACAGAAAAATCAGTGCAGATGCTATTGGATGTTCTTAATGAATAAATAATGAGGACTATGACTTCCACCTTCCTTGGATGAAGACCATGAAGCTTGAAATCCAAAATTTTATTCTCAAAATCAGTGAAAGTGAACTTCAACATGTTGCACACAGTCTGTCACAGAGACATGAAATGTGAACCATTGCTGTAGGATACAACTTTCAATAGCTGTTGTAGTATGAGGTCAACAAAATGGTTTTATTAATAACATTTTTACCACGAGCAGAACATCTGATTTGAATGTGTGGTAGCAGTTGATTTTCTAATCAGAAAGAAGCTGAATACTGGCTGGTGTCTAGCTCTATGAGCTGGCAGTAATAAGGCCAAAAGCAAATGAATGAATCTCTCTGTATTTTCTTTCCAACTTTCCATACTACAACACTAAATTAAAACAAATTTACTTACTTCACATTGGGACATTCATCACACACTGACTGTTGCATCATCTGAAACCGACCTGGGCCTAAGTGCCTTGTAACCATCTCCTGACGGCAATTACATTTTCTGGTGCCCTTTGCTGATTTAATGACTGGTTTATTATGAGTAATCTGCAAAAGATAGGTGAATTAAACTGTTTGATGCAATAGGGAAATGACGGTTCAAAAAGCACAGACTCTAATATTATTCTCTCACTGTACAGAAACTTTGACTCTTCGTTTCTCCTAGCGTAGCAGAACACTCAGCCTTGGCAAAAGTAATAACATGCAGTGAAATTTCATTTAAAATTTATATACCCAGATAAAACTTAGTTTATACTATCACACACCAGAGTTTCAAATGAAACAGCAAAACATTGATCATGCCTATAACTCTCCATTCACGACATCTATGAATAAAAGACCACATTATTTGTTACAGTAATGAAATAAAATTCTTGTTGTATTATTTAAACGCATTAGAACACTGGTATGTGGAAACCAAAACTGTATGCATACATCTTATTAATGTCTAATTGTGAATGGTGAAAAAGGCTACTTCATTCCCTTCTTTGAAGCAAAACATTTTCACATGCTGGCTACATTTCCCAATAGATACTGTGTTTTGCATAAAAAGCACCCGCAAATTTGGTAACAGATAGATATTTTTGGTGGAATTCAAGCACATGCTTGAACACTTATATGGTGGGGCGATATTGTATGTTATTTTATTTAATTTCTGGGATGGATAAATGTGACAATCAGTGAGTGGAACAGCAGCAATCTATTTATTTATTTATTTCGTATCTATAGATCATTGTTACATAATATAGGACAAGTCCTATAAACCTTTCTGTTTAAACTATACTTAAAACCTATTTAGAAATTTACTGGTAATGACCAGTTTTGCCTCTAGAAGTGCAGTACACAGTCCAGTATCTAAAGGATAATCCTGTAGATTCCTGTTTTAAGTTTTAGTGTTATCAATAAAAAGTAGTACTCACTTCTACAAAGTTACCACTGTACAGTTCCTCCAATGACACAAACAAATCCATTGCAATATCTGCACCTCTTGGTATTTCCTGTTGGTTATTTGAGCCTCCACCAAAATTGAAACCAAAATCACCAAAGAAGCTTGCAAAGGGATCAGCACCATTCATCATACCATCTTTCTTGAGGCAGTCTTCGCCACACCGATCGTATGTCTCGCGCTTTTCTGGGTCTGACAAGACTTCATATGCTGCACCCAAGTCCTGGAATTTTCTTGATGCATCAGGGTCATCTTGATTTTTGTCGGGATGTAGCTCTTTTGCCAACGTGCGATACGCCTTTTTAATTTGATTTGTATTGGAATTTCTTGGTACACCCAAAATTGCATAGAAGTCCCGACTACAAAAGATTACATGATTATGGAGTAAACTTAAGACTAGTCTTAAAAACTTTAAAATTTGCAGAAATTGGAATTACTTGGTTAACCTCTTTCATGCAACCGGTTACAGAATTGTAAATATATCGCATTTTCGGCTGCAGTAAAACATTTATTTTACACAGTTTACAAGAAATTTGGCATACTGAACCCAGTGTTATACGTACTCACCCCGCAAATACAGCTGTAATGTACAATAAATTAAATACCAAAAGCACCCTCACACCCACACCAGCCATAGCTTTTTAATATCTGGCAGACAGCTGGATGGGCTGGATGTGGTATGTTTTGATTGGTTCTTGGAAGTCAATCAATGAAAAATTAAATAGTAAGATTCAGTTTTTAATTCCCATTTACAATTAATTTCCAAACGAACATAATTTCAGCCAGTACGCTGTTAATGAAATATACATGCGTAAACTGATTTTCTGTTATCTCATACTGTATAAAAATATAAAGAAATGCTGCGATGGCATTATGCAAAGGATTCGAATGTTGGCTGCATTGGAGGAATGATGTAGGCTATGTTAGTGCGTGTTGCAGGGAGAACAGCAGATGACAATTGTAGTGCAAGTTGATTGATGTTTAGGAGGTGTTATTTGAAAGCTGTCGGGTCTGTTTATATTGTCAACATATAACAAGAAGTGTGGGAGGAACATTTTATTATAGAGGTTGTAATTAACAGTACATTTCCATTATTTTACAGTTATTTACAACATATTAAATGTAAACATAACTGTGATACCTCAAACGTAATTCCCATAGGCTGATATGTGAGAGCTGCCCATGCAGTTTCACACAGATAATACCATAATTAAGTTCAATGTGCTTCCTAGTGCCCTCTCTTCTATTTCTTATGATCGTGTAACTTCTTAGGAGACAGTGTACTTAACACTTTCACTCTCTCATGTCATATGACATAATTTTTTTTTGAAAAGTTCAACTAACAGTAGTAAAGTATCTCTTCTTAAAAAGAAAATATTTTTGTTGTTGTTTTTGTCTTTGTTTTTGAAAGAGATATTTTGCATATTAACACTTTCTTCCTAGCATTTGTTCGAATGGCATCACTAATTAATAACTGAAAATTTTCATTTAAGTTCACAGGCTCATAAAGTGAGCAATAGCCACAGACATTACATTACATTACATTGCATTCCATGGATCCAAAGTTAGTCAAAATGACCGTAGGATGTGGAATATGTTATATAAACACAGAACGTATGTACAGACCCAATGGAGTTCTTACACAAGAAAAACGAAGAGTACACACAGTGACTACACGCAAGGCTATTTAAAGATACATAAGTTATTTTCTAGACAATAGTTATTTATCAACTGAGCAGAATGAATGTGTATTTAAGTATTAAGTGTTATTTTAAATCATGCCTTTTCATTCATATGAGATCAAATGGCAGGTTCATGATCACCACCGGCTAATTGCATTGTTCCAAAAAGGTATGTATTATGTGGGAATTGAATTGTATAACAACCTCTGAGCAAGATTATTATTATATTATTATGATATATATTTTAACTTGTTTATGGGTTTGATTTTTGTAAAAAGTGTAAAAAAGTATTGCCTTGGAGGCTGTCTGAACCTTAAATGGATGTATTGTAGGTTTGTATTCAAATATATCATATTCACATCAAAGCTGCATTAATGGCTCTGCGAGGTGTTCAAATTGTTGAGATGGCCGGACTTGCACCTGTTCCATTCTGTGGGATGGTTTTGGCAGATTTTGGTGCAACTGTAATAAGAGTTTGTAAGGTAAGATACATTCACTGAAAGGGTTCTAAACAGAGAAGTTGATGAAATGATAAAATCTTCATTTAAGAACTTAGTTTGATCTCTTAATTGTATAATTTTGATATTAAACAGACTAACATACATACAATATAATTTCTGAAAAGTAAAAAAGATTTGTAAAGAATACTTCACAAGTTTACATTAACCAAGTAATGATTCTAAAGCATAAAAATTATAATTGTAATACAGATCTGTATCCAGTAGCATTACAAAAACTGTGACAACACTAGAAGCTTTTACTTAGTGTGTAAATGGTCATATATCATTTGTTTGATAAGTAAAGCTTAATATACCATCATTTATTATTCCTATCAGATTGAAGGAGAACTGGATTTTGATTGTTTAGCCAATGGAAAAAAGTCATTGGCACTTAATGTGAAACATCCAAAAGGTGTTGAAATACTTCGCAGAATATGCAAGAAGTCAGATGTGCTTATAGAACCATTCAGAAAGGGTATTATTTTCTTTATGACTTATTCCTTTTACTGACTTTATTGTATGAAATTCTTCTGATGTTGTATGCAGAAGTTTCACTTATGTATCTTTGCAGGGGTTATGGAGAAATTGGGACTTGGACCTAATATTCTTCTTGAAGATAATCCACAGTTGGTATATGCTAGGTTAACAGGTTTTGGCCAATATGGGAAATACTCAAAAATGGCTGGTCATGACATAAATTATATAGCAGTTTCTGGTAAGGGACTCACATTTCTTCATATTCATATTCATTACCTCTAGCAGTCCAAAATTTGTCATATGGGGAATTTCAATGACATATTCCTTTGTAAAATTGAAATACTCCCATGTAAATTAACTATAATTCATCATTGTTCTTGTATATACTTGTATAGTTGGTAAATAATGCAATTGTTCTCATTAAAGTAGCAACGTAAAATAATTCCATACTTGGTATACTAGGAACTCCTGGATTTCAGCCATGGTTTCATGTCTCTTTCCCTTCTTTTCCACATGGTCTATGTGCTTGTATTATACGTTGTTGAGACTTGCTGTAAGTGTGGCAGTATGTATGATGCTTTGTTTGTTATTGTATTGTATTGTATTGTATTTGTATTGTATTTATATTTGTTCAAGAAATCCAAAAAAGGATATAGAACATGTCACAGAACTAAATATAAAACAGGATACATGCATAAATTACACGACTAGATAGTACAATGAATCAAACAATAACNTAATTTTAATATGTTATATTGAAACTGTATTGATGATATGGCTGTCCAATGTGTGTGGAATGGCAAGGTGTGAATTTTACAGTGGTTTTTCCATGGCCTATGTTTGTTGTCTTGACAACTTGTGCTGTCTGTGTGAGGCCTAATTACATATTTTATTGGACCAAGGATGTATGATGTGTAGTCATCATGAATTTGTAATGTGTGACATGTTTTATATCCAGCCCCAAGGGGAGATGATTGGATCCATGGAGTGAAAATAAATGTAAATCTCCCATATTGTCATTCTCACCATTTTATTACACCATTTCTCTGAACAATATGTTTACACACTTGTAATGTAAAGTAAAAAAAAAAAAAAGTAAAGCTATCCCTGTAACAAGCTGTGAAGCCCCATAGGGTTGTGAGACATTGAGGGCCCCACATTATCTAGAAAATCAGCTCAAAGATGGCTGTAAGGTTGTCAGCCTTTTGTGCCAGCTGTGCTTTACTCCCCAGGAAAATTATTTAATTAATTCCTGATACTCGTTTCTGTTAGAGGCTGAGTCAACCCCAGGGCCATAGCACGGCCAGAAGGATTAGGTCAATTGAAAAAAATCCAATGACCTCATGGGGACTTAAACCTGCGACCTTCCGGCTTGTAGCATAGTGCGTCAACCAACTACGCTACTGCGTGCCCCATACACTTGTAATGTGCAAAGAAAAATTCCCTTTTCCTTATATAGTACTGAATATGAAATACAGGTAACAGAGGAAAAGGAGACAGTGAACATGAAAAGCCAACAGTGGAACAAATACCATGTGAATTGGAAGGTGGTGAAGGCTTTGAATAAACTGCTGTGACCAAGAGTATCCTGTGCCATTTTATCATTTAAGTGACAACCAAATGAAGTGCAAGACAGAATTCCATTTTTTATTTATTTTGTTCTTTTGGAATAAAATAGTAAGCACATGAACAAAAAAGTTGTTACTTTTTTGTATGTGTAAACTGATGTGGCTAATAACAATTTTATCAGTTCTGTTGGTGTTTTATGGGTTATGCAAAATACTGTTTCTTTCTGAGGCAGGTATGTTCTTTCGCTTACATTAGATTTTGTGTCTCACACAATAAAAAAGTCACATTATTGTAGGGCATAATTCATAGTTTATCAGAGAACAGATATGAGTGCCTCCGTTTGTACAGAATATGGTCTGTGTTTGTTCTTACATTTCCCATCATAGATGCATTTAAATTTTATGAGTTGCTGGTAATGTGGAGTCAGGTGGGAATGAAATAAAAATAATTTGCTATAAATTACATTCATCTACAGGTCAGTATGTTGTAAAGTTAACAGTAGACAGATTTATTTACAATATTCCTAAATTGTTACACAAATATACTTAATTAAATAACATGAACTGTAAAGTAAAGTAAAGAAGTAAAGGTATCCGTGTAACATGCCATCGAGGCCCACAGGATTGCGAGATGTTGAGGTTCCCACATTTTCTAGACAATCAGCTCATAGATGGCAGCAGGGTTGTCAGCTTTATGTGCTGGCCACCCTTTACCCCCCAAGAATATTCCAAAAATATTCCTGGTACTCATTTCTGTTAGAGGCTGAGTTGATCCCAGGGCCATAGTGTGGCTGGAACGATTAGGTCAATTGAAAAAAATCAAATGACCTCATCAGGACTTGAACCTGCAACCTTCCGGCTTATAGCATATTGCCTCAACCAATTACTCTACTGTGTGCCCCGGTTAAAGAAAGGTATCAGGTTAAAATCTCAAGTAGGTTCTCAGCTTTGGAAAATGTGAATATCAGTATAACTTAGAATCTCAAAGCTTAAGCAGATGGTCACTGTTATTATATGTTCGGTCAGAAAAAAGTATTATTTAACAGAGTACAAAAATCATTAATTCAAAGGAAGCTGGTTAAATTGCAAAGGCTGCAGATGCTGAGCCAAATGAACTGAGATAATCTAAATATTTTAAGATGTCTGACTAGTAAAACTTTAAAGAAAAAATATAATAGAGATCTGTATAGGGGAATAAACTAATTTAAGACTAGTGTCTTGATACAGCATCACAAATAACCTACTTAAAGTAAAGAGGAGGAGAATTTGGAGAGGACAAGTGTTAAGCTCTTGTAAACAGTAATGAACCTTTGGGTTCCATAGAAGGCAGGGAATTTCTTGAGTAGCTAAGTAACTATTGGTTCATGAAGGACTCTGCTTTGTGGACACCATTAGTGGCTGATATCACAATTTTTACATGTGAAATAGCTGTACACTTCATCCCCCTCCCTTTCTGTTTATACTTGTACATTCATAATTGTCTGTGCATGGACTGAGATCTGATCATTACCCAACCAGGTGCATATTAAGCAGCGTTCTTCATATTTACTGGCCCAAGAACATAGATCAGCTTCATTAAGCACTGTTATTTTTTATTTCATCATAATTTCAGCAAATACAGGGTGTCCCAGGAGGAATGGACCAAACTTCGGGAGGGTGTTCCTTATGTTAAAGTATGCCGATATAACCCAAAACACCTATGTCCAAAGTTGAACGGTTATGGAGATAATGGCCCGAGAAAAATGTGGTCTTCTAGCGGGTCCACGGATTATACCAATCAGCTGAGAGGCCTTATCTTTGTTTGTCCTTGAGTGTCGTGATTCACCCTAGCCGTGCTTATGTAGTTGGCTTTATCAGAACGCGCAGTCAGTACGTTACGTCAGCGCTTGCTATTCATGTGTCATTTATAGTGCCTGGAAACCCTAAGGACAATTATGACATGGCAAGCGAGTATTTTGTACTTCAATTTTATGGCTTCATGTCACTCAGAAGTTAGTTTGATGTTACGTACATTATTAACGTTACAGAATCCACATATTCCTGCCAGTTTTAATATGTATTTTGTAATCAACAAGTGTGCAACGCCGGTCAAAGTTTTACACTTCTCTGGCCATTATCTCCGTAACCGTTCAACTTTGGACATAGGTGTTTTGGGTTATATCGGCATACTTTAACATAAGGAACACCCTCCCAAAGTTTGGTCCATTCGTCCTGGGACACTCTGTATATAAGGCACTGAAACATAATACACATATTCACATAATGAAGTTTTTGAAGGAAAATAGTTGGTTCCTTTCTCAAAATTTTAAGAAATGAACTACTACATATGTCAAAAATGGAGTATGTATAGAGACCCAGAAGTTTTCAGTATGTTTTTTTCATCAGTTTACCTTGCTCCATTCTGTTTATATAAATTGTAAAAATTGTCAATTATAGGTTTGCTCACTATGACATTCTGTAGAACTGTAACAGTGTAGACTTGAAAGGATTCTAACGATGTTGTATGCTGTACAGAACCATTAGGCTTATTTTGGACTCTATCCATCATCCAGTGATTGAGACTAGCTCTTTCTAACAGGCCCAACTGAGTAGGTCTATCCTGCCCCATCCACCTGAGGACAGAGATAGACCCAGTCTCCAAAACGTTGTGGTTTTTTGTCTTATATATACCAGACGATGGATAGAGTCCAAAATAAGCCTAATAGTTCTGTGTAACAGTGTGTTTAATTGTGTGCATCATGAAGAATAAAATGTGATTAAAACTCCATATGAAATTGAAGGCAGACTTGTAATTACTTCTAGGTCTGTTATCACTTCTTGGTCGTAAGAATGAGAAGCCAACTGCACCAATCAATCTGGCAGCTGATTTTGGTGGGGGTGGTTTGCTGTGTGCTCTGGGAATTATGATGGCATTATATGAAAGAACAAATTCAGGTTTCGGACAAGTAGTGGATGCCAATATGGTAGAAGGATCAGCATATCTTAGTAGTTGGATATTTCGTTCACAGAAACATCCATACTGGGGACAACCACGTGGGGAAAACATGTATGTATTGATATATATTTTCATTAAATAGAGAAGACCAATCTGAAAGTGTTTAAATACACAGATGAAAAATCAGTAGTAAATTGTCTGTCCACATAATGTCTCATTGAGATTAAAATAGATTCAGACTGAAGTTTAGAGTAAATTAGCTATGTTCTTCACAAAGTTCTTGCTGTAAATCCATGTGACTTATATATTCAGATAATAAAATTTGCTTACATGTGTGTATGTGCATGCAATTAATCAGTGCTTATAACAGTTTATATATAATATTTTCTTCTCTTTCTAGGCTGGATACTGGATCACATTTCTATGACACGTATGAAACAAAAGATGGTAAATACATGGCAGTAGGAGCTTTGGAACCACAGTTTTACTCTAAACTGCTCCATGGTTTGGGTTTCTCAGATGAAGAGGTACCACAGATGGAAAATTCTGAAGCTCATCGAGAGTTATTCACAAAGAGGTTTCAAGAACGCACTCAGCAAGAATGGTGTGAGGTATTTGATGGAACTGATGCTTGTGTAACTCCTGTGCTGTCATTGGATGAAGCTCCCAAACATCCTCATAACGCTGAAAGGAACTCATTTGTAACATACGTTGATCATAATATTCCTGCACCTGCAGCTGCCCCTCGCCTCAGTAGAACACCTCCAGTCACTAAAGCCATGGAACCTAAATCCCAGCATGGTGAACACACGGTTGAAATACTCATTGATAACAATTATACTATGCAAGAAGTTCAACAATTAGAACATGAAGGTGTCATTGCTACAAAGAAATCAAAGCTTTGAAAAGCGAAGACACAATACAGACGAAATGAAACATGATCATAATAGTTGGCTGACAAATCTTTCTAGCCTGTGTATGCCTCACTGATAAACAGAGTGTCTTATTGTGTATGGGCTTAAAAATTGTACTTCCTTTGCAAGCTCAAGGCTACTGTGGATGAATGAACTGAACTGTTCTTCCAGACACTACTGCAAAATCGTTATCTTTTACAGACTATGAAATCATCATTAAAATGATTATATCACTGGAAACATTGTTGCAAATCAAGTGGCAGATACCGTGAGTACTTTATAATTATGTAGTTTGCAATACCAGCCCGGCGATGGGTCCTAAATTTTAGTTTTAGATTCGGCGTGTTTTCTGATAATCTTTGGGCGTACCGATTTGTTTCTCTGGCTATTACTTCCAGAAGGTCTGGCATGCAGAACAACTCAAAATATTCCAGGGGGTTACTGGGGTCTTCTAAATCAATATTTATGCCAGGCTTGCTAGTAAATGGAAAACGTGGCCGAGCACCTGAATTTGTTGATACGTCAGGTTGCATGCTAATTTTGTTGCTGACATTTTCTGCTTCATCAGAACTGACACTTTGTTCACCATCTAACAAAATTTTCACAATTTATTTCACTATCACTACATTATTCACTCTACAAAATACCACTGTATTCATTCTGTAGTAGCAGTTCATAGAACAGCTCCTTATTACCTACAGGCACCTTCTTGCTAGGGCCTGCCATAATGTTTAGTCAAAAGAACTTGAACCCAAGACAGCTATCAAGCAATCAATAACTTCCTGTCACAGTCCAAAGTACCTAGAACATCTTGCGAGTACAATATAAAAGTTTCCATTGCTGACTGGCATTATATCTACAATGGAGTAGTTAGTAACATGTGTGATGTCTATATACAAGTACATCATGGCCACTATGATATACAGTACCGCATGACATTTACGGACGTCATAACCACTTGACTGGTTATAACTTCAAACCCACTCAACAAACTATGATGAAATTTATTTGGGATCTATAGTAATACATGTGAAGAATATTCAGTTTGGCTTTTGGTGGTAATATAACTCCCACTTTACAAGAAGCTTAAATTCAACCTTATTTTCTGAAAAACAACTCACTGTGCAAAGGTGGCACCTCTTATTCAGTGTGGCAAATATTTAATCAAGTACAAAGAAAAACAATTTCTCCTTTATATAATGTGATTTGCAATATAGAATGTAATTAAGTGGGCTGTTGGTGTTCATAGTTTTTCTTTTAGATGTTAGAAAATATAGGTTTTGTGTGTGCATGACTGACAGCAGAGTATGTAGCTGGCCACGGGTAGCCTATATGCATGTGTTGGTGACACAGGGATAGCTGGTAGTGTGGCTGCTATTTCCATCTTATTTTAGACTGTACACTTGAGTATCTGTATTTAAGGTTTCTTAAATAATTAAATTCTAAAGCTTATAAAGTTCATTTTTTATTTCTGCCTACTATTATTTCTGTGTGTGTTTCCATAGGAACACATCTCAACTTACAATGTGGAAGTCGATGGAAAAAAAGAGGGTTGCAGTACAGAATTTTATGAGATGCATACATTTTCAAGGACATGTCCCTTCCATAACCCAGGGCATACTGTATTTATGAGTGAATTCTCAGTATATCCCATGATACAATAGTGTTCATTCACGACTTACAGTGATGCAAAAGTAACATAAGTCGACAGGATTTAGTACAGGTCACAAATTATAGGTATATATATTGGGACATGAAGGTGGAAGAAACGAGATGAAGACATGTATTTATACAAAGTAATGCTCAATTTCTTTTATAAGCTGTTCTGGTTGGTTATCCAAGTTCTTAAAAAAGTTCAGACTTCTAGTATCAGTATCTTTAATGAAAGTGATTAAAACTCTCTTCAGTTGTTCAAGATCAAATAAGATATGATTTCTCCCCAACTGCCAGTTACCAAACAAAAGTATAAGTTTATTTTCTCTCAGAGAATCTAGTCTTTTGTTTCCAATAAAGGTCAAAAAAGAATAGAACTCCTCATAATTCATGCCAAACATTGCTTGCAGTATTAGTTGGCAATGTTCATCCCATCCTTCCATATCTTTACAGTCTTCTACCTCCTTCTTCACAGCCATGAGATTGTCTTTCAGGGAGGCCCACATTGTCTCAATATTACAACCATTTACCCAGTTGTGATTTATTGATATTGTATCTTCCTGAAATACAAACAGAGGCAATAAATAACAGTGAAATTACGCAGGAAAATAAAATGCTTCTTGATTAGTATATCATAAAAGAAGTATGTGAACTTTAAGATGCTTACCAAGTTCCAAACTTGATGGTGCCAACCTGATGGAATAAAAATAGCCTCACCAGTTTCTTGTATAATCTCTTCTGAGCTGCAGAGTTCCTTATACCTAGGGTATTTTTTTTCATCTTGTAATTCTGGGGCTGTGGCATCATATATCAACTGTCCAAATCTGTCCTGAAGACAGAGCTCTTCACCTGGTGGAAACAGCAGCCAACGCTTCCTTCCACAGACATTCACTGACCAGCTAAATGAAGTGAATACATCTGCATGCAAAGGCGTCCTAAAATAATCGTAACATACTGTTAAAAAAAGCATGATGTCTTTATACTCAATCACTTTTACAAAAATATCTCATATTTTCAGTTAAGGACAAGCCACATTTATGGAACAGAAGTAACAGGTTTAATATGTAAATGGTCATGAAAATATTTAGGCAAACAGAAGAACCACTGATACTAGTAAATCAACTTATGAGCAAACACCCAAGGAATTCAAAGAAGAAGCATACATATTTTCTCTCTACCTTCCTACAAGTACAGCTGGAATGAATTTGTGACAGCAGTCAGTTTATAATTAAACATTTCATTTCACTTTTGATTTTCACCGACTTGTGAACATGCTAGATTTGTCAGTATTATTACAGAGATGTTTCAAGGTTATAAATTTTTCAGTGTGTACATCATGGAATTTGTGACATGTCATTATTATGTACTAGCAAATATGCTCAGCATTGCCCAAGCATAATGCACACACATAAAAAAACAAAATTTATAATAAATCTGGTGACTACCGAAGATACTCTGGGTTTTCCCCTGTATCCCAGCAGCAGCAGAAGATGTTCCAAGTTTTCCTCCATATTCTAGCAACAGCAAAAGATTGTCTGGGGTTTCCTCCTTATGTAGTAACAGCAGAAGGTAGCAGATTATGATCTGAGTTTTAACAGATTTCGTAGCAACAGCAGATGACAATTTGGGCTTCCCCNCAAGATAGTCTCAGTTCCCCTTCCCTCTTGTATTCTAGCAAAGATCCCAGTGCTGTCACAATGTAAATGCCTTTCTTACAAAGGTAGTAATGACAAGAGAAGATGGCTTCATCCTTAACCTATGCATATTTTCTGGTGTCTGAAAACTCCTCAGGGAAATTCTGTATCATTCTGCTAAATTTGGTCAATATATGTATAGCAGTATGGAAATGTATGAAGAACAGACTGGCATACATTCTTTTATGCGCACACAAACAAATATGAATAACCATGTCATTCATATTATGTAATTTGTCAGTAAATTTTGTATACATATACATAACCACACTTGATTTTTGGGTACCTAAATTTATTTTTACCTCAGAATAGTCTGAAACAAGGCATTTTATACACACTACTACTTAATTTCACTTTCTAATATGCTATTGACCGCCTCTGTGGTCTAGTGGTCAGAGGTCAATTCGCAGAGCTACTAGATGTTTTCTGATAAGTAGTTGGTCTGGAACGGGGTCCACTCAGCCTCATGATTATAATTGAGGAGCTATTTCAAGAAAACAGCGGCTCCGGTCTAGAAAACCGAAATTAACGGCCAGAGGGAGTTGTTGCACTAACTATGCAACACCCTCTATCTGCAAAAAGTTGGCACTAACTTCGCTGACAAGTGGTGGTCACTTGGTTGGTATAGTTCACTTGCTGGCTGAAACCACAGAGTTTTTTTTTAATATGCTATTATGAAAAAAAATTCTTGTGCATCATGTCTAACAATATGGGAAAAGCATAATATATACAAGATTCCAGTTTTCTGGAGTGACACCACGTAGTCTGGTAGAACATTGCCAACATTTTGTGGGAACCTACTAGTCTTCAGACTAGAACTCTTCTACAAAGACAGAAATTTTCATGGAATGTATATTTACTTTTTTGTCAGTGTAACTATGCATTTGAATTTTGAAACGATATTAAATTCAGAATTTGAGCAAAAACTGTTCACACTACTATACAGTTCTTCATATACAAGTTAAGCTGACTGCTCCACATAGCTGGATGAACTTATTGTGCATTACTTAAGGCGGTAATATCTCATAACTTCTCCTGTGTATCACATTTCCCCTCACATGACCCTGGTACTTCAGCAGATATTTTCATACAGTTATTTGGACTTAGGAACAATAGATTTGAAACTTTTCACTATGATCAGTGTTCCTTCAGTATGTAAATTGTACTCTAATATAAAATTATATCCTACCATGATCCTTTTGGTCCCATATATACAAATCTATAATCATCTCTAATGCTTGTCTTTGCACTGTAATACTCGTTCAACCAATCAGAAGCAAAATACTTAGGAGTTCTATATATATTCTCTTCAGGAAAATCTTGTGTAAAATGCCAATCCTTTAAAAACAAGAATATTGAATTAATGTTAAAGATATATTGTTTAAATGAAAATGCAAATACTATAATATACAAGCATACCTTCAAATACAAACATGGCAAATCTGAGTGACTTTTACTACTGTAGTTTTGCCAGTATTTCAGATAGTCACTTAGCTGTATATCAGACTTTTTCTGCACATTATAGTATTTTTCATCACAGTTTGCAACTGGAACCTTCATATTTCCTATAGGGAGATTAAAGAAATTAAGAATTAGTAAAATCATTGGTTGGACTTGAAAGGATTCTGACAAGGCGTATACTGTACTTCTTCTGGCCTATTTTGGACTTCATCCATCATCTGATATGTAAAAGACAAAATACCACCACATTTCAGAGACTGGATCTGTCTCCATCTTCAAGTGGGTAGGGAAGGATAAAACCTACTCAGCTGGGCTCATTAGAAAGAGCTAGTCTAAATCACTGGAGAACCCCCAATCTCTAGAGAAACAACCTATGAACAACCGACAACCGGTTCCATCACTGGGAGAAAAGAATAAAATCACAGTAAAGACATGATAGAAAATTTATGCCAAGCATGCACATGTCAACCATGTAAGAAACCAGAAGTATAGGTTAAATTCCAAGAATTCAGTTAAAAACGAAAGTAAAAACTGGATAATGCATGCCTAATCTGTGTGGATAAAGAATCGTGCCAACACGGAGACTTCCGGGAATCAGACTAATCCCCAGAGCAAAACTTGCATGCATTATCCAGTTTTTACTTTCGTTTTTAACTGAATTCTTGGAATTTAATCTATACTTCTGTTTTTTTTCATTGCTGACATGTGCATGCTTGGCACAAATTTTCTATCATGTCTTTACTGTGATTTTATTCTTTTCTCCCACTGATGGAACCGGTTGTCGGTTGTTCATAGGTTGTTTCTCTACAGACCAGGGATTGTCCAGCAATTGAGACTAGTTCTTTCTAATGGGCTAAACTAAGTAGGTTTTATCTTTGGAAGAGACTGTGGACCTGTTGTCTTGACAGGTTACTGATGAATGAATGTACCTGAAGAAACCATCCAGTCTCTGAAATGTGTGGTCTTTTGTCTCTTACATACCAGATGATGGATGAAGTCCAGTAAAATCATTGTTCAGTCTCTTATTTACTGCTGGAATTGTGACTTTCAGCTGAAAAGTAAAGAAATGAAGAATTATTAAAACCACTTTTCAGTTTGAATATTAGTGTCTTCTCAGATGTGACACTGTGCAGGACAAAACATTGCTTGAGACACCATCTTCATGGTAAGGGATAAATTCAGCATGGAAAAGGTGCTTTGTTATACTAATGGGGGACCAATATGACAGGGTGACACCAAGACATGACATACAGGAATCAATTCCCCTGGGAACAGCAGAAGATCCTAACACAGTCATAAAACATTTTCTAAAAAACGATTAGAAAAATTTCAAAAGCCCTAATGTGGGCAATATCTACATTTAATTTTCAGTAATGTGAGGCCTTAGCTTATTTAAGATTATGTCACTTGGGTCAATACTTCATGGAACCAAGTGACTATTTCGACACCCCCACCTACAAAATCCTGTGCTTCATTCGAAGTGCAGGATTTCTGAGGGGATAATCAAAAGGGGAAGCACAACAGACCACTGTAGGTCGCAGTGCAGGGGCCGGGAAGGCCTACCCCTCATACATTCATTCAAGATAATATACGCACATTGTTTATCAGCAAAATGTAATAGCTGTTCAGTAATTATAAGGTACGTCTTCATGGCGTGGTGCTTAGTTAAGCACAGGAATTTTACCTTATCATCCAACATTACAAATACAAATTATGTAATGCTGTATAGTGTAGAAATCCATAGCTAAAAAGGACGTGCAATAGTCACTGCCAAAGTGAATTAAAGACACGCTATATTCGTCACATTATTTTCACAATACGTACCAAACTTTTGACAGATGTATGAAAAGTGTGGTCTACCGTCGGAAATCCACTCACTTACGCTCTTCCAATTTTCTGTTATTGAGCCACGCACAATGCAAGGTCTGTTTCCATATAAGTATCGCTTAAAGAAGTCATTATACTGAATATCGGCATTTGTATAAGATACTTTATTCGTGTTTGTACACTTCGCATTTGAATCACTTTCACTAGTGACAGGTATCTCTAGTTCAATTATGTTACTCATTCCCACTTTCAACATTTAAATAACCCACTTTACAACACAAACATTGACAGACACATTCCACCCTCCCACTTCTCTCGCAACCGCGCATTTTTCAAGGTGTTCAAGGCCTTCATATTCAAGGTTTCAAGCGGTTTCAAGGGACCTAATGTTGGCTATCTTGAACGATCTTGAACATTCTGAACCATCCTGAATCCTGAACATCCTGAAGATCTTGAACGATCTTGTATACTTGATAATCGATCATCGCATGGGTCGGATGCAACGGAAACGGATGCTTTATTTTAGTTATGCTTGTTACCGCTTGTTGCAGTACGGTAGTTCAAGTAGTGTACGTAATTATGAAATTGGTCTTGTGCAGTGGATTGCATTGTAATATATTTTTAATGTACGAATGATATGTACAATTTAGGTTGATAGTAGATTTATATTGTACACTCTCTGGCTGTTCCTTTTATGTAAAATGGTTTTGCTGTTGCTGTTACTTGCCCTTATTTTGGATGGCGTATTTTTGGTTAGAAGCAAAGGTTTAGTTGACCCCGCGGAATGTCAGATATGGGGTCCTGGGCTACAGCCCGATAAAATTGTAATGCCGGCACGGTATTTTTATATCGTAGCAGTGGATAAGCATAAACTCAAGTAAGTTCTGCTATGTATTTATATTGTAAAGTAATTTCCGTTGAAAACATTGAGCGGAGAGGTTAGAATAAGGCCTGTGTCATTAACATTTCTTTCGTTTTAAATTCGTGTGAACCTTTGAAGAAGTAGAAGATATTTTTCTTTTAAAGATATTAGGTGATTGTTGAAATAGTGGTGTACATAGGCAAGTTTGCATTAGGGGAATTTCCAAGAACTGGCCCTCTTAATTTATAAAGCCATATTAATTTTTAGCCTTAGAATTTGAATGGGGTAATGACCGTTTATTTTGTAATTAATGTTTTGACAAGTGAAGATGCAGTCCATTATCTGCACCACACTCATGGCTCTGAATCAGATTGTGACTAAGGTAACGGATCAGATGTGGATTCTTCATATGTGTGTGAACTTGATTTTTAACATTTTAAATAATCATTTCATGTTAGTTATATCAGATATGTGTTGAGGATGTAGATATTCTAGTTCCACTTATATACTTGGGTCTAATCAGTGATAATGCCACTATAAGGAGGAGACTTCTTTTACAGTGAGTAATATGAATGTCAGCTACCAAAAAGTGTGAGATTTGAGGTTCTCATGGCAAGGAATATGAAAGTCAGGAGTCTTCTGATATATGGCCATGATGTTATTGGTAACGAACGTATACATGACACCTGGTGTATCATGCTGGAGGAATGTTCCCTTGACATGTCCATGTTATGTACACTTAACACTTTGCAGACCGTCAATTTAAATATTTAAATCACCCTGGGGACCGGCATTTTTAAACCTACTACCCTAACTTGTGGACTGTTCACTTTAAAAATTAATATAAAATCTCCTAATAAATTTTATGCTTGAGAGTGTGATATTTCTGGAAACATTCCCCTTTGTGAAGTGGCATTACACAGAACTTGCAATGTTGACAGTCATACTCCTTTTTTTGTGAACTGTGGAAACACAGCACTGCCTAGAAGGATGCTTCCCCTTGGAATGTGCACTTTTCACAATTTTCATGAGGGTATTTTTCCGCATATCACTCAAGAGTCGCCCTGGGGGGTCCACATGAGGCCTTCGTGGGGTGGGAGTTGATGGGCCTGTTCGTACTAAGTCTTTGTGTGACCCTGGTTCTGCCGCCACCATCTGGACTGTAGCCCAGGCCTTTGCCACATTCATCAGAAATGCTTTGTATTTCAGTTTCAAATCATGGTTTAGATTTTTTAAAACCAAAAATGAATTGAAAATGGCACAATTTATAAGCCACAAGGCAACTTTCTTTGTCCACTTTATTATTTTCCTAGGAAGAGAATAATAGGCCAAGTATTGATCGGCTCTATCAGCTCCCTTCATGAACATATTTTACTCAGAAATACAAATAGGCTTCTTTACTTGTCCATGTCTCCTTTGAATATCAACCATGCTCAAATTGTAAAGTGTGGAAATCATATTCACAACACAAGTATCCCTATCTCCAAAAAACAGTTCTGCTACTTCAGACACTTGCATTGGGTCCGATGGAATTTGTTTCACCTCTGGATTTCCAGTAAACTGTCCCAAAGTAGGCATTTTGTCTACTTTTCCCCATGTGGCTGTCCCCGCAATTTTACTACCTGCACTTTCATCGGAGCTACTTTCACTTTTATTGTCTGTGGCCACAATTGTTTGTTGTCCCCTGTCTAAATCACTATCACTACACCGTCGGAGAACAAGTCAGATATTTCTTGTTTTGGGTTTTCAACCGCTACTGTCCTTGACTCATTGCACTACTAACTTCCTGCCTGGTACATAAGAGAGTGAAGGGTCAAAGATCATTTTCCTTTGGAGGGGGAACCCAAACAGTGAGATCAAGTTACTGCCTACTAAGCAAACATTCCAGAATAATATTATGCAGTAGTCATTTCATTTGGGTGGTGCCAGTGCAAGGTATAGTGTGTTTCAACATAACGTGTCCTAAAATCATAATGATATGCCACCAGTCCACCATGTTTAAAAGCGCTGGGCATAAAAATGTGCCATTGGTCCACAAAGTGTTAATCTCACATAACAGTTATGGAGTTTGTAATTAATGATTTTCTGGGAAGGACAGGATAATGGCTGTATCTTGTTTGTATCAGATGGGTAAATAAAACAAGAATTGATGTGATGTGTAGGTGACAATATTAAATTATCTTATATTTGTGTACTGTGTTTTTGATCTGTACAGTACAGTACACTCAATAGTGATTAGTCCATAGGGTGGATGATCAAGGAATTGGGGTTTGATTCGCAAGAGGAACAGAGGTTTTTCTCTTTCACATCATCCAGACCACCGCTGGATCCACCTAGTCTCCTATTAAATGGATGCTGGGGAATATTTTCCTTTTGATAGAAAGGCCACGGCATGAAGTCGACCACTCACTTCTATCTAGTACAGAGGTTAAAATGCATGGAGCTGGATTTCTAGCCCCTCATGTATTTTCATGTCTTGGTGCTTAATTAAATACAAGGAAAACTTTTCCTTGCATAAATACTCGAATGAGTCTTCACTATAAGTGACTGCAAAGATACAAGTCAGACACTCACATTACTGAATTTTGATACTGTGACACATGCCTTGGGAATGTATTGTCTCTTTGTGCACTGGCTGCAAGGTAAATAGTGCTTCTCCAGACTGATTTTCTTTTTTTGAAGTGACATGTGAAAAGGCATACATGAACATCATTGAATATTGTGAAAAATGCATGGTCCATTGTTAACACATTTCTAAGACATTAGATTATTCACTCAGTATTCACAGTATTGCCAAAGTGTATAATTGAACTAGTGTGTAGTATGGACAGATCATTACAGAGTCAGGTTCCTGTTTAAATGGGAACATTTTAATCATTTTCATTCGTTCATTCTTTTATTAATCCTGTAGATCATGATACAATGATATAGGACAAGTCTTTCAGCTAATATAAATTTTTAAATTACAACAATCTTAATACTAAAAAATTATATAAGATATAAAACATTTTATACATTATATACTATATACTTCTGCTTATATCAGTAGCCAATATTCGAGAATTCATCGTTCAAATAGTCCTTCGCTGAGTAAAAGCACCTCTGAATAAGTAGCTTCTTCAATTCCCTTGTTAACTGATTTTTGTTTTCTATTTGTTTTATGTTGTTAGGCAATTTGTTGTAAAAGATACAGCCAGCTACTAAAGGAGTACTATTATAAAGTTCTAAGTTGTGCCCATATATATGATAGTCTTTATTATTTCTTGTGTTATATGTATGTATTCGTTCATTCACTGTGCAGTTACACTTTTTTTTTACGTATAGGATTGTTTCTTGTATACTTGTATATAGCAAGTATGCTGTTAGTATCTTTAGATTTCTAAAGCTATCCCTGCATGATTCCAGATGTTTTAGCCCTTCAGTGTATCTTATTGCCCTTTTTTGGAGTAAAAAATTCTTCTAGTGAGGGTCTTAGCACTATGTCCCCATACTATTATTCCATAAGACAAATGAGGATAGATCAAACCATAATACAACATTCTTCTTTCATTTAAATCGAGTATTTTAGATAGCCTGTTAATTATGAACAGGTTACTGCTAATTCTACTGCAGATTTCTTCAATATGTAATTGCCAACTCAAGGTACTATCTATTACTACCCCTAGGAAATTTGTGCTTTTTGTATAAATGATGGTAATTTGTTTCATCAGTGCATCTTCAATATAGTATAGTAAAATCATGTTGAAGCTTAGACTGTATTATTGGTTCAGAATTTCTCAATTGAATTCAGTTATTCATGAAGTTCTCTCAAAGCCAACAAGGAAATGCCACAATAGTAGCATTCAGTAGGTCATTGTTGCTGTCTTTGCTTCCTTTCTTCTTTCCTTCTGTTGTAGTCTTTCTAATATCCAGTCATGAATGCAGCCTTGCAGCTGAAGTATGATATGTACTGTAGAAACCAGCATTTGTGGTTACATTTAATGGTTATTATCAGATTGGTTTCATCATATTTGAATATTTCTTAATAAATTCTTTCATTTTAAGGAAGCGGTCAACAAAATCAAAGGACTGTACGGTTACAGTTTCATGTAATTTTAATGCAATTAAAATATTTTTTCAGACTGAAGGAGTCCCCAGAAGATGTGTTTGAAGTACAGATAACAGGAGATTCTTCATACAATAACTGCAGAGTCTGGATAAATACCCTGAATAGAAATGATGGAAGTTTCATAGTAAGATACAAAACATATCATACATGTCATAATTTCACGATACATGTCACGTATAAAGGTGTTCATGTTGCCTCATCACCATACATAATTAAAGGTAAATTTATGTTACTTAGAACCTTCAGTGAGACCATTCTAGAGTCTCCCACAAACTGTTGAACCACTGTGGTGTTAGAGCCAGATGCTTCTGCTGTTAAGTCAGGTCACAGTTGGGCTACTAAGAAACTTACAGCTTAAACACATTACAAATCAAACTTATCCACATTACAGTAGGCGCTAGAAATGCTTTCTGTTACGCAAGCATTCCAGGCAGCTCTGTATAATGTTTGCATTCACATGTTAAGAGTTCTTGAGAAATAGAGTAAACATGAAATTTGAAATCCAGGTTTCCAGTGCAGGGCATCTGAGCAATTTCAAGAAGAGTGTTCAAGCATAGCACCAGTGTCATTCAGTTTCTCTTCAGTGGACACTGAGCATTTCAACTATGTCTTTGTTTTTAAGTAATAACTGGAATTTTCTTTTCATTTTTGTGGTATTACTTTATGGTGGTGTCAGTATCTGGACTGTAACATCAAGTGGTAGGATGACTGATGAATTGAGAAGGATTTGGAAGGACATGGTAATGGCCCAACTGAGGTACTATCCTGGCATTTGCCTAGAGGTACTGTGGAAAACTGTGAAAAGCCCTGTTCAGGCTAGCTGGTGTCACAGCTGATTTGAACCAAGCACCTGCCAAATATAATTATGGATTGTTACCGCTGGGCTATCTGGTCATTCCTTACTTTTCTTGCAGAATCACATTTCACCTGCTTTACATGAACATTTGTTCCAGTATGTATATTTCACACATGACCTTTTGATGCAGAAAATGACATGACCGAGTGAATGGCTTTGTATCACACATATCAGGTGCAGTAAGAAAAAGTAAAGCAACACTGGGATTGCAATTAGGGTTGGCTGGCACGAGGCACATAAGCTGGCTTTGTGATAGCTCTTCAGTGCTTTCCTAGGATAAAATTGAAGACAAAGCAGTTAAAATTCATGCTCTCTTTGACCACTATGAAGAACATTTCCAGCACCTGCTGTAATCTACATAAAGGTAAAGCTATCCCTGTAACAGGCTGTGAGGGCCCATAGGGTTGTGAGATGTCAATGCTCCCAAATTTTCTAGACAGTTGGCTCACAGATGACAGTAAGGTTGTCAGTTTTACATGCTGGCTGCCCTTTACCCTTTATCCCCAGGAAGATTCCTGGCACGTTTTGTGTTAGAGGCTGAATCAACCCAAGGGCCATAGTGCAGCTGGGAGTATTAGGTAAATTGAAAAAAACCAGTGACCTCACTTGGAATGAAACCCACAGCCTTCTGGCTTGTAGCATAGTGCCTCAACCAGGTATGCTACCACATGCCCCCTATAATCTACATAGGTTTTAAATTTAAAATATCTGGGCTGTAGATTTGTCAGTTCTATTAGAAGTCTGAATGTCTGTGGCTCAGTTTGTAGGGTGAAGTGACCAACTCTTCCATTTGTATGCTTCATTGATTTGCTGGAGGTTGTAAAATATGCTCACATTATATTCAATATCAGTAACAAAAGGAATATAATTAAAGTTGAGGAATTGTTATCATGCTTTGTGTTTTCTGAAACACAAAAGAATAATATGTGTGAAACAGTATTTTTCTACTTGTTTTGTGTCCTATGAAATGTCATCTCTTACCTTGAGGAAAGAACATAAATTTCAATTGTTGGAAAACAAATGGGAAAGAAAGTACTTGAACCTAAGAGAGACAGAAATAGATGTACCTAAAGGAGGAGAAAATAAGCGGGCAATTAAGGATAGTGCTTGCTGCAGAGCATTAATATAAGTAACCTGTTACCTATGGTGAAATCTAGGAGTTTACAGTCGAGAATTTATACAAAATTCTAGTCTGACAACCTAATGGGTTGAGACCATGTGGAAGAAGTAGGCATAGGTGGAAGAGTAATATTTAAATGAATATAAAGAAATATGGAGTGGATTCATCTGGCACAGGATAAGGTGCAGTGGAAGTCTGTTGTGAATATAAAATGTGATGAATTTCTTGTCTAGTTGAGAGACTGTTAGCATGTTGAGAAGGACCTTGCTGTTTACAGTTAGTTAATTGTGGTGAGCTGGATATGTCTTGAATCAGGATGGCATGGAATTCACACCAGATTTTGTCAAGGAAACTCAGGAAAGTAGGATGTGAGGTTTAGGGGTGTAGAGGCAGTCATTGGGGGCTTTGGTAATAGCAGTGTTTGAGTTCAGAGGGAGTCAGAGGCACACATTTCCTTTTTTTTACAAGTTTTTATATGGTATGCATACTGGCATACTTTTTGTGTGCATCAACAAGCTTGTTGTGAAGTTTGGTTTTGGTTTTGTGTAAAGTGAGAGTTTCGGTGGACCAATATGACCTGAAATGCAATTCTTCCAATTAAATTTACTATAGTTTCTGTAGTATCAAATTTCATTGGAAGAAGATGAAACTTGAATGGATGGATGTGATCTCATGATGCATGTATATTATGAACTTGATGTTATTACTCATGCTTATCGTGTTGTAATGAAGTTTGGTTTGATACTCATATTTGTTTGATCTTAATGTTTTCAAATTACATCTGCAGGTCCTGTTTATGCTGATGGATGTTATTGCCCAGTAAAGTCTATGTCTGATTGGCTGAAACAGTTTGGTTGCAAAAGCTCTTATGATCAAATCAGCTCAGATTTGAAACCGTTCCCAAATGTAAAGTTCACTGAGATTCGAGCACTTGCTCTTCAGAGATTCAGCCATCCAGGCAGCATGAGTATATGCAATTATGTAATAAAAGACAACCAGGTAATGCTGAAGTATTCGTTGATTTGTTAGTGAACATGTAGTTACAACATATGCCATTTTGAGGGAATATTCCTGTACATGGTTTTTCTGTGATTTTTGTTTCTGTCAGGAGTGTGAAAATATGTTAGGAATTTTTACAGCCATAATTTTCGAGTAAAATTTTGATGTATCTTTTTTATGGAAACTTTGATTTCTTATACTGAAATGTTTTAAGATACGTTGCATACTGCACCAACTGTTCATTGCCTCTGTCAAGCATAACAAATCCTGAATGTTCTTCTGAGCACATATTACCTGCCTCTGATTCTTCCTATATAAGCTGAATCAGATGTATATTCACTAAGTGTTTTGGGTGTGCAGCTAACATGGGTGTCACAGTAGAAGGGGCTAAATGTTAAAATAATTTTTTATGTATTCTTTGGATAGGTGTTCATTTTGTTTTTAGTATATTAAGATTTTATTTGTTAGAAATTTGTATGTAATTCTCAAAAAGTTGTTTTAGCTTCTGAAAATGTAAGGAAAGAGAGTAACTGGCATGAAAAACAGCACAGAGAATTTTGAAGCAGTGTTAATATTTGTTCTCAAAACAAAATTATTGAATTCATTAAGCACTGTTTCAAAGGTTCTCCAAAATGAAATTATGAATCTTAAAATTGCATCAGATTTGTTAATAAAAATCATATGACAATTTCATGACTCTGAAAAATTGGTTTAATCTGGTGAAAATAAGGTGCATATGGTAACATGGTTGAGTTACTATGCTACAAGCCAGCAGGTTGTGGGTTCGAGTCCCGATGAACCATACTGTGACTCTGGGGTTGACTCAGCCTGTAACAGAAATGAGTACCAGGAATCTTCCTGAGGGGATTGGGTAAAGGGCAGCTGGCCCCATCTTTTCAAGCTGGTTCCTTTGTCTTCAATGCTGTATCTGATCAGTTTAAGCAGTATTTCTGGGGAATGATGCCTATACATTGTATTCATATAATTGCTTTGCACTTAACTTTTTTTCATTGAAAAATATGTAAGTCAGTTTTCTTTTGTTTTAGATAAATTATTTTTAGTTTTCATTAAAGAATTAAATAAAAAATCATGTCTACCTGAAACAAGGGGAATGTCAGTCATAAATGTGGTATGGTGATAAATTGAGTGCACCTTACTCATTTCCTAGAAGCCTTTAAGATCTAAAAAGTCAACCTGTTGATGGGCACTGCTCTCACTTGTCTCATTTACTTTTATGTTAATGGATGGTAATTTTCTGATAACGTTTCTATTTTGTTCCACTTCTTAATTATATTATAATTTCAACTGTTTTTATTATTTTATTTTACTACTAGGTATATAGGAAGTGTTATGGTCAGTATGTTGGATTTAAAATGTTTTTGGATGCCATCCTTTTGTCCCTGGCTCGGAAGGTTTATCTCCCAGATATGGAAATGCTTTTCAACTTAGGTGATTGGCCACTTGTGCATACTGGACAGAAACCATACATCCCAATGTTCTCTTGGTGTGGGTCAAATGATACCCTTGACATTGTCATGCCAACATATGACATTACAGAAGCCACCCTAGAATGCATGGGAAGGTAAAAAGTTTAAACTGTTTACACAGTAGAAACTATTAATTGTGATGCTGTTATCCATGATTTTATGTAACTATCTGTAAAAGCATGAAGTTTATTTTATGTCTTCTAGCCTTTCAACAACACTAATCCAGTTTGAACATAAACTCATTAAGTACTTTTTTTTTTCTAACCATGAAATTCAGTTGTTTTCTGTTCTTCTTTCAAGGACAGAACTTAACATAAAGTGAGTGAAGGTCAGTAAAGATAGAAGCTGTTCAGAATAGGTAAGATCACTGAGAATGCCAAGGTGCAAACATCATGTGTGGAAAATGTGCAGTATTTTTCTGCCTACCAGTCTTGTATTTTATGTACTTTTTGAACACTGCTTGAGTGCCACATACAATGGTCATGTTTATATAGTATATTATATAAGTGCTGTTAGGAGAGAAAATTTTGTGAAATTTACCTACTTTGATCCAGTCATGTTAGCCCCTTCTGAGTAATTGAATTGAATTAGCGGCCTCCGTAGTCTAGAGGTAACGTTCCCACCTCATGACTCGTAGTACGCGGGTTCAAATACCCGGTGGAGATCGTAGAATTTTTAAGGGCAGAAAAATTCAGGGAACAAGTCCTCCGGGAGGGACTTTAAGCTATGGGTCCCGTGTCGTAGCTTTACGGCATGTAAAAGAACCTCATGTCTCCAAATGAGGCCGCTGAGCAAAATTACGGACGTTTCCCGCCCAACAGGAGTCTCTAATACCTCTGGTAGATGGGGGAAGCATTATAGATACCACTCAGCTAGTAGAGGCCGATCTCGCTGGCTGGGCAGGACTGATGGTAAGCACCAGTACCGGTAGGATGTAGAGACTGGTAGAATATCATAGAGGGAAGCACAATGGACCAAGACAGGTGTAAGTGCATGGGGAAACCCACCCTCTCCAATAACTAACTAACTAACTAATTGAATTGAATTGATCAGTCAACCATCAGTCATGTTCCTTTTCCATCTAACCAGTTCAGCTGCACTAAAGCTTATAATTTTTTTCTGTCGTTCAGAATTTGCCACATTTCCAGTCTATCCTTTACTTCTGTTTTTCTCTTGGATTGCCTTAGGTGTGAGGTGGCACATGGTAATGTAGTTGGTTGAGTCACTGTTCTACAAGTTAGAAGGTCACAGGTTCGATTCACAATGTCATTTAATTTTTCACTTGAACTAAACATAATCTTTGTAGTATGTATGCATCCTGTTGTGTGTCAAATATAGTATATATATATATATATAATGGGAACAGTCTATACAACAGTATTTCCAAAAAAAAAAAAATTACAGTACTACTGTATCAACATTTGTTTATTGGCTGTTGACACTACATATATTTTGACCCTCATGTTGGGCCATCATCAGGCATATAAGAATACTAGCATTAGTTCTTGAATTGTGTCTCAATTCATTATGGATCCATACTGTGTTCTTATGAGTTTTATATACATGATTTGAATTTACAGTTAAAACTTGATATTTATACAGTAAAAGTTAAAATTAAAATTAACATTAAAATTGTACAGAAATGGAGATATTTGTAATATATATTACAACCTTCCAGCCACACTATGGACCTGGGGTGAACTCACCCTCTAACAGAAAGGAGTACCCGGAATCTTCTTGGGGGTAAAGGGTGGCAGGGGCAGAAGGCCGACAACCTTACTGCCAACTGTGAATCGATTGTCTAGAAAATGTGGGAGCCTTGGTGATCTTGCAACCCTATGGGCCTCCATGGCCTGTTATAAGGAAAGCTTTACCTTACCTTTGGTGTGAAAGCCCCCCTACCACATCAAGGTGGCAGTCCATGAGAACCCCCCCCCAAACACACACACACACACACAGGAATAAAACCTGCTTCCATGTTGCACNATTTGTTATCACCATAAAACCAAGAGGTAAAGAAAATTTTTGCATGGCTGCCATGTTGCTCCTTTACATTGTTCAAAAATTACCCTAACAAGAGTTGTATGTTTTTCAAAGATTTGTTACCATTCAGCATTTAAGAACCTTGTAGTGCTGTTGTTGCACATGTTTATATTTGCTATGTTGATATTGATTGTAGGGGAAAAACATCACAAAGTTGGGGTAGCCTGTAATGGCATAACATTCATACCACATTTCAAGCAGATCTATCTCTTCATTCAAATGATAGATGGGAGAGGCACACAGACATTGTAATCTCATGAACGTACTTACTTCCTCAAGGAAGGAAAGTAGGTTAAAAATATACACAAGATAATTATATATTTTTTGGGCTCTTAAATGGTTAATTTACTTTTAGAGAATCTGTCATGGACTTTCATAATGCAAATGGATATTGTAATTGTTGGATGGTAAATTTGCAGCTGTGGACAGATTGCAGTTTATTATGTGCTAATTATGACAGCTTATTGCAAATCTCTTTTGTTGTGGAATATCTGCACTGTTGTCACATGTCTAATCATGTATGGAGACTAGTAAAGTGATGTGAATGATCAGCACAAGATAAGGTGCACTTTCTTGTTTTAAGGATATTTCTAATTATTTTAGTCTTCAGGAATATATGACTTAAAGGAGACAACTCACCCTTTTTATTCTTGTACTTATGTTCTAGTCCTTTAGTGATTAAAATTAATTCTGTTTTATGTTATCAGAGTAATGCTTGATATGCTGTCAGTCCAGGGACATATAGAGAAGAAATGGGAAGAAAAAATTGAGAAAGCATTCTGGAGAGGCAGAGACTCTCGAAGAGAGAGATTAAAATTGATTGACATTGCTCGTGAACATCCAGAGCTCTTCAATGTAACTCTTACAAACTTCTTTTTCTTCAGAGATGAAGAGAAATACTATGGACCTAAAGCAGAACATATATCTTTTTTTAAATTCTTTGATGTGAGTATTTTGAAAATTTGACTACTCATGCGTACAGAAACTGTTGTTGATGTTGTTCTCTTCATGGGTTGTTACGCTGTGTGGATGTGGGCGATGTTGCCAATGATTTGGACATACCTGCTGCCTTCAATTTCTATGTAGNAAGAATGCGCAGTCAGCCATTTATGTCAGTGCTTGCCATTCATGTGTCATGTATAGTGCTTGGAATCCTAAGGACAACTATGACATGGCTTGCGAGTTTTTTTGTAGTTCAATTTAATGGCTTCATGTCCCTCACAAGTTAGTTTGATGTTACGTACATTATTAACATTACAGAAACCACATATTTCTGCCAGTTTTAATATGTATTTGGTAATCAACAAGTGTGTAACACCTGTCATAGTTTCACACTTCTCTGGCCATTATCTCCGTAACCATTCAACTTTGGACATAGGTGTTTTGGGTTATATTGGCATACTTTAACATAAAGAACACCCTCCTGAGGTCTGGCACATTCCTCCTGGGACACTCTGTATATATAGCATTGTGTTTTCAGTATCTGCCTGTGAAAGGTCAGCAACATTGCCTATTTCCACATCATGTAACAACTTAAGAACAGAATGAACGTCAGTGATTAACCACCATGAAAGCCAAACATCAGTAAACTGTAGTTGTTATAGTAAAACAGCTCACCTATGTTGTACTGCTTTACTAGTTCTTGTATGGGTATTTCTGAATAATTCCATATAATTCCATGACAGATTTTATTTTTTTCCTGTACAGAAAAGTTAGCCGATTACAGTGGCTGTGTTGTCTGAGGCATAAACTGTCTTCGCTCACTCGGCCTCTGGAATCATGGGTTTGAATCCCACTCAAGGCATGGATGTTTGTTTGTGTTAGGTAACAGCCTTGCAATGGGCTGATCCTCCATGCATGGGGTCCTACCAACTGACCTAGATTAAGAGAAAATAAAATTACTTACCTCGACAGAATACTAAGGTATAAGAGGAGCAGACTAAGAAAGAAAGAAAGAAAGAAAGAAAGACAAAAGAGTTAATTTGAACACACACTCTTATCAGGAGAATAAATTAGGCTTGATTATAATCGTGTCCAGTCCTGTTGCCTGTGATAAGGGTCATCAAGTGATGGAATGATGAAACTTGTTAACTTTCTGGGCCTGGCATACAAAGTAGAGCTTGTGGATATGCAGTGAAAGATGTTCAGTTGTCACTTCATATTAACCAGTTCAGAGTTGCATGAGAGATAGTGGTGCAGCATAGTTGTAGTTGTTTCATTGTGAATCTCTTCTCTACTATACATTTAATTTGTGTGGTGGGAAAGCATGATATAGTCAATCATCAGGGATTAGAATATCTAGGGTGATATGAATTCCCAATATACCACAAGGATATGCAACTGGTAGATGATTGTGATGATTTTTGGTGGAAATGCAGCCAAAGGGTGTCATGAAGTTTGTTGCAGCATGCGGAAGGGGTTGTGGTTTAAGGAATCAAGCATCACTCTTGGTGAAGCAGTCAACCTCCTTTATGAAAAAGAAATTCTCTTAGAAGAATAGCCAGTCACCTATTTCACATTTGACACAAAATTGTTAAACATAAAAACAAATAAATAACTGACAAATCTGGCATTAGAATTCCACCATCCCGACTCTGCTATCGAAATGAATGGTCTATCCTACTCAGCCTTCAACTTGTCATTCCTTTTAAAAAAATCTTCGAAATTAATAATGTCTTAAATAAGGAAATGTAGTCCAAGGCCCTAACTTTGGCTTCTGTGGTTACAGCACAGCTGTGTATTCATATAGCTACAAAATAGTACCACATGGTAATAATCCAGAAAATTACATTGGGCTGCTTCTCCAAATATTCAGCAATGGTGATAGAATTGTATTGTATGTGAATCTGTTCTAAAGGCAACAGATAATATTGTCACAGTCACTAAGATGCGGGTTTCATTGGTATTTTAATTTATTAATCACCTACAGGTTGTAACTACAATTAATTATTACACTATTGCTGCTTTACACAATGTACAGTCGCTCCACATTGATCTCTTCGGTCTATCTGCACTAGTCTTCGTGGGTTTATAACATGGGAACTATGAGTATAACAGTCTCACTGAATCACACACTCCGAATATTACACACAAATAAAGTCTTCTAATCACACGTTAAGTCTTCACAGGCTGACTTCTAGTTCTTCTTCAACTATGAACTTCCCGTGGCTATCTCCTTGGTTGCTTGTTCGCATGCTTATGCCGCTATTAACTGCTTTACTTATATAGCCAAGGACTGGACATGGACCTATGGTAAACACATCGTGTGATCACTATCCAGCCAGCCCGTTGGCATGTTAGTCGGGTATACAAAAAGAAAATGTCACGTGATCACTGTCCACTGTTGTGATGTCACAACAGACGTGGAAAACATCTTCCTCTTTTCTTGCGTAACCTAGCAACAGACTCTTTACCAAGAATCTCTCTTTGCAGGAACTTGTTTACCAACACATTGCCTAGCAATGGGTGTACATATAACAGTATTAAATCTTGTATGTATTCCTTCGGGTTTTCTGGAAATTTCTAATCATACTACCTTGTAATAAGACAGTGAAATAATTTGATTGAAATGGAGGATACCAACACTGAACCTCTGGGGCGCTAAATTGAGTATGTACATACATTTGCATCCATATGTAAACTTTAAAACCAGCCAACCTCTGATTTTTTGATGATGATGTTTGCAGTATAAGGCTTTGCAATATACAACATTTGAATCTCTCACTGATATGTATTTTCCTATTTAGGTGTGTCATCTATAGTTTACACACATATGATTTTAATTTGCAAAGAATCTATGTGCAGTGATGTCTTCTCTGGTGATCCATTGTTTCAAAGACTATCTTTTTCCATATTTAGGGGTTGATGTGATGAGTGACATGGCAACACACTGTATTTATACCACAGATTATTCTCATGGCTGCCCCAGCACAGACTAGTGATTTGGAGGCTACCCTAAATGGACATGATCTCCGTCCTCACATGACTGATCACCCAAGAAGACTTCGCACATTTAACATACAGTTTCTCCCTCATATTTTTAAAATGTTAATTACAGATATTTTCTCCATATTCATTAACTGGGTGCTCTTCATACAGAAATACAGTTTGTGTCTCTAATTTTCTGTTTTTGAACTTCAACTTTTTACATGTCTTCCAAATCTCTTTTTCAGTACAAATACCAAATAAATATAGATGGTACAGTGGCTGCATATAGATTTCCTTACCTGTTGGCAGGCGATTCTTTAGTTTTCAAACAGAATTCAAAATATTATGAGTATTTTTATAAAGAACTTGAACCATGGAAACATTACGTTCCCTTCAGAAGTGATTTAAGCGACTTAGTGGAAAGAATACGCTGGGCAAAGGATAATGATGCTGAAGCTCAAACAATAGCAAGAACTGGACAGAAATTTGCCCAGGAGAATTTAATGCCACAAGATGTGTTTTGCTACCATGCAGTACTGTTTAAAGTAAGTATAAGCCATTTTTTAACATTGTATAAAAGTACAGCTATTCTACCAATAAATCAGGGCTTGTATAAAAGTATAGCTATTCTACCAATAAATCAGGGCAAGTGAATTCATTGCATGGAATTTAATTATTTTAAATTGCCTTCACTTATGTGCATGTGAACATACTTGCCTTCAAATGTGGATGGTGTCTATGAATATACTGAATGAATAAACAGTCATACAGCTGACAAGGGTTGGCCCTCCAGCAAATATTTGCTCATCCAAGTGGATTTTGAAAATAAAAAATCAGTGCAAAGACATGGTGTATGATGGCATTACATTAGTTTACATTACCTTGGGAATTATATTGATTGTTCATTAAACCATTGTTGGTTGCTGATTATTGAACAGTGAAATATATTTGACCAGTAGGCAGGTTGTGGGAAGATTGACATTTCACATCTGGAGCCCTACAGTTTTATTTAGGGATAGAGTTTCCATAAACTACCAAAATTTAATCAAAGTCATTAGGTTTGTTTTTAAGAAAGTAGTAATTTTGTATTTTGGAGTTGGAATGTTTGAAGTCACCTGGCACCAGTTTAGAATGGATGAAATCTTAAATACCGAACATGGATAAAATCTAACTGTTCAAATGCAGCCATGCACACAGACAGAATTCCAAAAACTACTTTTTCATAGTCAGGTACGCTGAAAAAGTGTAAATCCATTGAGAGTGATTCTTTCATAGTCACAATACTTTCTCATTTATGAAGCATATATGATGAAGTTAAAGATTCTGTGTTTTGCTGACTGGGTGTTTTCTCTGTGGCTCAACATCAGTTAAAATGCCTTGCATTGTGCCTGGGGCTGTTGGGTTGATACTGTATTAATGAATAGAACTTACTTACTTACTTACTTACTTACTCACTCACTCATGGAGCTGAGCCCTTCTGGAGGAGCTGCCAATTCTGCAGCTACTCAAGAATTTCCCAGCATTTTATGGAACCCCGAAGGTTCATTGCCGTGTTCACAAGAGCCCTCCACTGGTCCCTATCCTGAGCCAGATCTATCCAATCCATACCATCCCATCCTATCTCTCTAAGATCCATTCTGATATTGTCCACCCACCTATGCCATGGTGTTCCCTGTTGTCTGTTTCCTTCTGGCATTCCCACCAATATCCTATATGCATTTCTCGTCTCCCCCATTCGCGCTACGTGACCTGCCCACCTCATCCTCCTTGACTTGATCATTCTAATTATACTTTGAGAAGAGTACAAGTTATAAAGCTCCTCATTATGCAGTTTTCTCCAACCTCCTGTCACTTCATCTCTCTTCGGTCCAAATATTCTCCATTAATGAATAGAACACCTCAAATATTGTGGATGGCATTGCAATATGAAGTTTCAGAGATTTTACTGGTTTCTGAGAATTATTAATTTCTGTGTAGTGTTTCCCAACTAAGTAAATTGCATATGGTCCAATCATAGGTAAAATGTCTGGCTGATTGTTTGTGGGTAGTATTTCCTTCCAGCAGCCTTCCTTAGTACAATTTTTACAGGTTTGAAAAATTTCTTGTGCTTCTCATATAATGTGTGTACCTGCCAATGTCTTTGAAGAAACAAAATGATCAAGTACCCTGACAAAAAAGGTGTCAAATCTTGAAGTCATATGAACATACAGAGATACTGGGTTTTTGGACTTTGTCCATCGTCCGGATTCTAAATAACTAAGAAAAAACACAACATTTCGGAAACTGAATCTGTTTCCGTCCTCAGGTGAGAGAAGACACCTACTCTGTTGGGTCCCTAAGAAAGAGCTAGCCTTAATCACTGGAAAACCGATGTCACAAAATGCTAAGGTTATAAACACCTGAGACCAGGCTAAGTCCATGACAGCTAACAGGAAAAATATACACTAAAAATTGGCTTGTTATATAAACCATCAGTCATCTGAAGTTTTGTTAAGGGACCTAAAATTAGGGCTACTTTCCACAAGAATCACTAACATGTAAATATTACCAGAGGAAGCAATCAGAATACAGTTTTAGCAAAGAAATTCTGCCCTAAAAATAACGATAATAATGACATTTTTATGTTTACTTAGTTCTTTCATGTGTCGTTTTAAATGGTATCACAAACTACTCCTCCTCCTCGTCTTCTTATTCTTCATCATCATCATCATCATCATCAACAGGTTCAATAGCTTCATTTCATGAATGCTTTGACCTGCTGAACAATTTCCTTCCAACTACTTATGTCCTGTATGTGAGTTATCCAGTTATAAATTCCTAAATCCTTTAGGTCTTCCCTTACGTCATCTTTCCATCTAATCTTAGGTCAGACTCTCTTTCTTATGGCGTGTGGCTGCCAGTCATATATTCTTTTAACTGTTCGTCCAGCCTTCATCCTTGAGATGTGTCCAAGCCAACTTATTCTTTGGGCTTTGATGAAGTTAACTATGTTCCTTTCTTTTATTAGATTATCTAGTTCGTCATTGGTGTCACAAAGTGTTACATAGAAGTATTCTCCAAATGTCTCATGACTTGCTAGAACATTAATAAAAATTATTTCACTTATGGTCTAAAGTATTTGTTTTATGCATACATGCATTGGATGCCTAATGTTGGTGAGTTAAGGGGACCATTTACATAATTATGTGTTTTTTTATACTTTATTCCATGTGAAAGTTCTTTTGCAATTGAAATCCAAAGCCTGAAATCATATTTGAAGTTCCTTTATTGTGTTCCATATGTTTTTCAGGTAAATTCTGACCACATTACTCTCTTTATTTCAGTCCTAAATTGAAACTGACATGGAAATCTATGACATGATTCATCTGGTTCATAAAAAAAACTAAAATAGTTCTATTTATTGCAGATACAGATGAAATTTATACATTGGCTAGTGCCTATTCTGAACTCGTGGTAATATGGAAACTATTTAATATCATTGCATTTTTCATAGTTTGATTTTATTGGCATGAACTGTTTATTTTAAGGAATGGAGTGATCAACTCAGAGAAAATGTGGAAGTGCGGGATGACATGGAGCATGTTCCACAGCCTGGACCAGACAAGCCATACACTGACTGTAATTGTCATAGATCTGACAAAAGTGCAAAGGCTGTCCATCTGAATACAAGAGAAGAAGATATGAATACTCGAGATGAGCTTTGAAGATGCCATATTGCAAGATATTTCCCTCCAAATATTGGTAATGTCATAATCTTTTGTTTCCATTATACAAACAGTTTTGACACACATATATATTGAACAATAGAGAAACCAAACCAATGTTTTGATTAGAACTGCAATGAACATAAGCTATATTCTTTTGTCAGTATTTTGTGTACATATGTATATTATGTTTTATGAAGAGAACTGCCAGACAATCATATCTTTGTTAAAATGCTGTTTACTTAATAAGGTGTATTTTCTTTTACTGTAAAAATTGTAATTGTAAAGAACTGTTAAAAAATGACATATGGTATGACTTGGTTTGCATGTAAGGAATTAATTGCAGCTGCATTGTAAATGGTAAATCATGATGAAGGATAAATCAAACTTCCTCAGAAAACCTGCTGTTGTAAATAAAGTCCATTATTGAAAATGGCTGAGCTTCATGCAATACTTAACTGTATCCCCCACTTTAACAGTTCTTCATTCTTTTGATGCAGAAAACGTATTATAGACCAGACACCGACCAGTCACATGTCTGTTGAATTAAAGGAGAGAATCAAATTCTCCCCCCATCAAGGCTCAGAATGCTATTTTATTTCAGATACTCTCACAAAGTTAATTTGTCTAGGATGTTAAACAGAATGATTTTGGCAATTGTTATTCTAGCTAGAAAGGATCCTAGGAGAGTCAGTCAGAACTGAAGAATGCTGTATATCATTACAAATTTTCTTGCTTGGATATAAAAGTTTACTGGCTCGGGAAAGTTTGGGTTCGTTATTCAGTGCATTGACCATTCATAGGGAACAACACTAGATTAACTTCATGCAAAACTGAATAGGTCAGCTCTATTCAGACTTTGGATAAAGAACTTGTAAAATAAATACTGCCAATAGATATTGAAATGTTATTTATATAAATATAAATAAAATTCTGGTGTCATTTCTAACAGGTTCTGATGACAGTGAATGACACTTTGGATTCTTGAGTGTTTGGGCATACTCATCCTCTGGTATTCTAGGGAACACTTCATCCAGTGACTGAGGTTAGCTGTTTCTAAGAAACCCAACAGAGTATGTGCCTCCCACACTTTCATCTAAGAACAGCAATAGATCCATTTTCCAGAATGTTACTGTAAAATGCCAGATGATGAACAAAGCCCAAATATTCAGTAGTCCAGAATAACCATTTGGTTCATTCTTTATTATTTCTATTTATTTATGTTTTTCCTTTTAGATTGGCAAGCTTGTTTGCTTTATTGTGTTTAGTTGCTTACTTTATTTGTTTTTCTGTTCCATTTCTTTTATTGTTTGGAGTAATAATGAGTTGAAGCTACACTTCTCTCGGTCACAGTTATTAGGGCAGTTCTGTCTTAAATGCCCACAGTTTGGACATACTGTGGGGTATGAATCACATTCACCAAATTTACGTTTTTATTTTATGAGCTGTATACAGGTCCAAGCTAATGTCCTGAGCAACTCTCTTACACCTTACTTTCATATACTGTTGAATGGCATAAACATGCTGTGTTCCAGATACACCAGCTATTTTGGACAAAGTTCTGCAAATTTGGAAAGCTTATTTTCATGCCTGGAATTATTTCCATAAACCTTTTAAGACTGACTTTTAGGTTAGTTATGGTTAGTTCTTTTGTTTGTGATTATTGATCCATAAACATTTACAGAGACATAATCTTGATTCCTGAACATAGCTCATCTCTTCATACTGACAGAATACTGTCACTGATAAATAGGTTTGAATTTGAATAGGTCTACCTTTCTTTGATTCAGCTTCATGAGGTTACCATCTTGTATCTATGTTACACTTTTTCAGGTGGATTCTTAATGCGAGTGTAATGGCTGTCAGCATTTTAATGTTCTGTGGAGGTTGGCTAAATAAAGTGAGGTATGTATATAATTTGTTTAAAATGGTCTGTTGCTGTCATGCTTATGCAGCTGTCAGGGCTAACTGATTCAAATGGTGACACAAGTATAGTAGGGAATTCACGATTGAACATTGCAACAACTCTTGGCTTTCATTCTGACAGTATTACAAGCAGCAGAGTAACCTGTCACATTTGTTGTTATGCCATTGTTTTTCGGGTATGACTAAGCCATATAAAATAATGACTTACACTCTGTCTGTTACAACACATAACGAATCATAGTGAAGAGTTTGCTAGTTGACTTATAATTAGTGATAATTTTTAATCGATTTTGGCTTATATTAAATTCTGAAGGCCTACAAACAGTAATATGACAGTATAGCTCTTATTCAATACATTTTCCCTCAGATGAATATGCAGTGAGATGTTCCTGAAAATGTATTGTCACAAGTATGAGTGACTATAGATGGGGTGTGGATTGGTATTGGATTTATTGAACACTTATACACACCACTCATAACTGCAAGTAACTAAAGCACTATCATTGATTCACACACCCTGCAGTTCACTACAGCAACCTTCCACATTAGGGCACATTAAAGATTCATTTTACTGGCCTTTTGTATTGTGATTGTATGCTACAGATCATTCCACCCACCAGAATATAAGCTATATATGAAGCGCTTACCTATGGTGTGACACAGAGGACTCAGAGAGTTGAGTTAATTGCTTATGAATAACAAGGAGGTCAAGGAGAACTGATATGAGATTACCACTGCCGAGACATAATTCCAAATTACTACAGCAAAAGCAGAGTATGATGTCAGTTACATAATGCAAACTTCATTCCAAGATTTCTGTGATTGTGTCTTACTTGTCAGAACAAAGTGGCAAGCTCCAAGGAAAAGGTTATCAGGGTTGTCCACTATTTTATTAGCAGATTGTCTGGCTTCATAACTTAGATCATCAAGGACTCAGTCTAGTGTGCATTTTCATGCTCTCTGTAATTCTCCAACTGCATACAACAGATCAGCAGGTACTATTAAAAATGTTTGTGTATATATGATAAAGGATCTTATATCACTGATGTGGCAGCACCAGAAATGTACTTGTTTTAGGCTCATATCATACAGATGGGCATGACTTACCAGACTCTCTGAAGGACTGTTTGTAGACTCAGTACAAATTTCATATTATATTTATATTGCAGCCTTCATGGGCATGACATAAATGTTTCAGAGGGGGATACTAGCATCATCTTTGGGGTAAAAGTGAGCAAAGTGGTAAAGTGGCAGGTTGTTTATAAAATATGGGGAAGGAAACTGGGTCACGAATGGTATTAATTCTGCTCGCTTCTAGGAGTAGGAACAGGTGATGGCCATGGTCCTGAAATACAAAAGAGAGAGTTATAGCCTAACAAGCAAGTTGGCTGAAGTGGTAACTTTTATGGCTTATATTTGGGAGGTGGGCAGTTTGTATCTCAGTGGACCACTGACTGCCATGACCTACATTTTATGTAGTTTTCTTCAGTCCCTCCAGACATGCCTGGATAGTTCCTCAGAGTGGAACATGACTTTTGTTCCACATCCTTTCCAACAGTTGTATCATTATATCATTCAGTACTTCTAGGCTGCTCTATTAATAGTACAGCTAATTGAACCATAAACAGATATCCACCAAAAATTGGGAATTACTGTGATGAGAATGGAAACATTATGAAACATGCAATGGTAGAGAAATAGATTCTGTAACCAAGCCACTGAATGGCAGACACCAACCCAATGAGCCATGATGCAGTGACAAAAATAAACTGCCTGGAATTTGCGGCAACCAGCACTGGCCACCCACACAAAAGTGTTGCACTTTTTTGCCAATTCAGTCTACAACAAAGACCTTATTGGCATGAAAAATGTGATGTCAACCTGTGTATTATCACACTACACTAACTTGCTGAGAACTGTATCTTGGCATGGGAAAACCATAGGAGTCCCACACGGCAACCATGTGAATGAAACAGGCACAACTTATTTTGATTTCACTGTATAACAGCTTCATACTGAAGTCTCTTGCATATGACAAATTGCAGACCTGAAATTTTGCAATTCAGTGGTTGATGTTTTGTTTGTTATAAGATATTTCTTATTTCATACTTTTGTCATTAATAGTTTTAGAGAAATGTACACTTTTAAAAAGGGGGGCACAGTTTTATTTAAATGCTGTTATTTAATTTGGGCCACAAACTATTACCATAAGGATTCAAAACAGATATGATAAAGATTATGCCATGGTTTTTCATAATGTGTTACAAAATTCAAAGTTGTTGAATAATCATTTATTTCTAAAAACATCTTGATACTACAGCTATAATAAAAATGAATTTTTAGATTAATTATAAATTGCATTAGATGTTTAAAGATACCTAAGTAAAAATCCATTAATTATCCAAGTACTTTAAAATGTCATGCTCACGTCTTCCATTCACAGTACTGAATAAAATATTACTACTACCTTAACCCTTTTTAAAAATACCCTTGAAACAAGCAGTCTTAATACAAGTACCACCTAGAAGTCATTTTAGAACTAACGTTACGCTATATAAATTGTTTTGGTAGTCACAAGCAGAGTATGTAAAATGTATGCAAAATGCCAGACACATTACAGATGTTCCGTTATTGTAGTTATTTATTTTTGAAATGCTAAACCACCTTACACAACTGTGAACGGAGTAGCAACAATTCTTAGAGATGTACATGATGAAATTTTATTGATATTCGGTCTTCTTTCCTGACTGCTATACCATATACATAGAATCAGTCACACAATTGCATACAGACATTATCTGGTATATGCATGATTTCATGAACACAATAACCAGTGTCATGGCCATGAATGTAATTTTGGTAACCAGGTCTAGCTACAGGCATAACAATATTTTACAGTACAGTTTCCAGGAATAATACTCTTCACCTGCCCCCACAACACACACAGAGTAAAATACCTCCGCATAGGTAAACCCCGAGAACCCAACATTTTGGGCTTTGTTATATGAGAGCTATTTACAATCCTGATGTACTGTATTTTATCCTCCGTGTGCCTATAATTTTTGTAATGTACCAAGATTCATATTAAAGAAATTTTCATATATCTGAAATAACAGATTACTGTTACTAATTTAAGAAATCTGAAAAACTGCATAAACAAATTTAAAGTAATGATGCAACGTTCGTTTTGGTCTGCATCAGACCAGTGTAATTCCTACTTTACTATAAAGCTCAAAATGAACTTCATTACTTTTGAATTTTTCTGAAATATAAATCGTATACAAACAGGAACATGATACAATAGAGATCTCATTAAGATCTACATTTATCTTAAACATTAATCATTGTGGTTAGTATTTAATGGGGGAGGGGGGAAGAGATTACAAATACATTTTGAGACAGATAAGAAGTACTGATCCTTGCAAAGGCCACTGCTATTTTACTGGTCCAAAAATTAGACATGATTTAACACTTTGTGGACCGGCAATTTAAATATTTAAATCACCCTGGGGATCGGCATTTTTATACCTACTACCCTAACTTGTGCACTGTTCACTTTAAAAATTAATATAAAATCTCCTAATTAATTTTTGAACTAAAATTTTTGGAGAACCCTTACCAATGCTAGAAGTGCTTGAGAGTGTGATATTTCTGGAAACATTCCACTTTGTGAAGTGGCATTACACACTTGTAAATGTAGACAGTCAGTCCTTTTTTTGTCAACTGTGCAAACATGACATTGCCTAAAAGGATGCTTCCCCTTGGAATGTTCACCCTTCACAATTTTCATGAGGGTATGTTTCCACATATCACCCGAGAGTCACCCGGGGGTGTCCACATGAGGCCTGCATGGGATGGGAGTGTCTGACTCTGGTTCTGCCGCCACCATCTGGTCTGTAGCCCAAGCCTTTGCCACATTCATCAGAAATGCTTTGTATTTCAATTTTGAATCAGGGTTTAGATTTTTGTAAACAAAAAATGAATTGAAAATGGCACAATTTATAAGCCACAAGGCAACTTTCACTTTTATTATCTGTGGGCACAATTCTTTGTTGACCCCTGTCACTTCCACTGTCTGAGTCACTAATCACTACTCCTCCACAAGGCACGTCAGATAGCTCATCGGAAAACAAGTCAGAGAGATCGCTTTGCCTTCAACCACTTTTGTCCTTGAAACACATTCCCCCTCAACTAACTTCCTGCCTGGTACATAAACGGCTGGAAGGGGCAAAGTTTATTTTCTTTTGGAGTAGGGACCCTAGCCAGCCAGGTCAAGTTACTGAATACCTAGCATACATTCCAAAGATTTATTACACAATATTCATTGCAGTTGCATGGCACCAGAGCAAGGTATAGTGTGTTACAACCTAATGTGTCCTAAAAGCCTGATATCATGCGACCGGTCCACCATGTTTAAAAGTGAAAAGCCTGATATCATGCGTCCGGTCCGCAAAGTATTATAATCACAGATCTAATTAATTATGCTAACAGAAATCTGTAATGCATACTGTTTGGATTAGCGTGTTAAACACCATTTATCAAAGCACTGCAAAGCGGCAAAGAATAATTTCGTGTTATCATAAATGGCAAGTCATTATTCCTCAATTTCTTTGAATATTTGCCTTTACTTCATGTCTGAATATATATGCTTAATTTTTGTAATATATTGGTAAAAACTGCTTTAAAAAAGGTGGTTTCTCTTTCAGGATGCATAATATGAAGTTGTTCTAGTAACAGTACTGAGTAAATGAAAAGTCATTTGGTTTTCAGTCTGAAATGAAACTTTTCACAGACTAAGTGCATAATGTAATCAATGTGGCAACAAAAAATACCTGTACATGGTGTGAACTGTTATGAAAAGTATGCTTTGAGTGTGAGAGGAATGAAAGCCTAGCAGAAGAGTTGCAGTGGCAACACCAAATAGAGTTTGCGCCGAAGAACTCAGTTTGGAGAACCGATTCTTCACATCCTATTATGTCATTAAAACTGCATGTTAAAATGAAATAATGCAAATGCCTTTTAATGTGAGCAAGAACAAACCTATCAAGGAAAAAATTCTCTCTCCCCTCTTTGTGCACATGGTTCAGAAACAACATGGTCCTAAAATTGATCTTTTTCAAAACATAATGATTTCTGAACATTCTGCAGTGAAAACATTGGTTTGAAAAGAAAATTCTTATTTTCTCGGTTCTCTTGTCCTGATCTCACTTCAAACCAACAAAGTCATTGTCAGACACGCACTTCAGACCTCTCACCTTCCACAACTTTATTTGTAGCCATAGGAATGCCATATAAATTAAAAAGTTTCTGAAGAGAGTCAAGTGTGTTTAAAACGATATGTGTCACTTATTTATGGCATTTTGTGAGAGAGAACAGCCTGAACCTCATGTGGGGCACAGTAAATAGAAATTTTGGAAAAAAGAAAATAAGTACATCATATACATGCATAAATTTGGTACCATGTTCAAGTTTCTGGAATAAACTGTTTCAAAGCTATGCTAAATGTATGTTAATTATTCACTCATCCTTTTACAATCCTTGCTTTAACAAAGTTTAAGACATCTGGATATACATATATTATAATGTACACACAGTTACACATTCACTACATTCAAACACTGAAAAGTTAAATAGGTCAAAAAATAGAACACTGCTGCTAGCCTATTAATTCTACATTCTAATTGTCTATTTAAGCATTATACCATTAATACTTGAAACCAAGATTATTCAATCTTGAAATCTTCGTTGCATGTTAGGAAGCTTATTCACTAGTAGGCCTACATATTCCCAAGAACTGTCAGGAAGATTCTTCTGTGCAGTCTGTTTAATATATAATTTTTCCAGGTGATATTTCATAATGATTCTGACACATGTACAACCTTTCAGTAGCTCCTATGCCTAACATTTTTCACTGAAACATGTCTTAAGCCACAGCAAATGATACAGAATTTACACAAAAATGAGTGGGCAAACCAATTTTTATGTTCTTATTCTCTGAAGAGAATAAAGCACTTACTGAAAATGACATGAAAGATACAAAAGCTTTTGTTCATATAACAGGCATCCAGTGACAGAGATTACTAATGTTGCATGCTACTGGACACTTGCCTGTAAGCTTTTTGTCTTGTGCAGTTATTTATTTTGGTGCGTGTTTATTCTGGTATATTTATGGAGTCAACACCATCTCACCTCATTTTGAACATCACATCAAATGTTCATACATCTGGTTTCATTTTTTTATGTTCAAAGTAAAACCTTGTATGGAAATGTACATGAGATCATCAGAAAATAATTCCAGTATTTTAGAAACTTCAGGAAATAATAAATTTACAATGCTAATCTTTGATCTTAAATGTTAAAACACAAGTGTGTCTATGTCTGAATGTAAATATAATTTGCTGGAATATAGTGCAACTGGACACATCTTATGTTTGGACATTTAAATGTATATCATGCAAGCTTTCATAATGGAACTGATATCTTAGGAACTACGGCATCAAAATCAGTGAAATAAAAACATATTTACTTCAAAGCAAATCAAGAAAATTGCAACATGGATCATACTTGTATTCTGTGCAATTAGTATCCTATACACAAAACATAAACTTAAACTGTGATTTATAGTATCAAAAAAGACAAGTTTCACTTGTTTTAGATTTCACTACATATTGTATGTATCATTGTTGCTTCTGCTCTGAAACTGTTCACAACTTAATTTGTGTGTGGTATTCTTGAAAGCAGACACATGTACAGTCCTATATGATAACTCACACAATTATAAATTGTTTGCAAATCTCTCCTCAAGCCAAACACTTGCTGTGACTTCTGTATTTTCCTGGCCAGTTCTGGTTATGCCTCAATTCAAGGCAATCTGATCTGTAGCTGCAGGGGTTTGGATGAAGTTGCCCCAATATCCTATCTTCTATCAGATTTCTCTTCAAAGAGAATTTAGTAATCTTGATAGGAATACTTGATCCCACAAGACAACAGAATCCAACTGTTCAAATGGTCAGGTCAAGCAGAAGGAAAAATGAAAGTATGTGGATTGATCAAACAGCTAGTTACCATTCAGTTGCTGTTGTCCATGTACCTCAAATCTATACTGTACGTCTTGACAATGCGTGGATTCATGGCATTGCCATATCCATCACACTTTTCATTTTGTTAGCAACTAGTGCATGTTGGTATGCATACATGTTCTTCCACACTAATGCAGTCAAGTTTGCCCTGGTTCTAGCTCTTCCAGTTTTGGTGTTTTTATATAGAAAATCATGTTTGGCTGGACAGTACCACAGTTTGTTTTATGGTAGCAAAATTATCAAACAAACAATTAAGAGAAGAAACAGATAAGCAATTTGAATCCTTCCACCCACTGCAGAGATTTTTCACAGTTATGTGTGTTGCTGTAATTTCTTCAGCTTCAGCCTGTCTTTTCTTAAACTCTCACATATGTGTAGCTCATGCTCTCACTAAGCTTGAAAATTGTGATGCCAAAATGTTTTTGCTTTTTAGGTATATGCTGTTTGAAAACCATCCTTCCTTTTAAATTTCACATTATTTCTTCCACTGCCAAATTTTCAGAGGGGTTGTAAAATTTAGCAAAGAAATCATTCAACAGGCCTGAAAGAGTTCTGTTCTTATAGTCTGTCACAGATTTTATGAACCTTGTCAGATGTTTCACTTCTGTCTGAAAAATGTAAGAAGTGCAACACACGAAGGTATCTGTCACATTTCATGGTGTTACTGTGTACATCAACAGTCATTCATGTTCTCTCATGCCTCATTTGTATAGTTACAAGAAATACATTTGACTGACATTGACAAGCGAAGAAGATGAGGATGCCTTTGTTCAAGAGTCCAAATACTGTTGGTAATACAGGTTTGTCTCTGACAACAGTTGGATAACTGCTGTAATATACACCATCAGAAAACCACATGAAATGTCATTTCTGCTGACAGAAGCATAATTTTTGTTCATGCCATTGGGGGCTCAAGTAAATAATATGGATGCTCCTGCATCCTTCCTTACAGAAGTTTCCATTTTGAGTCTCCATCAGCACTACACCAGGTTGTCTTCTCTTCTTGTTCTTATGCTCCTTATCTTCTACATCACTCAGTTCACTGCATTAATCAGAATCATTGCCTTATGCTGTTCCTTTTTCAGAGTCAGCACTGTCTTATTCAGCCTACTAACCCAATAAGTGTAAAAGAAATTCTGTAAACACACACAAATCATATATATGAGAGAGGCAGGTACATACCAGACAAGAGGTCACAGAAGCAGTCATGGGATGTTAACATAGACATTTTATGACCTTTTTAATGACAAGATGAAGAAATGCCCAACATTGTTACTGCAGACCCTTGCTCAGAAGATGCACCTTGCTCTCTCTTTAATTTGTAATATTTAAAGTCAGAATAAAAGAACTGAACTTCATGTCCTACTGAGATTACTGTGGTGGTGGTTGATACCCGGGAAATCGGCTCTGGTCATAAGCTCCGTACTGACCTTGAGGTGGAGGGCCCTGTGGTCCTGGAGGCGGCATCTGGGAAGTAGGGGGTCGTGGATACTGATAGCCACCTTGTGGAGGTGGGGGAGGGTAAGTTTGAGGCCCATAGGCTTGCTGAGTATGTGCAGGGTAGGAATGTTGTGATCCAGGAGGATGTGGAGGATAGGACTGAGGCTGACCTTGTGCACCAGGTGGCACATAAGTCTGAGTTGTGGCAGGAAGAGACTGGGGTGGTGGCAATCCATAACCACCTGGCTGCTGAGGTTGAGGACCAGCTGATGGGGGCCCTTGAGGGCCTGGTTGGCCCTGTGGAGGCTGAAATCCTGTCTGAGCTGCTGCAGTGGACTGTGGTGGTTGTGGTGGTGGCTGTTGCTGCTGGGGCTGCTGCTGTGACTGTGCTTGTGGTGGATAACCCCCAGTGGCCTGTGTAGAGGGAGGATAATTCTGAGGTGGAGCATTACCTGGTCCTTGTGGATATGTCTGGGTTGATGCTGATGGAGCCATGCTAGTAGAAACTCCCGTCTGTGAGTATGAGTTCTGGGGATTGGGCTGGGGTGGACCTCCAGTAAATGGTGGTGATGTGGCACTTGAAGGTCCATATACACCAGGTACTGGTCCAGGACTTGTCTGGTTGCTGTAACTGCTCTGATTTGGTTGTGATGGTGGTTGCTGAGACTGGGCTTGTGTTGTTGGAGGTACATATGCACCAGGCTGAGTTCCAGTACTGGATGCTCCGCCTCCTCCACCACTGTTGCCACCACCTCCACTGGCAGTAGCAGCAGAAGCATTTCCACCACTTCCTGCATTTGTTCCTCCATATCCTGGTTGCTGCTGCTGTTGGGGTTGGTAACTATTGCTCCCAGCTCCACTACTTACATTCGCATTGTAACCCACACCCTGTCCAGTTTGTGTAGATGACTGAGCCACTGTTCCATAATTTGTCTGTGACCCAGAGGAGCCATAGCCAGTCTGTCCAGCCCCTGGGCCATAGCCACCCTGTTGTGGTCCTGTGGCAGTGGGTGGAGGGTAACCTGACTGCTGTGCTGGAGGAGGTGGTCCATAGCCAGGTTGCTGACCTGGGCCTGCAGGCCCACTACCATAACTGCCTGACTGCTGAGTAGGGGCTGGACCACCATATACAGCACCTGTACCAACCTGTGAAGTTGCATTTGGAGGAGGACCATAGTTTGGTTGTGATGATGATGGTGGCCCACCATAGCCCTGAGGCTGCGTAGATGGAGGCCCACCATAGCTGCCTGGCTGAGTCGAGTTTGGATAACCACTCTGCTGCTGTGCTGGAACTGGTTGTTGGTTTGGTTGTGGCTGAACTGGGGGAGCATATGTCTGTAAAATACAGAATGAATCTTTTAGATCCAGAGTATTCAACTGAAGTTTCCTGAATTGGAATGGGGGAGGGGGGACTTATGTTGTCACTGAATGGGAGTGACTGTAGTAAAATATATGACTGCAGAAATATGTTGACATTTACATAACCAGACCTGTTGCCAAAAACACATTCTTAGCATACATTGGAGTAAAGTACGATATATACAGGTTTCTTGGATATTTCCCATTGTCTGAAGGTGAGATTATGTTCACAACAGGATAAACTATGTGGCCATATGTTTAAGATTTTGTTCCCTAACAAACATCTGCTGTTTTTCAGTTGGCATCAACTGCAAAATATTTAAAAATCTTAATTATGGCAATAAGATGGAAGAGCTTAGATGTGAATGTGAAGCTTGAAATAATACATCTATGTGAAGTCAGCAGCTTGTCAAAAAGTGAAATAGGAAGACAAGACGGATTAACTTCTTTGACACTGTTTACAATATTAGAGAACAGAAAACATGGTATATACTAAACCCAAACTAAATGACAACTCAGTTTCACATTGCCAGGATTGTGACCTGTCTCAATCTTCAGCATGACACGGACATGATCACTTTCTGCCACTATGTGCAATAACATTATTTTCGATGAAATGATGACCTGACTGTCTTTTTAATCAGGCTCTTCAATTTCATTACAATGCATATATTTTAATCATTCCCAAGAGTTTGCTGGACCAACATTTCAGTGTATCAAGTGAACCAATGCAGTACCTGGGCAGATGTCTGGTTCTGACTGGGATACTGTCCAGGGTAGCCCTGCTGAGGTCCTTGCTGTTGATAATTTTGGGGACCACCCCTGTACTGCTGGTTTCCTGAACCAGCACCAGGTCCAGGACCTGAAATAAATACACTTTTACTAACAGATTAAATCTCTTCAATTAATGATACTTATTCCCTTCAATATGAATTGGTAATTACCGTAGTTATTTCTATAAGGAATCAAATTATATTCCCTCCATGATTCTGGAAACAAGGTTTTCATAACAAAATACATATAACTTCTGTACTATACACCTAAAATATCTTAAAGAAAAAATTATGTTTAAAAATTAAATAATTAAACTATACAACATTTTGAAGGAATTTTTTTAGAACTTCCTGCATGTCTTTGATAAAATGTTACACAGTGTTTACATCTAGCTTTAATACAACTGGGCATAATTCTGTGTTGCATTACAGAGTCATATCATGAGAACCAACAGTTTACCATCATTGTACTACAGATACTCTTGCATACTTGTAAAATGTTTTATTCCATTTTCCTTAATCTCTCAGGAGAGGGATGTTTTGTGTAACAGTATCTCTGATCCAATAACTCTGGAGCCAACTGGATGATACCTATGAAACCTCCTACTTACGTTGGGGCATGTTCTGTTGTCCTGGCATCATCTGACCTCTGTAACCTCCCTGTTGTTGCCCAAAGGAAGCCATTGCTCCCTGGGAACCAGGTGGAAGGTCATTTGTGGGCGCTGGTGATGGCCCAGGTGGGCCACCAGCCTGTCCTGCTGGACCATGCATTCCATGTTGTTGACCTCCTGGGGGCTAAATCCATGAACACACATCTTTTAGGTGTTAAATTATTCTTATGGAAATAACAAAGTTTGGAACAAATCTGAAGGGAAACCAATTTCAATGAACTGCATTCAGGGATCAAAATGTAAATTAAGCTTGTATTTTACTCTTAACATGTCTCTCAAGATTTTCCACATGTTTAATTTGCCTGATGCATGTACAAACTGGGACTAGTAATAGTCCTGTCCTTCAGTGGTGCCATAACAAACTAACATCACATGTCCTATGTGACAGAGGTTTTGGATGAATTAAGATTTTAGTCACTTGGGACTCCACTTCAAGAAACCAAGTGACTAACAAAATGCCCCATTAAGCAAAGTACTGTGCTTCATTGAAGTATGAGACTGCTAAAGGGCTAATCTTAGAAAGGGGATGCACATTTCACTTAGATAGGAGCCTAAATACAGTACCGGTTTGTAAGCTACATGTTATCTTTTGAAAAGCCAATGCACTTCCAATTTAAATTTTATTATTCAGTTCCAAGCAATGGATCAAGTATTACACATTTATTTGCAGAATTTTGAATTAGCACTTTAACGCACAAGGTCTTAACTAAATAAAATGTAACATTTGCTTTCAGATGTTGAAAAAGTAGTTGCATTTATTTGTAATTGCAATAATACAGTTTTGGTAAGTCAATGATACCCAATATTTTATTCAAAAATTTTCAAATTATCATTTACAGTAAACTCTTGAATATCTGAGTCAATGAAGGGCATGAGATGCATGAATAACTGAAAACCGGGGATAATTAAAGATTTACTGCATCATATTTTACAAGTCGCGTGTAACTTACCTTCTTATAAACTAGGTGTATACAATTGAGTTTTACTTTGAAAATGGGTCAATAATGTTTGTTTGTTAACTATTTGGACTTCTCACAAGAGTTCAAATTATCCTTGAAGCTTTAATATCGCAGTATTCAAAGACCCATTTAACAGTGTAATCCAGCAAGTGTCAACACACTGTAGTTCAATGCTATAACATGATCATAATTTCTTTCTTCTTCAATTTTACTATCCCTCTCCCTATTCTCTTCCTCATACTTCTGTTTTGCCGAAGCAGTGATAAAATTTGTATCCATCATGTACTAGAAACCAGGCTCAATTGTAATCATTTTCAAGTTTTATCTTCATCGTTATTTTCAAACTCTTCCATGACTGAACAAACATTACTGGTTTCACTGAAGACTGCATAAATTCATTATGGCATTTTATTTCCAGAATGCTATAAGGTCATCTTCAAAAAAGGGTTGGAGCAGACCACCCTCATAGTATCATTTCATTGATGCATTCACAGTGATGAGACCATTGCTTGAAGGCTGTGTGCTGTGTGGACAAGTTGCACTGTCCACCAGGAACACTGCTTTCTGGAATAACAGTGTTTCAGGAAATACCAATATCTGGAACAGACTTTTGAAGGAGGCAATTTCTGACTGGTGACAACCCCCCCCTGCCACACCTCCAAGTTCCTGTACTTGTTTATGTCTGGGGAACACAGCCTACCTGCTCCCTTCACTCTCAGCTGATGCTCAGCCTCTTAGCATCCATCACCACAAAGATATTTTGAAACAGTTCTACCTGCAGCATTCTCTTCCTCCTTTTCCACAATTATCATTAGATCACCTCTCCTTTTCCTCCACACTGGCTGTCTCAGACATGAAAAGGAGGAAAGCCTAATTCACACATGTCTACATTTGTAAAAATGTGTGATTATACAAAAGAAATGAAAAAAAAAAAAACATTATTATGCACAAACCATGGTTGAATCAAATAATCAGGTGCTGACTGTATATAGTAGATAACATAGAATTTAAACAGACATAAGTAAGCGTAAAAAGTTCCATCTTCTGGAATACAATGCTGTGTAGTCCACTAAAAGTCAACTGATGTTTCAAAGCAAAATGCTGTGTCCATATTACATGAGTAACTTTAGTAACTTAGGCAACTTATTAAACATTTATGAAATTTGCAATTTGATACCTTAATGTAAAGTTGCAACAATATCCCTTGACAGGTGAACAACAGTCAATATTTTATATAACTAGTTCTAGTAATGCTCCTAAACAGTATCAAAAAGGTGTTTGCAAACACCAAGAAACAGGGCTTACATTCTCAAAAGTATAAAATACATGATAAACAAGATATTCTTTTAAATTACACATTTTTAGAAAAGCAGTTAAAAATGTAAGGAAAGGGTTTAAATAAATCTCATAATTTTAATCAAAGGACTGCAAGAATAACAGTGGGCATATTATCATTTTGGTCCTTCAATTTTTGTAGCCTGAAGAACACTGGAAATAAAATAAGTACTGAAACTGGTTACAGTTCCTAGCATGCATATCCAAGAATAAGTTAATTCAGGGATTGTGAAGCCAAAAATAATTTAAACTCAAATTCATTAAAAAGCATAAAAGACCAAAGAAAAAAAATAGTATAATTTCATACACATTTCAGAAAAAGCTAAAGGGGATATCATTTCTATACTTACTGGTAGGAGAGCTTGAATATTTTGATTTGAATCTGCAATGGATGCAAGATACACCAAATTACGATGCAATATCTGTTGGTACCTGAAATCAAAATGCAACAATAACAAGTCTAACTTCTCAGATGGGTTACATGCTTTTCTTCAGCACTCAAACAAACAAAACAAACTCCGTGGTTTTAGTTCGCAAGCAAACTATACCAACTGAGCAACAGCCACTTGCCGGCGAAGTCAGTGGCCCACGAGGCACATGCGAGGATAGTATTATAACACACAAATAACCACAAATAACAAACTCAACATTAACACACTCCTTCATATACTTACTGCATGCATTCTTGTGCCTTCCCTTTACTCTGATATTCTTGAATTGTTTGAATCAGATGACTGTTTTCATCCAGCATCTGTAATCAGAGTAACTATAAGCTGAAAACTAAATGATATTTGTTGAAATTTTAAAATTACAACCTGTGGTCTGTGAAGATCATTCAGGATACATCTAAGTCTGAAATCCTAAATACAGTTGGAAGTAAATGTGAAGTTTGGAAATATATTCTTATCCAAAATGTTTTTCTGACACTAAAATATTATTCGTGTATAAGTTAATGTAACTGTAACTGATCCCACCCCAGTTATGAGGCAGGTTAGTTTACCACATTCTCGTCAAAAGTGAGTAGAAAGAGTGAAAATTTCTAGCAGCTTTGTCTGTTAATACATTTTGTGGATTGAGTCACAATAGCCTATCAATTCACGAGACACTCGGTAAAATGGTACAAAAAATAGTTCTTGCCCACATTAGATATAACAGCCTACAACTGTATAATAATTTGGTGATGTCTGCATGTTTCATGCTGAAGTTACATACTTATGAATACAGAAATAAGATGAAGTCCCTTCCCAGAGTTGCACAGGAAGATGATGAATGTGCTGACACACTGCACTTGAGGGTATGGTATTTTTCAGCCAAATTTCAGGCACTAAAAATTACATTTCAAAATATACCATTCAGTCTGTAAGGAAAATGATGCATATAAGTCTGAACAGGTGTCCACATATACACTTAATGATGAGCCATGCTTCAAAGCATTTTTCAAATTAAGCAATAAAAACTATGTGATTTCGATTATCAATTGTTAAACGTCTTAATTCACGTCATAAATAGCTGAATATATCATGTATATGATAGGAATGCAAATACAAGTACACAATTTTTCATGTTTTTCACGATCACGAAGGAAACACCAAATATTTTAGAGGCGATGAACCTCAAGATAAAACAAACTTCCCTGTCTAGTACTTAATCAAGGGCGGCTTCAATCTTATTACAAAGCAGTGCCGTTTTATTTATAATTAATGTATGACTTATGAAAAATCAATTAATTTATAGCAATTATTTCTGTGCAGTCCCAGAACTGACACGTTTTATGATTACGGCATGTAGATTTCAACAGAAGTTCAAGTAACACTCACTTTCTGGATCTGGGCAGGATTTGGTTGTGGTCTTCCTCTCTGCACAAATGCCACCGACATTGTATATCGCTCCTTGTCTTCGATAGGGTAATTTTCAAACAGAAACCAGAAATATGTTCTTTATGAGTATTATCTAGACAGTTCAACCAGTCTATGTATATGTAACAACACCTCTAAAACAACAAAAATGTATTAACCCATTATCAACAAACACCTTCCATGGACAACAAACTACCAATAATCGACTATCTTTATCAGCATTTTCCACGGATTTTCATTTTTCTCAAATCATTGCTGCCAACACATTTTATGCGTATCATTTTTTTCGGGAATATGGATAAAACATTACACCAACACTCTGATACAATTATATATGTAATTACAGATATGTCAAGTGAAATTTTTACAAAAATTAACGTTGTTATTGGTATGTATGTATGTATATACAAATGTGCAGTTGATTCTTCTTAAATACTACATAAACAGTGGAAATTAAACTCTCCAATCACCTAATGCAGGGTACGAGTTTTTAGCCAATCACAAGTACTACCGCTTGGAAACAATTTGTGATCACGTGATATGCTTCAGCTGAGGGCAAATGGCGTCTTCTTGGGTGGGGAATTGATTTGCTCTGTTTTTAAAATCATGAATGAATTCGTTTTAGATAAGGCAAAAGTGAAATATTTTTCACAAATAAAATTTTTGTAAGTATGAAGAATTGAAATAAGGGAAGTATATATGGAAATTACATGTACTTGTACGATTACATTAGAATTAATTTCACGTGTACACAAGTTTGGTAAACAAATCACAGCATTGTATGACATACAAGAAATTAAACTTCGGAAAGAAGTATAGTGTTCATGTAAACACCAAAAGGAACTAATAGTTATTTACATTTTATTTAACTAACACGTGTTAATGTATTGTTGAGACATGGGAGACTGATAGTTTGTGTTTTGTACCTGTCAATACACTGTTCCTCCAGACTTTAACATTAGACATTACTTGGCAGGTTGATTAGTTTTAGTTAGTATATTTTCGTTGCTCATGGTTAAAAAATTTGAAGTGAATTGCTGATATGTGTTGGCACTTGAAATTTTATTTAAACAATTTGTTTTGTATGTCATAGATTTCTTGAATGAGGAAGCAGTATATTCATAATGAATGAGATCAGTGGAAAGCAGGAACTTGCTACTACTTCAGCATGGGACGTAGTCACACAGGTGTCACCTCTTCCTCATGCACATCACAACGACACTGTACCAGTGCTGGTGCCTACACCAATAAAAATTCCTCCCCCTGTTGGGCTTGATGGTGTTCTTCCCCATCCTTCACCAGGACTGCAGTTACCCCAGACACCACATGTAAGTCTGTAGCACACAAAGCAATGTATTCATTATCACTGCATACTTCTTGAAGGAAAAACAGGAAACAAGTTAAGAATGGGGTAGCTATATTTCAGCAGTTTTAACTGCTCAGTAGCAGCTGTCAAAAGGACTGCTGACTACTATCTGTCCATCTTACTTATTTTTTCTCTTGGCACTTTTCGCTGTTTGTGAATATCTTCAGTTTCCTTTTTATATTTCTCCTCTAGGTGCTTCAGTGCTGAGCAACTTTGTTGTAAATTCTCCATGAAAATTTTTGATTTGCTGAGAATCAAATTAAGGTGTTGTACAATTCATGAATAATGTTTACAGAAGAAAATTATGATCTACCATGCTATCGTACCTGCTCAGTTTATATAAATTTTACATACATAAATTAAATTAAAACCTAATGTAACCAAAATAAACAGTTATAAGAAATGACACAGTAACTGGTGACTTGTGTCACTGAATGTATTGATATACGAGGGGGTACCCAAAAGAAACCGAACTTTTTTTTTAACTTATTTATACAAATTTTAAGCACAAACCTTCAATCCCCTTCAAAGTACTCTCCACTTACACTAATACACTTGTCTAGTCTTTATTCCACTTTTCAAAACATTGTCTAAATTCATCTTTTGAGATGCTTGACAGCGCCTCCGTCGTTTTTTTCCTTCACCTCAGCAACATCAGCAAAACGCTGAAAAAAAGTTTTGATCATTTCAGGACTCTTCTTTCAAAGCACAGCATGCTTCCACGCGACCTTGTTTTTGTTCAGCAGTCATGGCACGAATTTTGCAGCCACCCTTTTCATTCCCAAATCTTCTGTCAAAATTCGCTGAACTGAGCTCCAAGTCACTCCCGACAGCTCCACAGTTTCTTCAATGGTCCGTCGTCGATCTTCCTTGATGATTTCACGATTTTTTTCAACATTTTCATGTGTTCGGGCCATTGCAAAAACGACGATCACACAAAACAGTTGTCACTTTAAACTCTGCCGAAACTAGTCGTTACCTTCTGAAGCAACGGTAGTCGGCTTATCGACTCAGGAATGTTAGCTCTATGCGCTCATAGCAGCAAAACGCAGTACTACAAAAGCTCTGCCCACAAAAAAATTAGTTCGGTTTCTTTTGGGTGCCCCATCGTACATCATACATGACATTGAAGATTTCATTTGGTAAGAGAGGGAAAACGTATGCAATTAAGTGGCAAGTTCTACAAGCCTGCTGCTCAGAAACTTGCAGATCTTTTGAGCATAAAAAGAAATACCTTGCATACAATGACAGTTGCTTATTTAGAAACTTGCAGACTAGATTACCCCAGGAAAACTGGCAATGAGCATCATGTGAGACAGTCATCATTTTCAGTTATGGTATGGACCAATTACATGGCATGAAAAATACCAACGTCTTTTTTTTTCCCTAATATGTGGGTAAGTAGGTAAGTCAGAAAGTATCCTAAGGAATTTGGTATCCTTTTTCCCCTCTTTTTTTTTGTCCCACTTCTGACAATATACACAGCCGCAAGCATGGAATAACCCTGTTGTGATATATTGACTGTGATCATTGAGTTGTAATATGTTGGCAGTGTCATCAGTGTGACCATTTCACTTACCACATGCACCAAAGAAAAAGAAGTACACAGTGATTAGGTTTTTGTAGGTTGAAGTTGTAGAGGTGCAGAAATTCATCAAAGACTACCAGCACGTTATTGTGATAGTGTTTTCCTGCAGCAAAGGATATATGTGTGGAATAACATATTCAACAAAATTGGCTGATCAAGTGTCAGGCAAATAGAGTGCCATTCACATCAAAGACTGAAAGGAACATGGAACGAATTTGCACACACTTTCTTGACAACTGAAAGGCAAGTGTCAACCAATTTGCAGGCCAGACATAATTCAGCCTGTGAAGTCATCTGTCACAGACTTCACGTCCATGAAGTTTCTGCAAGATGGGCTCTCAAACAGCTCATTTAACAGCATAGGCATAACCATTTGAACAACTGTTCCTGACTTTTGTGCCAGTACCATAAGGAAGATGACATCTTTCTGAGTTGCATTGTAACTGGTGATGAAACTTGGATCCACCATTATGAGCCAGAGAGCAGATGCCAGGGTATGAAATGCAAACACTTGACATCCCCTGTCAAAAAGGCGTTCATATTCCAGCCAACAGTGGAAAAACTTATGATCACACTTTTCTGGGATGCTCAGACACGATCCTTGAGCATCATTAGGAAAAATGTGATGCAAAACAGTGTGTCCTGCACTGAAATGGTGTGTAACAAGCTAAAGCCAGTGGTTCAGGGTAAATATCATGGTCAGATATGTATATTATATTGGTGTGACAGTACTCATCCCCATGCTTTCAGCACTCCAGCAGCTTCATTTTGAGACAGTAGAACATCCCTCATGTGTCTCTGATCTTGTCCTTTCAGACTGTCATCTTTCTTGACCCCTCAAAAGTGCTTAATGTTTGGTTTTAGAAGGGAAGACAGTTTCTTGTATTTTATAGGGAATGCCACCTGGGGTATATGTGGAGCCCGAGATGCCACCAGAATTACTTCAACAAGGCTGGCGCAAGTTTTGGAGTAAAAGGGAAAATCGTCCATATTTCTGGAACAAATTAACAGGGGAATCATTGTGGGAAATGCCCCAGTTAAAACCACAGGTTAGTACTTTATCATAATAAAGTTTTATATCAGGGGTCTCCAAACTTTTTGAAACGCGGGCCACATTATGTAATTCAGCACTGTATACGGGCCGGATAAAATGAGAAATTAATAACTCTAGGTATATGAGTTTTATTGAAAGCACAGAATTTCATAAACTGAATACAAAGTACATGAGAATAAATTATCGTATATTAATGACAACAGACAGTAGTAGCAAATGCTCATATTTTCATCACAAATTATAATAAAATAATTGATGTGAATGATGGAATTCTTTTTGCATTCTTAAAATCTGATTAAATTGAGGTTAAAATTTTGAAACGCTAATCACAAGTAGCGACTTTAAATGTTCATCGGATAAATTTGCCCTGTATTTCGACTTGATCTACTTCATTTGGGAAAAAGTTTGTTCACACAGATATGTCGTCCCAAAAATGGAGATAAATTAACAAGCAAATTTCTTTAAATTTGGAAATTGCTCAGAGTTCAGAAATTTATAAAATTCAATCAAATTTCCTTCCTTGTATTTGTCTTTAATATGATAATTTTCCTGAAGTTCAATAATTTCCATTTGAATTTGACTTGGGACATCTGCAGCATCACAGTCGAACGGATTTTGAAACAATCTAATTTCCTGAGCACTGGCATCCAGATCAGCAAATCGCTTCCGAAATTTTTCTTTAAAATCTAAAATTGTGAATAATATTCATATTAACATAATATGGAATATCAGTATATTTTAAACACAATCTTAATTAGTGAATTTGAAGTCTATGAACAAGTATTTTCTTTACCAGTACTCATTGGAAAATTAGTTCAGTTGGCGCATTTATGCACAATTCTTTCATGGGATGGATAAAATCACATCGCAGGTGGGATGTGGCCCGCGGGCCATAGTTTGGAGACATTTGTTTTATATCATAATCTGGTTAGCATATTGTTTGATATGTGATATGGATAATTATTATTATTTGCAAGAAGTCTTTTTTCATTCTGCTTTTGTTATTTTTATTGTATTTTTTGCCACACATTGTAATCTGATTGTTGCAAAAGAAATATTGCACTTATACTATAGGTGTCAATTTGAAGTTTATAGGAGAAAGCATGTTATTTCAGAGTTTTGTACCTTCCGTTTTAGAGGTGTCAGAAACTGGTCATCCTCGTGTGTGCTGATGCAAATTTGAGCTAAGACTGCACTTAAAAAAGAAGGAGTTTGTGAATAAATAATTCTGGCAGTATATAATAAGCTTAAACATTTCTTGGTTTAGTATGTTGATTACAGCAACCTGTTGCATGCTTACCTGTCTTTTCAACACATAGAATAACTTTTCTTTTGAATATGGCATCATATGTAAAATGCTTTGTCATGAGTAAAAACTGATAGAAAACTGAACACACCTGAATGATACAAATATCAGGCAGTGACTGAACTGAAAGGTGGGGGTTGACTCACTGTTAAAGTGGGGGGTAGGATGATGATGTGGTTTCATGACTCACTCCAAATGTGTTTATATTAGGTTCTTTCCAGGCCACCCCATTGACAGTTTGTAAACTAGTGAATACTTCTTTAGACTTAAGACCCACCTCAATTTTTCAATGGAGGAAAGTGTGAAAAATGTGTGTCTTATATTTGGCACCTTTCTTATTTAAAAGCCCCATACTGAAAATAAACTAATGCATTCTCGGAGAATGGTAACATACTTGTCCAGTGGCATAATATTCATATCATATTTAGTGAAAACTGAGCAAGTGGTTCAGAATAAACATATAAGCAAGTATGGGCTGCGCCATAGCTCAAGCGGTTAGTCGGTGGCTTCCCACCGTGGCGACCTGGGTTCGATCCCAGGTCTGGTCAAGTGGGATTTGTGGTGGACAAAGTGGCGCTGGGGCAGGTTTTCACCGAGTACTTCGGTTTCCCCTGTCAATCTTCATTCCACCAATTGCTCCACAATCACCGTCACCTATCATCTGGGGCTGGTACAATAGACCAGAAGTGGCCACAGTACAAGAGACTTAGTCCTACCCACTAGCAATAAAAAAATATATGCAAGTATCATCTTTTAGCCCTTCAAAAAGAAAGGACAGTGTATATATTCCTGACTCTTACTTTGAAGGTATGTTGGATATTAATATTAAACAGTTCTATTATTCTTATGGAGCAGGTGGTTAAACAGTTTTATTCCCTTCTCTTCTGTCACTTTTTCTGCATTTTTTGTGGGTAAAAGGACTCATTGTGAAGGATATTCATAAAGAAATGTTTTGTGTTTATGGTGGGAAGTGTTTGTCATGAAAAGTTGTTCACAGCTGATGGAAATCATTTCGCTGATAATGAAGAGATTGAAGCGAAGGTGTGGAAGTGGCTGAGAGAAGAGTTGAAAGACTTCTGTGCTGCAAGTTTTGATGCACTTTTAGGGCAATGGGACAAGTGTACCAATGTTGGTGGAGGATATATAGAGAAATGTTTTTTTCCACATTTGAATATCACATGTTTTATGTCTTATATCCATTAATGACCTACTTAATGATTCTCCCTCATTTGTGGTTAGCAATTAACGGAAATAATGAACTTATGTAATTTAGAGTATGGCAGATAAATTATCATTGTTATGGTATTTTCTATTTCCTAGTTTGATCCAATAACAGATCCATTGGGCATATGCAGCACTACACCCATTGTGAATGGTCCACCTGGACCTGTTGTAGTCAAGAGACGAGCCTCAGAGGAAGGCATTGGGAGTCCAGTTGCCAAAAAATTTATTTTGGCGTATGTATCAAGTTCAGTCTTTTATTGTTTTGTTATTGATTATTCCTGAGAACCCCTTCTTTTCTTTAACATATAACTAAACATGTAATTTATGTTAACAGGGGACCCTGGGATCTTGAAATTCAGACAAATGCAGTAATATATGAGAGACCGCCCACCATTTTACCTCATCCCCACCCAGACATTGAGACTTACAGATGTTCTTTGGCTGCCAAGCTAAGACAGTGCTATCAGGAGCTCTGTCATTCCAGGGAAGGTATAGAATCAATCTATTATAATATTTTAAGTCACTGTGTTTTGAATTGATGGTATAGGAATGGTAAGAAATACTTGGTAAAAGTCACACACTTGTGTTTCAGCTATTGATGCACCAAAAGATTCTTTCAATCGCTGGTTGATGGAAAGGAAGGTGATCGATACAGGAAGTGATCCATTATTGCCAAGTAATTGTTTCCCAGAAATATCCATGTCAATGTATAGAGAGATAATGAACGATATTCCAATCAAGCTGGTAAGACCAAAGTTCACTGGTGATGCCAGGAAGCAGCTCTCTAGGTATGCAGAAGCTGCAAAAAAAATGATTGAGTCAAGGTGAGAATATGGCTTTCATTTAGACTTCAAATGATTATCACCCTAACAAACAAAAGGCCTATAGAGCATGACAGACTGGTATTTAAATATGAGAAATTACTTCATATGCAATGTGTCAGGGAAATCATTATGGCGCGTTTTAGGATTAGTGCACAAATTGTTACACTTTTTGTATAGTGTATCTCAGAACTAATCATGTTTGATCCCATACTTCATTCTTATGGCATTCTAAATAGAAGGTAATGTGAGAGTAGATTCTAAAGGATTCTGATGATGGTGTATAACACTCAGAATTACTGGGTTTTTGGACTTTGCCCATCATCCAGTATTCTAAAAAACTGGAGAACAGTGTTTTGGAAACTTGAATTGTTTTCCGCTTCATGTGATGGGGGAGGACACCTTTTCTGTTACGTCTCTTAGAAAGAACTAACCTCAATCACTGGACTCAGTGGACTGGAGGTGAGATGGGAGGACACTCTTTTTGGTCCCTTTGAAAGAGCTAACCTCAACCATTGGACCCAGTGCAATCCACTGGACATCCAGCTGAAGACAGAAACAGATTGTTTCCAAAATATTGGGTTCTCTAGATTTTTAGAATGTGACAATAGATGAAGTCCAAAAACCCAGTAATTCTGAGCAATGTGAAGATCTCCTAGACTTGAACCTAGCTAATTTTACAAAATGTACCATTTTCATTCTGAATTCAAGCCTCTACTTTAGAAAAAATTCTTCAGATGTTAAATAACATAACAGTGTACTCAGAATTAGATAGCACCATTTTATTTTACCTGATTACAGCTATTCACAAATTAGTGCTTGCAGATGAATGTGAAAATTTATTTGATGTGGTTATGAAGTTAATATTTGCCATTTTCCACAAATATGATTTTGACATGTGACATTGGAGCAGGGAAACCATTTGCTTCTAAGAGACAGGTAACCCAACAGTGTTGCTAGAAGTAGATTTGGGGTTGAGGCTACAACATATTTATAGCTCTTCTGGTTGCCACCAGGTGTTTTAAAACTTATGAACCTATAACTAAGAGTGGGGATGATAATAGGCCAGACTGCTTGTTTAGCAAACTTGGGTTCCTAAACCAAATTAGAAGTCTTAGGAACCAGGTATGTCATTCAGGGATCATGAAAATAGTCAGCTATTATAACAGTTAACAAAATATGATATTGTTATGTTGATGAATGTAAACAAGGATGAATTGTAATTACAAAAGAAAACAAATGCAACAGTCATATAACTGAAGATTTCTTATTACTAAATTTGAAAAAAAATCTTGTGTATGAGTATTTTACTTTTTTTTACTGGCACTTTTTTATTACTATTTATTTTATCCATAGCTGTAGAGAATTACAATTACAATTACAATTGGACATGTCAAATAATAACAATTTCACATCACTTTGCTGCCATACATTAAGCACAATTTTGTTTATCTGTGACAAAATGTTAATTTACATACATACTTTATTTTAAGAAATGCAACTTCAGAAAGCCGGAAAGTCGTCAAATGGAATGTTGAAGAGACATTCCAGTGGTTGAGAAGGACAGTTGGTGCAACATATGATGATTTCCAAGATCGATTGGGTCATCTGAAGGTACTGATCATGTTTCAGATTGCTGCAGTGCCTGCTGAAACTTCAACAGAAAGTCTCATAATTTGATATATAAAGTATTTTGTGTTTGAAGAAAGTCATCTTCTGGGTTTAGGCACCGTGTATTCTTTGTTTTGGCCGACGTTCCTCCGAAACGTCGGCCAAAACGAAGAATACACGGTGCCTAAACCCAGAAGACGACTTTCTTCATTGTCATCGCCGTGAAAACCTCAAAACTTAAATATTGTGTTTGTTTATGGATTAAATGTAAGCTTTTTAGGGCTGCAGTAGGAAAGTAGGCTTCGTGAGTTCTACTTGAAACTCCTTTGTTACCAGGAGTTTTTTTCTTTAAATAAAAGGTATTTCTAAAAAGATGCTCCAGTTTTAATTGGGTATAATTACCTAACTATGCAGCAGACAGTTCTGTATTTGGTATCACCAAATTCAGTAGTGTGGGGAGATTGGCAGTCACTTAGACACATTTTTAATATATGCATCATTGGCATTCATGACCAGACATCAGACATCAGAAATTTTTCACAGCTGCAGCTAGATTTTCATCACTAATGTTGATCACTGCTGATGATACTTCTTGTTTCAGTTCTATGATTGTGTGCAGATGGTTTTTATAAACTGTTTCTTTCAGGAAATCCCATAAGAAATAATTGCATGGATTTAAGATCTGGAGAGTATGGTGGCCAGGTCTGTCCACTTCTGAACTTTTCAGAAAAACGGATTAGATATAGACAGTATCACGTAACTTCGAACAAGGCCCCACATTCCGACCCACCCCGTTGTCTGAAATTTTTCTTCTGCGCATTCAAGGTTACTCTTGGCCTTGTTCGAAGTTACGTGACACTTGCTATAACACTGTATTGTCAGAATACTCATTGAGCACATCCAGTACTGCATTTGCAGGGTACAGCTGGGCCCTGTCCCCTTGAATAAATTTTTTCTGAAATTGACTCCCATTCCTTGGAGAATTGAAAGAAATTCTTCTTGCAAGGCATGAAGATAATGCTCAATAGTCACAGTATCATAAAAAAAATCGGCTCATCAATATCACTTGTGGACAGAGCACACCACACCATGCATTTTTCTGGGTGTAAGTGTCTTTGTTATGTTATATGGGTGTTCACCGGCCTACACATGCATATTCTGCTAGTTCATGTAGCCATTCAAGTGAAAATTGACCTCATCACAAAATTATATGGATTAAGGTACTGCTGGATTTTCCTCCAGAAACATCTTTAGGTCAGCACAGAAGTCAACCCCTTTAGCTTTATTGGCCTCACGAAGAGCTTGCTGCATTTGAATTTTGTTTGGAAACAGTTTCTCATCTTCTCTATTGATCCTGTATGTTGATGCTTCAAAGTTGAGTTGCTGAGTAAGACATTTTACAGATTTCCTGGGACTCTTCATCAATGTCTGCTCAAGGCAGTTTATGATATATGGTGTTCTGACATCTTCTTACCAACAACTCCCTTCTTATTGTCAGTCATGATCCCAGTCATTTGAAAGTCTATTGCAGGCTTTCTGATACTCAAAGTTTTCTTTTAATCCTTGCTGAATGATGAAAATGCTAGCAGTCTGGTAAAATCTTTTTGCTAGAAACATGCTTTTCTACTGAGTACACCATCTTGATCACGTCTGCTTCATGATATTGCGACCAGGGGCAGCAAATTTTCACAAGACTACTGAACTCAGAGACTCCAGATTCATTGATGTTTGCCATGTGGTTAGGTAATTATTTGCAATTAAAAGTAGAATGTCTTTTTAAGTATACCTTATAATTAAACTCCAGAACTCTTTCATTTTTCTTCCACTGTTTATGCTGTAAATGGCAAACTTCATAGCCCACATAGAAGAGTTAAGTCTCATTACAGACATTTAGATCAGAATAGAAATATTTCCTGTAAGTTAATTCTTTACCATAGTTTTGTAAACAGATCATTCAATTTGTACACAAATTAAGTGAACCAAGATTTTCACTATTTGTATGAGTTAAATTTAGGATGGCATTATTTTACCTTGTGTTCTGCTGCAGTAAAATGTCACAGATGCCAGTGGAGAGGATTCTGCAGTCCTAGTCAAATCCTTGAATGGCTGCAGGTTACTTAATTTGTATGCCCTACATAATGAGTTTCAGCAGTAGCTAGAAATTTTATTTTCTTTTTTTACAGATTCCCTAAATGCAGGTTTGACCTCTCAAATTTGTCACCACCCATAGACACATTTTTTTAGTTTGCAAAGAATTGCCACTTCCCAGCACCAGTGCTAAGTGTACTTTGTGTAACAATGTTAACATATTATGTCACAATGGCTTATGCAGGTGTTTTGGTACTATGATATGTGTATTAACTGCTTAGAGTTCAAAGAATTCTCTGGTCCTGCCCTGGTCTAGACTGAAGGGTGCCAAATTTGAGAGGCCTGATGTGTAGTTTGCTTTAAGTCTAATGATCGTTAATTGACTGAAATATATTGTGGCTTTAGAGATATAAATAATTAGTGATTATGGATGTACCCATGAATGTTGTATCGATGAACAGTAAGGGTTTAGAACATAATGGGATGCAAAAGCCAAAGATTAATTAAGAGAAAAATGTCATGGCCTATGAATATGTCACTGGCCATTAACTGGTTAAAATAGTGTATATTTACAGAGATTATACCTCTCATTTGCATGTAAATTGTAAAAATTCTGGCATGTACTCATTTCAGCGCCAGTGTCAGCCTCATCTCATGGAGACCGTCAAGGAATCAGTAGAAGGAATTTGTTTAAAGATCTATCATCTTTCAGCTGATTATGCAAAGAAAATAAAAGAAAAACATAATGAAGTTTTAAAGGAAAATGGCATATCAGGTACCTTGATTTACTGCGCATTTTGCATCACGTGTCAAATATTATTTGTTGCATGTTTATGCTATGGCATTCTTACTGATGTGCTTTGGTCTTCCCTCATTTTGCGACATTGTGAGAATTATGTATATATGTCCATGCTCTTGAAAGTTTGAAACTTCTTGGTTTCTTGTAAAGAAAGCCAATGGAGTCACAGTAGCCATTTCATACTGTTGGTAACAAAATCTCTTTCATACATGGAACTAAACACCCCTGGCATCTGATATATAATATAATGTGTATGTTATATGCATGTAATTACAATTTTATTCCATTGAGTAAAGAATATGTTTCATAGAAAAGAAAGAAATGCTTTCAACATCGAGGGTAATGAAGTGTAGTTATATTTGCCCAGCTACTTGATGTTTTCTTTTTATAAGTGTCTATATTCCTGCCAATCTTCGAGCGTATCAGAGCGTCTTCAAACAGCTCTGTATATGGTCCAATGATGGTGTGAATGAACAAGTCTTTCCATCAGTCCCAATAAGGCCGTAATTATACCGTTTACTAGGAAGAGAAATATAAAGGGCTTTAAGGAACCGATTCTTCAATAAGACAATCCAGCTCTCCAACGATGTCAAGTACCTTGGTCTAGAATTAGACAAGGGACTGACATGGAAAAAGCAGCTGGACAAGGTCATCAATAAAGCCTATAAGGCTGTTTGAACATGCAGAAGCATGTTTTGTAAAACTTGGGGACTGCAGCCGCATGCTGTGCATTGGATATATACTGCGTTTGTAAGACCCATAGTTACATATGGTGCCACAGTACGGTGCCCCAGAGTTAAACTCAAGACAAGCAAGGCAGAACTTAGCAAATTGCAAAGGTTGGCTTGCTTAGGTATCACAGGAGCAATTTGAACATCTCCAACAGCTGCACTGGAGATACTCCTTGGACTCCCCCCACTGCATCTACATTTGGAGGCAGAGGCCAGGGCAGGAATCTGCCATCTCCAATGCAGTGAACAATGGAAACCTAGATCCGATCAGGACATGAAAAAAGAACCCATATTACAAATGGGGTCTGACAAAATGATACTGAGCCATGTATATGAGAAACCCTTCACAGTCAGATTTCCTGACAGGACTCCATAATACATGCCATTATGGCATGTATTATGGTGAATTTGGATAGGAACATCTACATTCTATCTGACAACCAAGCTGCACTTAAAACGCTTAACAAACACCAGATCAGCTCAAAATTTGTCTGGGATTGCCACCAAACCCTCATAGAACCACCCAAACATAACACGAGTACAACTGATATGGGTGCCGGGGCATGAGGGTATTGCTGGAAATGAAACATCAGACCAATTAGCTAAGATTGGAGCTGAACATCTGTTCATAGGACCTGAACCAGCCTGTGGCGTCTCTATAGTAGTTGCCAGACAGGATATCAGGGACTGGACAAACATGCAACACAAGAAATACTGGGGATCCTTAACTGGACTCAGGCAAGCAAAGGGACTCATATGAGGACTGTCTACTAAGAGGGCAAAGGAAGTGTTAAAAGTTAAACAGGAACCAGCTACGATGGGTGGTAGGACTACTTACAGGACACTGTCACCTCAAAGGACACCTGTTCAAACTGGGACTAAGTGGTAGTCCCAATTGTGAGAGGTGTCAAGAAGAAAACAAAACAGCCACACATATCCCGTGTGAATGTGGGGCATTAGCTTATTTAAGACTACCTCACTTGGGTCAATACTCTGTGGAACCAAGTGACTATTTTGACGCCCCCATGTACAAAATCCTGCACTTCATTTGAAGTGCGGGATTGCTGAGGGGATAATCAAAAGGGAAAGCACAATAGACCTTTATAGGTCGTGGTGCAAGGGCCGGAAAAAGGCCTACCCCTCATACATTCATTCATTCATTCATTCATTCCTGCCAATCACAGAATCGTTACCTGCTACAATGTCTTAAGCTGCAACATAGAGATTATGAGTAACTGGACTGATGTTCTTGTGCTGCGCCTTGCAATGCTGGTTTATTTGAACATGTGTCATACAGTTATTGAGATTTGATTTGTTTTGTATTTTATTGGTTCAGCATTTCCTTGTCAAAAAACGGTGATAAATTGCTAGAACCTGAAATGAATATTATATTTTTAATGATATTGATAAAAAATGCTGTTGACATTTAAACCTGTCTGTGGAGGGAGTCAGTAAGTAGAACAGGCTTGTGTGTGTGTGTGTGTGTGGGTTAAGCTGGATAAGGATGTTAGGTAAAAAGATCTAGCCATTCAGCATTTCAAAGAACTGATTCAGATATGGAGAAGTGGCTGAAATAGAAATTAATGTTAATTTAATGTTCCAAAGATAGCAGAAGACCTAAGCAGAAATCGAGAAACTATGATGCAAACATTTGATCATGAAAATAGTGTATGCCCAAAGGCGTACTGAAGAATCTCAGTGACAAGCAAAAAAGAAGAGAAAAGCATTTTGCTAAGATCCTTCTGAAAGATATGGAGGAACCTTTTTTTTTTTTTAAACAGCAGTGACTAATAATGAGGTTTGGGTCTTTCTGGTATGAATGAGAAAGGAAATGCCAGAGTATACAATGAAAATGTCCAGAGTGTCTGACCAAGAAATCACAAATGTCAAAATCAAGGGCTGAAACAATGCTGTTCTGCTTGTTTGATATACAAATTTCTGAATTTGTCCCTTCAAAATAAATGGGAAACTGAACATTCTGCCTTGAAGTTGGCACTGCACTTGTCAGAAGAAACTGAATCTTTGACAGGAGAAGTGGATTTTGCATTACAACAATGTGCCTTCCCACATATAACACTTTTCATAAAGCAACTTTTAGCTATAAAGAAATAAAGTGGTTAGGACATCCACTGTATTTATCCAATTTGACCAGATATAATTCATTCATGTTTCTGAAAATAAAAATTATCTTTGAAGGGTATAATTTTGAAACACTTGAAACATTCATAGCAATGTGCTGTCAGTATGAAAATTACTTCTGAAAAGTGGTCTCTAATAGTGTATTCAGGCAGGTCAGAGATTTTGGAATGAATGTGCAAAGTCATAAGGCACATAGTATGAAATTTTCCATTAGGAAACTTGGTATGAACATCATGCCAACAGACACCACCCCCATTTTGTTTTAACTTCCTGGCTTCAATAATGTCAACATGATGGCAGTGCAAAGTACTGAAATTGGGACACTAGCGTAGAATTCTGAAATATTTTGTGATAATAGATCTTGGAAATATATGCAGTGTTTGTTGATGTAATTTTCTGTGCAACGTAGAACATCATCATCACACCTGAATGATATCTGTATTTGGCTTTCAGTTTGTGGTAATAAGCAATGAGCCATTGGAGTTATGCATGTGAATTTTTATGAAAAATCATAAATGTATAATTTACATGAAACATTTTTTATGTATAAAATTTGAGATTTTCATTGCAATGAAAACTCATTCTGAGGTCTAGAAAATGACTCTGTATAATCTGTTAGGTGTGGACCAGTCAGTGTTTGGAGGAGCATACTGTACTCTCTCCATCTACATTGAAGAAGGAGGCAGTATGTTCTCCAAAACATCAGTTCTTGCCTACAAGACTACATAGAGTTGTAACTCAAAGAATCACAATATGAACTTCTTTTATATGTTAATAATTACAAACATGCTGACATGGCAAGATGAATTTAATGTGGTTGAAATCTGTATTATTGAAAATTATACATAGATATGGATCACCAAATTGTGTAATTATTAATTTGTACTTTTTAATAGCCTTTATATGTAGATTAAAGTGTTTATGGGAAAGCAGGCACTATAATGTCATCCCTGAACTTGTTACAAGGTGGTTCAAATATGACCGGAACTGATTTTTTTTTAAAAACCATAATTGCCAAACACTTACTTGCACATGTCAGTCTTCAACATACTCCCCTCCAGAGTTAGCACATTTTTTTTCCAAAGTTCTAGAAGCATCCTGATGCCCTTTTCAAAAAAGGCTTGTGGTTGGCAGTGTATCCACTCCCGAACAGTCTGGATGATGGCGTTGTTATCCACAAACCGCACGCCTTGCAAGTCTGGTTTGAGCCTTCCGAACAGGCAGAAATCACCTGGGGCCAAATCGGGACTGTACGGCAGATGTGTCAGAAGGTTCCATTTCAATTTCTGGAGGGTTTCCATTGTTGTTTGGGTGATGTCTGCTGGGACTCGGGAATGAAGTAGTACACCCACATTTCATCAATGGTCACTATACACTTAAAAAATGCATCACCTTCCTCTTCAAACTGCTGTAGGAGACAACTGGCAGCTTGCATGCACGCCACTTTGTTTGCGTCCGTCAAAGTGCATGATACCCACCATGCATTCACCTTGCGATAGTGCAGGTGGTCTTCTACACTACCAACACTGATGGACAGCATTGCTCCAAATTCCTTGATAGTGATGCACCTATTCTCACGAATAAGCATGTCTGCACGATCAGTGTTTGGTTCGATGATGGATGTTCATGGCCGACAATCATGCGGTTCATTCTCCACGCGCTCTCTGCCCTCTCTGAAGCACTTACACCACTCAAACACACGGGTCCATGAGAGACACTCTTCCCCATACTGTTGTTGGAGTCTGTGGTGAATTTCAGCAGACGGGACTTTTCTCCGACGAGGAATTTGATCACAATGCGTTGTTCCACGCTCCATGGTACCGTCTGTTCACTCATCATTCTAGCAACTCCCAGACAGGACTGAACAGGTTCTAACTTGAACAGGAGGGAGGGTGGATGTTGTGGCTTCACTCTCAAGGTCGCACATCTGCTGCACAGTGCAGCTTGTTTACACACAAATCAGTCCAGGTCATATTTGAACCACCTTGTATATTCTGGTTAGTGTTTCCAGATGAATTCCTTGTATGGCTTAAGTGCAAGCAGAGTGGAAGTTTCTGAAATGTGTTCCCTAATTATAAGATGTTCAAAAAATACTGTGCTCAAATAGTTGCTATCATTCTGCAGAAGTGGTGACACCAGTACAGATGCCAACCTTACGCAAGGTTTGGTGTTACCCTGTGCAGTTTGCCATGCCTTGTCCACGACTGCCTCAGGTTGATTACTTACCTGAGCGGGATCAGACCTTGCTTAGGTTCCATGGTGACACCATGTGCATCAACACAACGCATCTTCAGAAACTGGTATGTACTATATCACCAACCATGATGTATATAATTTGAGGTTTTCATTGCTGTAAAGATTCATGTTGTGTGCTCTGGATTGCAGTCTGGTAATAGGTAAATGTTTTGGAATAACATACTGGCCCAACTTAAATGTAGATGATGGAGGTTGTACGTTCCTGTTTTCCTCTGAAACACTGGTACCTGCTCACCAGGTTGCATTGCTTTATAATCCAGGAGACCACAATATTTTCATGTTATTTAGTGCTTATAGACAGGATTTGGGTTGGTAATTGGATTTATTGAACTCTTGTAACTTGTAACTTGTAACTACAAGTGTGGGTTGGTTATGCTTTCGCTGTTCTGCAGCTTCACAAATCACTGTAGGACACACTGTTTACAGTCTTCATTAGCTGTTCCTTGGTAGCAGCTTCCAGCAGTGGACATTCCCTTTCTTGTGGGTTCCCGTACTGTCCCCAGCCTCAGCTACCAGGTTCTCACAACAACTGACCTCCAGTGGTTATCTAACTAACTGCAACTCCTAACTTGTCCTGCTTATAACATCTCGGCACAGACCACACAGAAAACACTGTTTCTCTGTTGCTGTTTACAGGCTGGTGCCTAGTAACAGCCATTTTACAGTTGTTTATTTAAAGTCATTGTCTAGCAGTGGGTCTATATGCCACAATATGATAATGGTGGTTTACCTTGAATTGATTTTTTTTTTTGTTTTTTTGCTGCAGATGTTGCTCTTTAAACCCAAGTATATGGTAAAAATAAAACCAGTCATCTTGTGTACTTAATGAGGTTGTTCTAATAAAATGTGCCTTTTTAGCGTATGATATTGTCATGATTTTGAGTGTGACTCTTGATTGGGTTTTGGATTTGAGATTTGATGTATTGACCACTTTAACACACTTAATTATAGCACCATTCCACACTTTACAGATCAGTACAGCACATGCCAAGTCTCTTAGTCTTCTGTGTCTTCATCAGTTGTTCTCTGGTAATGTCTTCTAACAGTGTAGATTCTTCAGCTTCACTGCATTGACTGAGTCTTCTCTTCACAGACTCCCTTGCAACTTTCTATTACAGTTCACTCTGTTTCAACTTCTAAATTTGTCTCAATTATTACATCTCAGCATGGACCGAGTAGAAAACACCATTCAGTGTTGTACTCCAGTCGCTTCTGTGGGAACGTGTTTGTTTGTGAAGGTGTTATCCAGTAATGGTTGCATATACTTGCTTATTAAAAATCTGTTGCCTAACAGTGGGGATGTTGTTTTTGATTGTTTGTTTTGAGGTTGTTACCCAGTAATGGTTCTTTAATTTGCTAAATATATATAAACAAAAAAAAAACAACTCCATACTCCATGGTTTTAGTCCGCAAGAGAACTATCCCGACTGAGTGACCGCCGCTTGTCAACAAAGTTAGTGCCAACTTCAGCAGATAGAGGATGTCACATGGCCAGCGCAACAACTCCTCATGGCTGTTAATTTCGGTTTTCTATAAAAAATAAATATAAATACAAGGATGCAAGACTCATTGCTTATTCTGTCTTGGATGAGTTGAAAATTTATAGAATTTTACAGATAATTTTATTTATATCAGTATGTATGGCACTGTTTGCAGAACAAAGCAAATAACAGAAGTCTTGAAATGCTGTGTATGTCCACATGTCCATCATTCTCACCTAAACAAACACCAGTATCTATCTCTCTTATGAAAGAGATGTTGATGACACTTTAGTTAAGGACTGCCAGAGAAATGAAATAGTATTTCAGTTTGCATGTCTGTTATTTGTAAGGGCAAATCAAAAACTAAAGGCAGTTTATTAAAAATTAATTCAGAGAACAAGCTGTATTTGAATGTTATTATTTTTGGACACACATGTAATATTTGAGGTTTTCACAACTTTGACACAACTTTGAAAGTTCATATTGTGGTCTTCTGGGTTATGACATCATGTAGTCTTCAATGTGGGTACCTTGGATTCCATGTCATGTTGCCTCCATGTAGAGGTTACATGTATAATATTTGAGACTTTCTTGGTGTTGAAGATTCATCCACCTGTCAGGCTATACAGTTTCATATTTCCAGAGACCATACCATGAATGTAGGAAGGGATCTCATCACAACAATGTCATCTATAGAGGATTTCTTTGTTTATTCCATCTGTATACATAAACCTATCATTCATGTTCTTGGTATCCCAACTTTACATCATCCTGAAGGGTTACAATGTACCTTATTTTAGTAAATACAAAGGATGAGTACAGTTATTCAGTGTTAAGCTAACCTATTTTATCTGGAGATAATAGACAGGACACTAATTGTTGCAGAAAGTTATTTCAAGAGCTGATTATTGTTTAGCATAACCTTGTGAAACTTTGCCTTTTAACACATTATTTTACATTTCAGGAACAGCTGTACAGGTACAGTTGCTTTGATGACAAAAAGTTTGAACTTTTTCTGCCTCGGGTATGGTGCTTGCTGAAACGTTATAAGACCTTCTTTGGAAGTGGGCAAAATGAAGGTCAGGGAACTCAAGGAGCCCTTCCAGTCTCTGTGTTTGAGTGTCTCAACAAAATGTTTGGAGTGTCGTTTGAATGTTTTGCTTCTCCGCTGAATTGTTACTTTAAACAATACTGCTCTGCATTCCCTGATACTGACTCCTGCTTTGGATCAAGGGGGTAAGTTCTGTACTTTAGATCCTCCTTACAGAACTGTAACAACAAAAATAACATCAGATCTTTTTAATCATTAGGGTGTGTAATAAATGTTGATGATAATTAGTATAGTTTACAATAAGCATATGAAACTGAATATAATGCAAACCTTATTTGAGGTTTCTTTTGGAATCAGTGGGTTTGAAAAATTAACTGAGGAAGATCTTAAATGGAAGTAATTTAACACTGAGTTTGTGACATGGGATCATTGAAACTGAATGTTAAATGTGAGCCGTGCTAAGCCTTAGCTCGCTCACGATAAGGTCATCATCCTTCCTGTGACGGATTCCATCCCCACCATGCGGTACCCTGACGTCAGTCACGTGGTCCCATGTACCCTCTTGTGAAGGGGAGACTTGTACAGTGCAGTCTTTTAGACCAAGTCGACTTGGAAGGTTGTTTACTAGCCAGCAGGTTTGTGGTGGAAAATATTGCTTTCGGCTGGGGCTGCTCTAAATTCCCTTTGGTGTTATCTGCTGGCCGGTAAGGACTGCCTGCGGTCGCAAGTCGTTGCATGAACGCTTGCGACGCGCGTATTAAATTTTGGTTTGGGGTTTTATTTTGTCTCAGAATTTAGACTTGCATTTGTATGGCCTGATATTTCTAGCATCGACACAAGGGGTGCCGATGAGAAATTGGTTGTCTGTTTTTTTTGGGTGGGGTCAAAGTGTCTTTTTGTTATTTATGTACTGTATCTTTTGTTATTAAAATTGTATTTGTTTTATCTTAGCCACTGAACTGAGTGTAGCTTCCTCCTCCTAGCTTGGATACCCCATCTCCATCTAGGGGAGCGTGCGAACCGACAATAGAGCCAGTAACGATTGCGCTGTGCCCTTCCTCTTCGTAATAATACTAATACCATTGACGCAGGAGAGGAAGACGAAGGGCGCGGTGCAAATGAATGAAAACCATAAATTGAGGAACATTAAATGGAGGTTTCACTATAAATGAGTATTGTCATTAAATTGTTTACTTATGTTCTTTCGGTGTGGGTGTAGAGGCACTTGAGCTGCTAAGGCTAGTTGCTGGTGCATAAAAAATAAGAAATAAAAAATTCAATTATGCTTTAATCTGTGGGTGGAAACAGATCCAATTTCTAAATTGGTGTGTTCTTTTGGAATATTAGGCTGTGGACAAAGTCCAGAAATAATGTAATACACCATCGTCACAACCCTTTAAAGTAAAAAACTAAAGGTATCCCTGTAACAGGCTGTGGAGGCCCATAGGGTTGTGAGATGTTCAGGTTTCCACATTTTCTAGACAATTGGCTCACAGATGGTGGCAAGGTTGTCAGTCCTATACACCGGCCGCCCTTTACCCCCAAGAATATTCCAAGAATATTCCTGGTACTCATTTCTGTTAGAGGCTGAGTCGACCCCTATAGTGCGGCTGGAAGGATTAGGTCAATTGAAAAAATCCAATGACCTCATCGGGACTTGAACCCGTGACCTTGCAGCTTGTAGCATAGTGCGTCAACCAACTACACTACAGCGTGCCCCCCATCACAACCCTTTACAACTGGATTTCTTCACTGCGTAATATCACTTTCTTATGCTTATGTGGTTGGTTGTAGCATTCCTTTAGTTACTAAATGACTTTGGAAAGGACATTTCCCACTTAATCATTTTTGATATATAATCTGTTATATCCTTGAAGAAACCTTTAAGAATTTTTTAGATATGTCATTGAATCTGTACTTAAATGGCTATTATTTTTAAAGAATGGCATTAAAATGGGTATTTAGTGTGTTGGTTGTGAAGATGTAGATTTGATTTTTTTGTCTATGATGCAGTAATGTAACTAGGTTTCATTATTGCAGTAATAAATATTTGGATTCCAAAATGTTACAGAATTGTTATTTCAGCAATTAAATGTACACAGCTATTCAGCTGTTAGCTGAAATTCTTGAGGAGATTTTAGGAAAAACAAGTAGAGATTAAATTAAAAAGCTTATTATATCTACAATACAGATTGTGTTTCTCTATGCTAATCTTGCTTAATGCTATAAGCATCTAGACCAAGAAGGAAGTGTATACACTTTTTCACATGCATGTATCTATATATAATCCAAGATGCCTGCTTGGCACATTTGTTTTGTGCATATCATTCATTTAAATTTGTTCTGTGATCTTTTGTCCACTATGTAGATATGAAAATTCACTACGTGGAATTATATTATCTCTATTCCTTCATTCTACAGATATTGTGGTTATTATTGTTTCTTTCTAATTATTACCAATTCATAACTCAGTAGCATCATCAACACATTCTTTATTATTATATTAATTTGACATAGAGGATTAGAACCTGTAATAATAGTCTTAATTCATATGTTTTGCATCCTGTTGTGTTTGTCATTGCTATGTAAATTTGTCAGTCACAACAGTTCTACACTGCCAATTAACTGATAGGTTCGAATGTCTATAAAATCAGTTTATTAAGATGTAATTTTGTGCCAAATGTTTCGTTAATTTATTACCATCATCAGGCATTTATAAACAGTAAAATGCATCTACATTCATTACTGGAATGAATGATTACAATATTTAAATATTGTGACGTGCTGAGCTATGGATGACGCCCCCCCCCGCCAGCCGTGATGCGCCGAGCGAAGCCGAAGCGAGCCGATGTTAGCCGAGTCCTAGCATCCTGGTCGCTAGGCAACGCAAGTCAACAGCGGTGACGTCACCAAGTAGTAACAGCGGTTACCTCCGCTAGCGTTACATAGCAACACAGCGACATAGCAACAAGGGTGCCTATTACGTGGCCGTTTTCCCGTATTGTCCGATCGAGGCTACATAGGGAGCAGCGAAGGCTATTCACAGTCAGTTCTAGTGTGGCTACCGCAGAGTTGTACTGAGTCAGTCAGCGAGTCCTGGACCTATCGTCGAGTTAGCCAGCAACCAGTCAGTTGTATTCTGGCATTTGGAGTGTACTAATTGTGATACTGCAGATAGCAGTAATCGGAAATCTGTAATTTGGGTGATTGTAAGAGCGAGTGTGAAATAAAAGTCGCTATACCAAATACATCGTGAACTTATTTGTCGCGTTATACGCCCGATACGCGACAATATATTGAAATACTTACCTAAATTCAACAAGCTTATTTTAAAATTATTATTTTATAAAAATGATCCTTTTGTATATAGGGGGCTTCTTATGGTTGGAATGGTGTAAGGAGAGTGGTGAGTATATATATGAAGTGTTTTTGAACTTCACCCTTTTTGGAGACGTGGGTGTTATACAAGTGCACATTGTTGGTGCTAATGGTTGCATTTGTGTTGTTTTGCTTGAAAATATTGTATTTTGAATTTTTGAACCTTTGATATAATGTTGAATATTATGCAAGTATGCATTGTTACAGTCAGTGGCTTTGTGCTGTCCTGTTTTTTGGTGGTCTGTGTTCTTAGATGATCTGTGGTGGACTCGTTGGTTATGTTTTTATTTGTTGTTCTATATGGGTATATGCTTCTACATATTGGAGTTTTGTTTATATCACTGCTTCCTGATGTTAATTTACTGTAGATTAGAGTTATGAATATTTATTTTGTTTATATATTGTTGATGTATATAGTTACGTAAATGTAGTTTCATTGCTTCTACCGATCTGGTGTTGTACCCCATTGTGTTGTTGGGAATGAACTCAATGTATGTAATTATTGTGATCCTGTTGAAGAACTTGTACATGACAAGACTAATGGCAATGGATCCATTGTGACACGCAGTCCAGGAACAAGCATAGATGCATTTTACTAATTATAAAACACCTGATGATGGTCATAAATGACCAAAACATGTAGCAAAAAATTACATCTTAATCAATTAACTGATTTTATTGACATTTGAGCCTATCAGTTATGTATTGGAAGTGTACAATTGTTGTGATGAAAGGACAAATTTTGATAGTACTGTTATAACAGGATGATTGCAAGTTCTTCTAATTGTTTTCAGGCCAGTTTTGGACTTCAAACCAGTAAGTGGTTCATTTGAAGCAAATCCTCCATTCTGTGAGGAATTAATGGAAGCAATGGTGAATCACTTTGAACGGCTTCTTTCTGATTCAACAGAGCCACTTTCATTCATTGTATTTATTCCGGAGTGGCGTGATCCTGCACCAAATGCTCTTCTCAAACTTGAGACCAGTCACTTTAAGAGGAAACAAGTTGTTGTGCCAGCATATGAACATGAGTATCGGCATGGCTTTCAGCATATGATTTCAAAGTTAGTTTATATTGAGTTCAGCATATTATATTAGTATCTTGTTGTTATTTAATTTGCCTTCTGTTACCATTTTATTTTATAGTTGTGTAATAGCTTTAAACAATAATATTGCTATATTCTTGATTATTCACCACATGTGTTTAAAGTGCTTCTTCAGACTCCAGTGAGTGTCAAATTTATATGTAATTGAATTTTGAGCACGTGTCCTGCCTCATATAAATATAACATTCGGCTGTAGCGGAGTGCTTCTTGCTGTAGATATATATAACATTCATCCATTAAAGGTAGAGGGTAGGATGGGCTGCTTAGAGTCTTTGAATCCTGCCTGCACTTGAACATTTGTCAGTCAGCTGTAGAGCTCACAAAGCCAAGATTTTGGTTTTTCCTATTAAGTACAAATATTAAGTCTTGTTGGCTGGCTACCACTTAAACCAAAGTCTTCAGAATTGCCATTCCTTTCTTTACTGTGGCTTCATGCAGTTATCAGTACTTAAATTTCAGAGGCTGTGTAACAAGGTTTTGCATATGAATTCTATGAGAACTCAGATTATTTGATGGAACACATATCAGCATCAGTTAATACAGTGCAGGAAATGGTTACAATATGCACACATGTATTAACATATGCATGCAGAAAGACACATACGCAGGATACAAGATTCTTACTATAAAACAATGTTATTGTCATTATAGGAGTGAATTGAATGTGAGGTCAGCACATGGGACTTTGGTAGTATGGTTGCAAAATAAGGCAGGATATCAGCACTGGGGACCCACTGATGATCGAGTAGAAGCACTTCTGGAAGCATTCAGGCCAGGTCGAGAGCGAGAACGAGATCGTCAGGAGTTGCTCTCGCCTCAAAGAAACAATGCAGGTGATGTTGTTCCCACCCCTGTTCCAAACCCACAGACTCCTCCAGATAATAAATTACCTGTACCTGAAAGGCAAGTATAGAGTGCAATCAGATAAATGCAGGTAACTGTGCTTCTGTACTAAACTGTGACTTGGCAGCAAAGACCTTTACATGTGAACGAATGTTTGGACCAGTTGTGAAACTGAAAACATGATCTCGCTGTCACAGAATGTGAATTCTGTGTAGTTTATTTTATATTTTTTATGAATTAGGTAGAAGGCAACGCTTGTACTTTGGCAGTCTAGTGCATGGAATGTGTATGTGGGAATATGAATCAAAAGATTGCAAGTTTGAGGTAATTATGTGTTTGTTTTGTGGGACAGCTGTACCCAAGTGGTCTTTTTACTGTACCAAATGGGTAGTTTATTAATAACTACTTTTAGACAGCACTATAGTTCAAGCTCACTTTGTAAATAACTACATATTCTATATAGATATCACATGTTTTTTAAACATCCCTATTCGAAAGTATTTTTTTAATTTAGTTTGTATATTCAAGATCCATGTTACTCGTACCTGAAACAAAGAGGACATTTTTAAAAATATATAGTAAATTAAATACTAAGAACTCTAATTGTAAAATATTTCTTTTCTGAGTTGTTATTACTTATCCAGCCAGTTTAATCTCTACATGTTCTTACTTTGCAGTGAAGTTAACAAAGAAATGTGACTCATTTTATCTCTAAGAAGGTAGTGACAGATTGTTAACAAACATTTCTTTTGTGTTTCTTTCGGTCTTTTCTCACTGTAAATATATATGCACTCATGAACACCATGTAGTTGTCTCGAAATTTTATATTGTATATACATTTTATTGTGTATTATATGGAAAATTTTACAATGTGGAACTGCATAGTTTGTAACTTGTTTCCATTTAATGTATATGGATTCAATTTGCCATAGTGGAAATATAGTTATGTGTATTTGTATATAACAGATATTTTAGTTGATAGTCAGATGGTAATATAACTGTAAACTAGATTATAAGAGTAAATATAAATTGTCACAAAATATGATAGTGTTAAATGAAGCACTGGTTTTAATTTTGTCATTTAGCAGTAGATTAGTCATCAGAGTGTAATTCATATATGAAAAGGCAAAAGTAATCTCAGAGTCTTTAAATATCTTTGCAGTTAAATATCTAAGTATGATGCTCACATTTTACATTTTAAACATGTTTTTACAGTGCCCATTAAGTAAATGCCATTAAGATGGCAGCAGAAGCAGGTATAGGTTGGTTTCAGGAATGCTTTATGTATAAGCCCTCTGTCTCAAACATTGAGATTCTTTCAAAATTGATAAACAGGTGGATGAGGTGAGGAAGTCAACATGGCATATTTCTTCCTTAATGGATTGGCTGCATAATTTTATTTTCAGAATAATTATTTAATTTAGAGTTATTATTCATTCCTAATTTAAAGTCACAGTCTTAGATATTAAGCTAGACCTGTCATATCATAAAAACATTAGTTATTTTTTCCGCCTGTTTATTGTTTGAATTTGGGACGTGAAATTTCAGATTAAGTTTAATCTATATGAAATCAAGTGATGACCAAATCAGTTGGCTTTAGTTCTTCACGAACCAGCTTTTGTTTAATCTTTACTCTGGTATTTTTTCTGAAACTAATTGTTATTTAGTTTCATAATACTTTTCAAGTTCAAACATAAGGGGAACCATATTTTAAGGGTTTCCCTCAGTTATGAGTTACTGTTTTGGGGGTGTTTTCAGTCTGGCTACAAATGCATTATGTCTTATACTTCTGTCTGAAGTTGGTTCAAGATACATTTTAGTTTAAATATTTGCTGCAGGAGGACTGAATATGGAGGCAAAATAGTTGTTGACCAATTAATTAAAAATTTTCTCAAAAAAATTTGTTTACAGTACTTCTGTCAGTATATTCATAAACCTTGGTCTCAAAGAAGTTCTTACCGCCATCTTTGAGCTGATTGTCTAGATAATGTGGGAGCCTCAACATCTCAACCGTATGGGCCTTCACGGCCTGTTACAGGGATAGCTTTACTTTTACTTTTACATTAACTTGTCTGGTCAGGCCATTACAATTTGCAGACTATGAACATTTGATTCATATATGTAGCTTACTTCAAATAAAATCAGGATTACATGTTGAAGTTGAAGTGTGTACATGTAGGTAAGTGTACATATGTGTTAATCTTTAAACATAATGCTCTAAATATTTCAGCAAATCTGTTGAACTCAGAATTACTGTGTATTTGGACTTTGTCCATTGTCCAGTATTTTATGTAAAGTGGCACATAGATCCATTGCTAAGAGGTGACTCTGTAAACATCAGCTATTTCAAGATAATGTCCAAATGCAACAGTAGAGGAGATGTCACAATACATGACGCATACAGTCGTTGCTATGTAGTGCCTGCAGCATACACATGCGCAGTGACGTCACACAATGATAGGAGAGGTGATGCAGGTGGTGTTCTCTATGGGTCCACTCTGTGGCTATATGATATGACTGACTGTGTTCTGTTCAGCTAGTGAGTGCAGTGCAGTTGAGGGTTCAGTTATGGAGTGTTAACCAGCAGGCAATGGAAGTGGAAGAATCTCCATTGTTAAGATTCTTTACCAGGAAACGTCTACTGAAGACACTGGAGAGGAACAGCCATTGTTGAGAGCTGTTACCAAATAAAGACTAGTGAAAGTAGATTGAGAGGGCTTAGTGTGGAGTGATTTGTAGTGTGAAAATCAGCAATATCATTACAGTTATTTGTAGTCATGATCTATAAGTGGTCAGTAAATCTGTTCACCAATCCACACACTGTGTGTAGTCACTAATACATGTTACAATTTATATACACACAGTGAAATCTCACTAATTTGGAATTGTGATAATTTGGACACTTTTTTCGCATCATGCCTTGATCATATTTCTCTGATCAGCGATCCCAGACTGCCTCATGTATTGCTAGCATAGGTGACAGTAAATACATGTAGGCCTCACGTCAGACATCAAGGTCACTTTAGAAGAGATTCAAAGTCAAAGCATTGTAGATCTAGAAAATTGGCCACGAGAGAATCGATATGCAGAGAGCTAATCTGAAACTTTCTACTTTTACATGAACAGTGAGTGTTAGTGTTTTGCCTGGAAAGACATATGAAGTCCATTTTATAACTTTTCTGAATATATTTACAGTAGTTGTTCTATAATTCAGACTGTCACTAATTTGGACAAGGGTTTGGTAAGGTCTTAACTACACATACACGCGCGCTTGCATATGCACGCGCACACACAGATATATATATATATATATATAAACCACTAATGAACACAACATTTTGGAAATCGGATCTATTTCCATCCTCAGGTTAAGGGGTGGGAGACACCTACCCCAGCATTGGACCAGTGATTGAAGTCAGCCCTTTCTATTGGGCCCAACAGAATAATTGTCTCCCAGCTTTTCACCTGAGAATAGAAACGGATCCAGTTTCTGAAATGCTGTTTGTTAGTGTATTTTTTTAGTACTGGATGATGGACAAAGTCCAAAAGCCTAATAATCCTGAGTGTTGTGTGCCATCATCAGAACCATTCAAAATCTGTTGAACAAAGCCATAACTTTATACGCTGCAGGTTCTCAATGAACCAACAGAAGTTACATTGTTTACTATCGTCCATAGCATACTGGAGTTTAGAAATTATTTTCTGAGCTATAATTTGGAAGAATGTACTTTCTAAATAACTGTAATTATGATATTAATTTTCCTTTGAAATTCTTCATGATTGCATGTTGTCACTGTATGCATAATGTGCCTCACAGGAAAGCAACCTTGCCAGACTCCTGGAAGAAGTACAGGAAAATCAGTTTATTGTGCTATGCTTATGGTGGCACAGGAAATTGATATTAATGTAAGCATATTTTTTTGAAGTGAAGATCTGGTCTAAAGTTTTCTTTTCTTCTTGTATGGTAAATACTTTATAATCCCCCCATATATGAGTAATTGGATATTTCCTAGATCTAGAACTCATGATTAGAAATGAGTCTTAATTTATACTAAATTCTACATAAATCATTCTGTACTTCAAATTTCCTTTTGAGATTCCAGTTATAATTAAAATGTACAAGTAAATATGAAATGGTGTTGATGGTGCTAAATTTTATTTTATGTATTTTTTAAATATAGCAGCAGCCTCAGAATGATATTTTTATAGCCTAGAAGGTAAGCAGTAATCCAGAAATAAGATCTAAAATTTTGTGATGATGGTAAATTGCTACAAGTACTATGTTTTTGGACATTATCCAACATCTTGTCTATTTTTAAAAAAAGTCCTGTTTCTATTTTAAAACATAACGTTTTGGAGACTTGATTCTGTCCCCGTCCTCAGGTAAAACTTACTCAGCTGGGGCCAATAGGTAGAGCTAGCCCCCATCTCCAGCTATCCAATCTCCGAAACGTGTTTTAAAATAGAAACAGGATGGTTTTTTAAAAATAGACAAGATGATGGCTAATGTCCAAAAACATAGGACTTGTAGTAATCCAGAAATGTGAGATTCACACTGGTTAGGTAAAGATATAGATGTGGAGGTAGACCATAAACATATCTACACATTATTTATGAAATACTGTTTAAATGGCAACAGTTGAACTTATGCCAAAATCCAACATTGTGAAACATGCCGTTATATCAGACAAATTTAACATGAAATAATATATACATAAGTAATAAGTTCTATGCAAAAATGAAATAAAGTAACATTAATAGCAGTAATGGTGAAACGTATGCAATAAGAATGCAGGCTTTAACACTTTGTGGACCAGCAATTTAAATATTTAAATCACCCTGGGGGCCGGCATTTTTAAACCTACTACCCTAACTTGTGCACTGTTCACTTTAAAAATTAATATAAAATCTCCTAATTAATTTTATGAACTAAAATTTTTGGAGAACACTTACCAATGCTCCTAGAAGTGCTTGAGAGTGTGATATTTCTGGAAACATTCCCCTTTGTGAAGTGGCATTACACAGAACTTGCACATGTAGACAGTCATACTCCTTTTGTTGTGTACTGTGCAAACACAGCATCACGCAGAAGGCTGCTTTCCCTTGGCATGTTCACTCTTCACAATTTTCACGAGGGTATGTTTCCGCATATCACCCAAGAGTCACCAAGGGGGGTCAAAATGAGGCCTGCATGGGGTGGGAGTAGACAGCCCCGGTTGTACTAAGACTGTGTCTGCCGCCAGTTCTGCTGCCACCGTGTGGTCTGTAGCCCAGGCTTTTGCCACATTCAGCAGAAATGCCTTGTATTTCAATTTTGAATGAGGGTTTAGATTTTTTAAAACCAAAAATGAATTGAAAATGGCACAATTTATAAGCCACAAGGCAACTTTCTTTGTCCACTTTATTATTTTCCTAGGAAGAGAATAATAGGCCAAGTATTGATCGGCTCTATCAACTCCCTTCATGAACATATTATACTCAGAAATACAAATAGGCTTCTTTACTTGTCCATGTCTCCTTTGAACATCAGCCATGCTCGAATTGTAAATTGTGGAAATCATATTCACAACACGAGTATCCCTATCTCCAAAAAACAGTTCTGCTACTTCAGACACTTGCGTTGGGTCCGATGGAATTTGCTTCACCCCTGGATTTCCAGTAAAATGTCCCAAAGCAGGCGTTTTGTCTACTTTTCCCCATGTGGCTGTCCCCGCAATGTTGCTACCCGCACTTTCGTCAGAGCTACTGTCACTTTCACGCTCACTTTCACTGTCTGTGGCCACAATTTTTTGTTCACCCCTGCCACACTCACTATCAGATTGTGAGTCGCTATCACTAGTAGACTCACAAGGGACGTCAGAAAACTCATCAGAGAACAAGTCAGATATTTCTTGTTCTCGGGGAAAACGCTTGGACCTCAACCTCTTCCGACCTTGATCCATTTTGCACTAGTAACTTCCTGCCTGGTGCATGCAGCTGGAAGATGAACAAATACATTTTCTTTTGGAGTGAGAAAGGAAAACAGTTGGGTCATAAACAGCGGGGTCATGTTACTAACTACGAAGCAAACATTCAAGAGGTCTATCACGCACCAGTCATGCGTCTGCCTAGCGCCAGTGCAAGGTATAGTGTGTTTCAACATAATGTGTCTTAAAGTCATAATAATATGCCACCAGTCCGCCACGTTTAAAAGCGCTGGGCATAAAAATATGCCACTGGTCCACAAAGTGTTAAGAGTACTTCTTGGAAATTCGGGTCTGTTGCATGTTCTGTCAGGTACAGTCAACAACTAAATTTACAACCAAGATTTCTCACAGCATTCTCTATATTAATATGTACTTCCAGTTGAGAGGACAGTGACTTTCTGGGCTACAAGCATGAATTATCATGAGAATTGAGCAAAGTAAATGCATTATCATTCTCCTTTACCAATTAAGAATCTGACAAAGTTTTTTTAATCTTGTATTAAACTTTAACTGTATTCTGTCCTAGTATTGACCATTGACTGATCTATGATTAGTCATGTGTATTTTCTATCAGTGGAATGTAACTACAGAATTTCTCCCCCTCTCAAATTTCTGATGAATTACAAAGGATTCGTTTTTAGACTCATATGGTTTGACTTAAGTTGTATTACAGCATGTATAATTTATTTGATAAGACTTTCTCAACTGCATAGATTATATAGTGTCACTTTGGAGAACACTTGTAAATTAAATTGGAGGAAATGGTTATGAGCTTTCTTAAGGGATTGTCTCAGAATTGTCCTGGTGGCACTGAGGAAGACACTGGTAATCTTCAGTCAAGATAGCTGAACTCTGGGTTGAGAATCAAACCTCAGATCTCTGAAGAAAGAAGTGTTAATACTAATCAATCAACTTACATATCCTATGTGATTGTGAGGCCATAGCTTATTTAAGATTTTGTCACGTGGGTCAGTTTTTCACGGAACCAAGTGACTTATATGACACCCCCATA